TGGCCGAGCCTCTCTGAAGCCCTCTGGGTAAGTGTGGGGCTCGCAGGCTCAGGAGCTGCAGTGAGGGGCTTGCGGGGCCTGGCTCCGTGGGTCCCAGCCAGATGCTGTCTGAACAGGTGGAGTCTGGGAGGCCTGGGACCGCCAGGCCCCGAGACAGTGTATTGGTTTCCTAGGACTGTCCTAACAAAGAGCCGCCCACAGATGGGTTAAAACAACAGAAATGTATCGTCTCGCAGTTCCGGAGGCTAGAAGTCCAAGATCAAGGTGTCAGCAAGACTATGTCCTCTGTGACGCTGCCAGGGAAGGATCCTTCCTGCCTCGTCTTTGCCGTGGTGTTGGTGGCAATCCTTGGCATTCCTTGGCTTGTGGCAGCTTAATTTCAATCTGTCCCTGCCTCTGTGGTCACATGGCCATTCCCCTGTGTCATTCCCAGTGTCTCCTCCCCTCTTCTCACAGAGACACAGTCATAGGTCGTATTGGATTACGGGCCACCCTAATGGCCTCACCTTATTTGCATCTGCAAAGACCCCTGTTTCCAAATGTGGCCACATTCATAAGCGGGAGGGGCAGTTAGGTCTCGAACTTGTCTTGGGGAGACACAGTTCATCCCATTACAGGTGGGGGGAGGCAGGCGGGAGCAGGCTGGTTGTTGACAATCCGTGGGCTGCAGGCTGCTCTTCCAAAGGGCCATGTATCCCTGGGTCCTCGAGTCACTGCTGAAGTGTGTCATACCTCCCAGAGTCCCCACATCAGAGAGTCATCCCTCCGAGTACTCAGACCCGACAGGGAGAGTCACACCTTAGACCTGTGAGCCCTGAGACTTGGGGAAGACAGCCCATGAGGAGCGGGAGGTGGGCAAGGGCAAGGGGGTGGCCCCGCCCAAACAGCCTCACAGAGCCGGTGGTGAGCACCGGACAGGCAAGCCGGCAAGCCAGCTGCATCCACACCTGCAGCCGTGGTCACCGCCCAGCCCCCGCCCAGCCCCCCTCTTTCGAGTGCTTTACATATACTCATGTCTCTCATCCTCACCACTGCCCAGGTACTTCCCCCGTCCTACGGATGAGAAACCAAAGGCACGGAGGTGTCTACGCATCAGCCCAGGGGCACGGCTGGCAGTCGGCAGAAGCAGGACCTGGTCCGGGCCACCCAGGTCCCGAGTCCATGCTTCTACCATCATACCAGCTGCCCTGCGGGGACCACACGGCCCTCTGGGTGGGGCAGAGGGCGTTCTGTCCACCCCAGGATCCCCAGCACCCAGCACCGTGACCTGCACTTAACAGGCCCTCAGCAAATGCCTGTTGAAGGAATGAAGGAATGCATCCCTCCCTCTTCCGAGGGCCGTCCTCAACCAACTACACCCCAAACCTGCAGAGCTGGGCCGAGCCCCTGTGGCTCAATCACAGATTCCGCTCTCCCGCCCAAAGCTGGATGGCTTCTTCAGAGCCTTCCCAAGCCAGGCCTTTTTCTAAGCGCCTTTCTTCTGAGAGGCAGGGTGTAGCTATCAATTTTCTTGTCCCTGCCCTCAGTGGTCATTCCCTCCCCCACCAAGCTGAGGACTCTGTAGACAGGGTCATCGCACTCCTCTCTGTGACCAGCACCCGGCCCACAGCCAGCTGCACAGAGGAATGGGAGGTGGTGTGTGTCCCGCCAGCTCCTCCCTCCCCTCTGTGCCCTGGCTTCCTGGAATTGTAGACTGGGCACCCCCCACCCCCCGAAGCATCTCTCTCCCCACTCAGCACTTCCTGCCTCGCGTTCCCACAGCCCTGAACGCCACCACTGCTCCCCCGGCACTGTGACGGGAGCGGAGTGTGTCATACCTGTGGTGGTGGAAAATGTCTCTAAGCAAGCCAGCAAGGGGATGTCCCCGGGCGGTCACAGGGGCCAGGCTGATGCCGCTGGTGCTAAGCTTAAGTTTAATCAACAACCCAACACCCAACTCTTGTCCCCAGTGACAGTGGCCATGAGACAGTAGGATGTAGGAGTGAGCGCTCATGGTTCCAGTCCTCTCCTCTGGCCCCTGAACCCACTGTGTGGCCTGGGACACGGCAGCATTGTCTCACAGGGCCTCCTATCTTCTCCAGTGATGCAGAACCAAGAATCTCTGTCATTCTTGTCTTGCTAGGTCGCTAAGAGATTTCATGAGACTCCACACCGCACACCTTTTCAGAGCTACGAAGGGCTTGCCCCTGTGAATGCTAAAGACTGCCTTCATTCCCGTCCTTGCTCCACCGTGCTCCAGCCGGGATGCCCTGCACAAGCCGTTGACCACTCTTGGTCTTTGCCTTCTTTCTCATCTGGACAATGAAGAGCAGCCCCCCCCCCCCGCTTCTAGAGAGGTGGAGGGTGGGAGTATGGTACTTAGCACACAGCCTGAGACACAGACCCTGAAGGACTGAAAACTCTCCACTATGGCCTTCACAGGCCTGGTCCCCACAGCTGTCCCTCCCCTACTGCTTGCTGATAAAATCCGAATTGCCAAACAGTGGCCGCAAATCCACAAGAACAATTCCTTTCCTCTTCCAAGTGCTAACCAACTTTTCCCAAAACTAGCTGGACTCTGATGAGACCCTTCTACTAAAGGCCCAAACAACACACCACCCGCCGTGCCTGAGTTAGAGGCTCCTGCAGAGTCTTCTCGTGCCTGGGGTTTCTGAAGACGGGTTTGTGCCAATGCAGTATGGCTGATTTTCCACCACACCTATTATTATGTCCCCTGCATCCCAGGATCTAGCACAGGGCCTGGCCCACTGCACAGCAGATGGCTTTCACCAAGGGAATTCAGAAGTGGGCAGGAGGAGGCAGTAATCAACCCCACTCAGGATGAATCGAAGGGCCTCCCAGAGGTGGAGATGCTTGAGTGGGGTCCTGAGGGATGTGTAGGAGTCTGGGAGCAGATTGTTTGGGTGTCGTGACAACTTCAAACACCAACAGATGTCGAGCTAAATGAGCCGTCTATGGTCCTTACCCTTGTCCTTTGCCTCCCACTCTTGAAGTGAAATACGCGTAGACCTGGCCACAAGCCACATTTCGTGTAGCACCCGAAACCACATAATATCGGTGCTAAGAAAACACTTAGAAATCACGTCATCTGACTGCCCCATTCACAGATGGGAAGACTGAGGCACGAGAGCAGAGGCGCCCTGCCCAAGGCCCTTCAATTGTGGACTCATATTAAGGAGTTCAGCCCTTGTCCTGAAGATAACAGGGAGCCCATGCAGGCTTAATCAAGGGTGTGGCGTGGCCAGAGACCACCCTGGCAGGGCTCACAGGTGGGGGGATCAGAGGGGATGCATGGACCGAGGAAAGGCTGAGCAGGGATGTGACCCAGAGATGCCAGGCCGCGGGCGAGGGGCCAGTTTCAGCCACCATGCCAGCGATGGAATGTGAGCTGCTTTTAATCTTTTTAATGGGCTGCCAGTAAGTTTAGAGTGGAATTTTGCTTATTTTTTTTTCACTAATGTAATTGTCTTATATATACAGAGGGCAAAAAGTTGTAGAACCACATGTACCTGAGTTCGAACGTTGGCTGTACCAACCATCAGCTGCACGTCTTAACCTCCCTGGGCCTTGGTTTCCTCCTAATCTGCCAAACGTGCAACACCTGCCGCAGAGGGTGCCTTTCAGGTGATAGGAGGTGATGCTTGGGACGTGCCTGGCACAGTGTCTGAAACATAAATATCAGTTTTTTCATCCCTTTCTAATGTGCTTCTTGGCTGTTTTGAGAGTCATCCAGAATGTCAATAATTAGGAGGACAGTGGTGGATTATTCATCCTCATCATGGTCTGTTTTCACAGTTCTCCTGGTAACTGGACGCTGGAAGCTGCTTGGAGTGGGAGCCGGAGGTGCAGTGATGGGGGTGGAGAAGAGATGCTAGAGGATCAGGGTGTTGAGGGGACAGTTACTGTTCAAGGCACTGGGGACCTGAGAGGATGAAGGCCCCACCCGCCTCTCCGCCCTTGGCTCTTATCCCCCCCATCAGCCCCAGCTGCCTCCTGCTTCCCGCTCCACACCTGCCGGTCCCCAGCCGTAGGCTACCTGGTCCCCAGCTGGTGCCGCTCCTCTCCCCTGCAATCTGACCCTGTGGGCCTGTCTCTCCTTTACTCCTTCCACCACCCCCTCCTTGTTCCAGTGCCCAAGGCCCACACTCTCATGCACTCTGGACCATCACACCATCTCTACCAGGTGCGAAGTGGCCCCTTAATCTGCTCACTGCCAGCTCAGGTCTCTCATCAGAAATGGTGGCGCCAGCTGGGTTCCCTGTGCCTGCCTGTCATGGTCCCCTCTCAGCTTTCCAGCCCCCATCATCTCATTTCCCACCTGGAAATTCTGAGTCTCTGTTGTGGAAGGAACCTGAGGGATTATCTGGTCCATAGGCGTCACCAGGTGCCAGCCCCGATCATTTGGGACCTGCCTGCAGAACCCAAAGCTGCACCTAAGCTCCAGAGGAAGGCGGGTCATGGTCAGTCGCAACATCTGCCCTGCACGGGCACAGCCCGTCAGTAGTCTGCCTGGAGCGCAGTTTTCTGAGTGCCAGATGTTGCCGTCCACAATCTGTCCAACTTTTCAGAGTCGAGAGTTCTGAAAAAATAAAAACAAATAAAAAATGTACATATACATCCCACGCATTGTGTCTCATCACCTGAAAAGGCCCCTGTGAGGCAGGTGCTATGTCACACATTTTGCAGATTAGGTCCACGGAAGTTAGGACATGCAGCTGATGGGCGGTGCAGCCAGGGTTCATGGAAGTCGAGCGCAATATTTCTCCACGAGACCAGGTTGTATGATGCCTGGACACAGGATAAGGTAAACCTGACTCTTGTTGGTGAAAAAGATATTTCCTTTTCAACGCTTTTGCTTTTTCTCAAGAAGGAGTCTCTGTTTAGTGCTGGCATGCCTTCAACAGCTTCACGACACTTGTAATCTCCCCTTTAAACCGAGGGCCCGAGCAGATTGCCAGTAGGCAAAGAATTAAGACATGTTTCGTTGTATTTAGTTTTCACAGTTACCTTTTATTTATAGTGAGTATCAGCTTTCCATTTAGAGAAGCAATTGAAAGATTTTCCATTAAATAAAAGGATTTAACCAAAAATGTGAACTGACTTAAAAATATGAAATAAACAAAGATAGCGCACACAGATCATTAAACATCTATGTAACACCAATGACTGAGGCTGAGCAATGTCACCCTCCCAAGGACTCTGCCAGGTGACTTTCAGAGGTTTCCCAGTTTACCTAGGGCACACAGCAGGGGTGGGCACGGAGCTGGGGTCTGACGCCTTGGCCAGGACCGCGCTGCCTAGTGGCCCTGAATAAGGGGCATCCGACGGTAGGGAGTGGGAAGTGACCCCGTAGGGCAATTAAGCTATTCCATAGTAACAACTCAAGACTCGAATTGCCTCAGGAAAGGGTGATATTGGCCATAAGGGAACAGGAATCCTGAGTCAACGGCCAGTAGCCCCCTCAGCAGCAGGAGTCTTTGGATCCGGAGCTGGGGCTCAATGCCTCCCTAACCTTTTCTGGTGCCTTCTCCACACGTCCCTATATCCAGGGGCCTCCCTCCTTCCTTGAGGTCAAAAGCCCAAGACTGGGAGAAATCTATTGGCCAGCACAGGCCTGGCCTCCCTGATTGGATAGTTTCTGTTCTAAACCACCCATAGGTTGCTCGTCTGGGTCAAGTGCCCAATCAGCTGCAAGCAAGGCCTATAAACACAGGCATTTTACTTTTCCAGCTCAGTTTTAAAGGAGGCTGGTGCCTTCCCGGTGTGGGAAAATGCACATTGCTGGTGTGATCAGTGCCAGGGGCAGAGGGAAGAAAAGTGGAGGGATGGTGGGAGGCCCTGAGAAGGAAGTGGGAGGGGGAGGGTTTCCATGTAAGGGGATGAGCCTCTTGCTGGAGTGGACATGCTGGAACCTAGTGGGCGTGGGGCCTCACTTCTCTGAGTCCTGCTGACCTCAGAAGGGTCAGGGTGCCCAGGGTGCTCTCATGAAGTGGATGGTGCCCCCCTGTGAGAAGGCAGCTGGGTGCAGGAAGTCCGGGCAAGGTGGTACCAGACGGTTCATTAATTCATCAGGGGGACACAATGCGGGGGGGCCAAGTGCACCATGCCAAGTGCAGCGATGGAGCTGCTCTTCTGGAAGAGGTCCGCCAGCCCCTAGGCTTCAGAAGAGACCCCTGCAGTGGAGCAGGAGGGACCATCACTGGGCTGTCTGTGACACCAGGCGGGGTTTCCTCCAGCAACATGCCTGAGGACTGTCAACAAGCCATTGCGGAAGGATCCAGCCGATGTCCACTTTGGCGGGGGATTTGTATCCATACTTGGGCCACATTAAAGATGCAGGAGCCAAACCTTTTGCGGCCATGGGAGATTCCCAAGAAAGGTGACAGGGCCTCTTTGTCCAGCCACCCTGTGACCCTGAGAACTGGTCCCTCCTGCTCCCAGGGTCTCTCCTGCTCTCCTCTCCCAGGGTCTGGGCACGTTAAAGGAGGCATTGTTTCCGTCCAGGGAAGGCTGAACACAGTGGAGGAATAGGGCAGTTTGTCACCTAGATGAGAGAGGAGGGCACCCAGGCACAGAGAATGGCATGTGCAAAGGTGTAGGGGCACGAAGGAGCTCCAAGGGGCTCAGGAGGACTGTAGAGAGGGTTCCTGAAGGGATTGGACCAGCGTGGTGCTAGAGGGGCGGGGCCAGGCCAAGAGGACAATGAGCAGTCCCGGCATGGTTTTAAACAAGGACAGCATGTCCATATGTGTGTTTTGGAAAGAGGGCTCTGGCAGCCCCGGGGAGGTGGGTGAGAGGGGCTGACAGGGGGTGGGACTGGGCAGGGAGCCCAGTAAAGAGGCTGGCCGCCACCCCTGGAGAGCCGTGAGATCTTGGCGCGAGGAACTGCTGCAGGCTGGGGAGGAGTGATGCTTCAGAGGCAAAACCCAGGGCTTCCTCATGATTGATGGGGGGATCCAAGTGCCCCGCTACAGTTCCTGGCTGGGGCAGTAAGTAGGACCAGGGAGCAGCATGTGTGGTTTGGAAGTAAACAGCCCCATGTGCAGGGCCCAGTGGGGGCCATCTGGGCAAAGATGTCCATGGGGCAGCTGGATACTGAGTAACTCAGCAGAGGACAAGCCTTGACGACAGAGTCCCCAACTGAGCCTGGAGTGACAGTGAACAGCCACCTGCCCCACCACTGGCCGTCTGTCTACACCAGGTGAGCTGGGTCCTGATCCTGGAGCTCTTGGAGGGACAGGTAGGCATCAGTGTTCAGGGGCAGGCAGAAGGTGGGGGCCCTGACCTGGCATTGCCCAGGGGGGCTGGCCCAGGGGAAGCCTGCCAGCACCCCAGGGCCAGGGCCAGGGCCAGGGCCAGGGCCCTCCTCCCCAGCTTCTCCCAGTGCATTCTCCAGGGGTAATTGGAAATCAACCAGGTCAGGGGCTGCTGGGGTGGGAGGCTCCAGGGGCTGGGGGCCCCAGTCTTTGGGGACTCCCTCCTGCAGAGATGGGGACAGCCTCTGGTCATCAGCCCCAGTATCCCCCAGGGCAGTGTTTGGGGGGCTTGGGCCACCGACGAGAGTAGGGGAGAAGAGCAGCAGGTCATCCCTGGGGGGGAAGGTGCAGTAGGCGTCATCCTCCCCTGGCAGAGGCGGCAGGGGTGGGAGGAGAGACCCCTCAGATGCTCCAGGCCCACCCTGGTCGTCGGGCTCCTCGGTACAGGGGTCATAGGTGAAGTACACCTGACAGGACTCAATCTCCAGCGCATCCGGGAGGTGGAAGAAGAAGTAGCCTTGGTTGGTGAAGCAGCTGGTCAGCGAGTGGCCACTGGTCTCCAGGGAGGGTAAGGGCGCTTTGTCCTGCTGCAGCAGGAGCAGCTGTGTGGCCTTGGCCTCCCTGTCCAGCACCTCCAGTGGGGAGATTTCGGGGGCCGGGCCGCCAGGACTGAAGGAGGATGAGGGGAAGGGCGAGGACAGCCACTTCTGCAGGGAGACAGGCGGGTGCAGGATTTAAGTGGGAGGTTAAGTTTAATCTCCTCCAGGTTCTTAACAACAGCTCCTAACTCCTCTGGCAGCAAGCCGCTCTAGGCTGCACCCAGGGGGAAGCCCTCCCTGGTTGTGCCCCCAGGCCCCACCTGCTGCCTGATGCTTTGGGAGTCCTCTGGGTCAGCCAGAGGAGGCCCCTGCTTCCTAGCCCCCTGGCAGGCCTTCCTGGCCCACCGCAGGTGCCCGGGGATGTGCTGGCCCAAGGGACCGCTTCCCTTTCCTGCTCTAAGTCCTGTGCTAGTCTAGGTATCGAGGACGCAGCAAAGGGTAGAATGTCCGGGTCCGCTTTGGACCAGCGAGAATATGTGAACGAACCAGCCAGTGCCGAGGCAGGAAGGGCCCAAGAGCGCATCTCATTCACTTTACAGATGTGCCCTGGCCTTGATCACGCAGCAGGGCTGGGGACCTAGACTCCCCCTCACGCTGCCACAGGCACATCTCTGGTGGGGAGTTAATAGTCCTCTAATGTGCATCTCTCTCCCACCGCCCCGTGCATCCCCCCACCACTTCCCCGCCCTCCGTCCACGGAGAAAGGATTGCACCCATCAGAGCACTTCTCGGTTGCCTCAGAATCCAGAGCAGGGTCGCTTGGTTCTAGCCCCGGCCCTCACAAGCTGTGTGACCCTGGGCAGGTCCCTGCGTCTCTCTCAGCCTCAGCTCCACAGCAGTGAGCTGCCCCTCCCTGGCTTCCTCCCTGTGGACCTGCAGGGGATTGTCAGGTGAGAAAACCAAGGCAGGACGGCTGGCGTGGGGTGCAATGCAGGCGAAACAGCAGAGATGTGGGGGCAGTCGACCCCTCGGGGTGGTACGTTCGAGAACCCCAGCAGCTCCTAGAGCCCAGGGACCAGGCCTGACGGGCTCCCCCCACATTCCTGTGCCTGGTACCGGGCCTGCGGGGCCAGTCCATATATTTTGGGTGAATTAATGGACCAGTAGAGAAATGCCTCGTTTCTCCCTCCCCAGAGAGAGTCTCTGGAGCCATGCGGGCTGTTACACACATGCACAGACACAGGCATGTGCATACACACCCCACACATATATGTGCCCACGTGCAGATGCTTGCACACGCCACTCAACGAAATCTGCCCTGTCCCCCAAACCAGAGGTGGTTATTACAGGAGAAAAATCTGAGACCCCAGGGCAAACCAAAGACGGCAAGGAAGGGGAGACAACTGGGAGGGAGGGAGAGAGCACAGGTCGGGTGGGGGCCACAGAGGCAGCGGAGGGCAGCATGGGGCCGAGGCCAGGCCTGTGGCCAGTGCTGGTGCGCCCGGCCTTCCCAGACCCCCTCCCGGGAGTGTGTGGTCAGCCGCTTCCCAGGCCTGGGCCTCCCTCCACAATGCCCTGAAAGCAGAGGGAGGGGGCAGGAGGGGAAACTCATCCCACATCATGCACACCAACACACTCGCGTGCACTCCGGGTCCCATGGCCAGGACAGTGGGCCTTGTGGCCTGGCAGCTGGGGTCCTCAGAGAGAACCCCTACGGAGACAAAGAGGAGCAGGCTCCCACTCAGATGCAGAGGATGAGAGGGGTGCCCCTTGGCCAGCCCCAACCCCCAGCCACAGGTGCGCGCCCAGGGACTCCTCCTGGGGCAGGAGTCTGAAACTGGGGGTGACCTCCTGGGAAGATGGAGTGATTTGCAGCTCTCTGGAAAAGACCCCACTTTCACCTCAAAATGCCTAGGCTTGCAGAATCAGAAAGGCTTCAAGCTTGCAGAGGACTGAGAATGCATCTAGTTCAGCCTCCAACCAGGTGCAATGTAGGAATCCCTTCAGCCACCTTTTGATGCATAGTCAGGCTTTCTTGCATACTTTTGTTGGTGGGGAGCTCACTACCTACAGGGCTGAGTTTTCAAAAAAACTCCACGAGGGCCCTGACCAGCCCTGATAGAAAACCCCAAAGTCAGCTCATGACAGTCCCTGTCCATGATGGCCTTCCAGCCCCTCAGCACTCCTCTTGAGCTTCCTCCAGCGCCACCTCATCCCCTCCCCCCCAGATCTAGGGAGCCTGATTGAGGTAGGGGGTAGGTAGGGTGGTACAGGCAGCCCACCACATCCCCCTTCCCCCTTGAAGCTTCCTTCCTGAAGTGGGTGTGGACTGGGGGAGGGGAGATGACGACTCTGAGTGGCTTTAGAATGTTACTGCTCCACGGGCCAGCACCTTCCACATGAATCTGTTTTGTGATCAGAAGGGACTAGAGGACTTTGAGCATGTATGCAAAGTGACAGGTCTACCCAGGATTCTGTGCAGGGGCCGAGGGAGCACCATCTGTGCTCTGTGGTGTGGGGAGTGCTGGTACCCCACGGAACGGAGCAAACCAGGAGGAGGGAGCTAGAAGACAGGCCAGATCCTGGCCTCCTGGTCAGGGCCCTCACGGATGGTGGTTTGTTCAGGTTGTGCAGGGAACGGGGGGTACCCAGGGCACCTGGTTTTGAGAGGTGGGGACGGGGCTGAATTCCAGCCCGTGCTCTGCTTGCCAAGACCTGCTCGGTCAATGGACTGCTGACAGTTCTAGTGAGGGCTGCTTGAGCACTGCCTGTGAGCCAGCAATGTTCTCAGGGCCATGTACCTAGTAACACTATGCTCCTCCCCCTTTCACAGGTGAGGAAACGAGACGTAGAACTGTTCTATAACTTGCCCAAAGTCACACAGCCAAGACGTGGTGGACCCGGGATTAGAACCAGGCAGCCTGGCTCAAACAGGAGGCGCCTCTCCACCAGAGAATGCTGTGACAGAGCTGGGGGATGGGCCCACCCACCCCACACCCACCCCACCCCACACCCACCAGAGGTTGCTCCCTTCAGCAGTCCTCTGCTTCTACCCTCTACTCTGGCCCCACCTCCCGGCACCACTGCCCATGCATTGGCTGGCCCGCACCAGCTGTCTGACTCCGCCCCCAGCTCCGCACTCCTACCTGGAAATCTCCTCCATGCTCTGAGCTCAGCTGCGAAAAGAACTCGGACGGGTCTGGGATGTGACACTTCAGAACCTTCTTCAACCTGATCAGGGGGGAGGGAAGGAGGGAGGGTGAGGGGGAGAGGGGACGGGGCCACTGTGTCCTGCCATCAGCCCGCAGCCCTGGGGACAGGGCACGGAGCCACTGGACACGGGATCATTTATCTGGTTGACATTGATCAAATGCCCAGTAACGAAGGACATTGTGCTGGGCGCTGGGACACAGGACTGGCCAACGGGGAAGGTGCCTGCTCTCCAGGAGCTGACATTCTAACAGGGACACGGACACAAAGTGGGGTGCCATGCTACCACTCATCGGAGGGGACAAACAGCGACTGTGGAAGTGTGGCAGGGGACGACGGGAGCCAGAGAAGTCAGGGACAGAGGTGGCTGGCGCAGAGCGAGCCAGGAGGAGGGAGCTAGGACAGAGGCCCAATCGTGGGCCTCCTGGCCAGGGCTGTCCTGGGCGGCAGTTCAGGGGGCACGCTGCCCCAGGGCTCCCGGTCTGGGGAGAGGAGAGTGGGGGCCGAATTCCACCCTGAGGGCTCCAGCATCTGTATGCACCGGTGTTGAAATGTAGTGCATGCATTTCTACGGCCTTGAGACCCCCAGAAAGCGTGTCTGCTGCCCACGTGTCCAAGCCCGGGTTAGCACCTCCCCCACCCCCTCTGGTCTCCAGCCACAGCCACCTCCCTGCGCTCTCAGTTTCTGAAATGTTCTTGCCTGCTTCCACCCAGGCCCTTTGCACATGCTGTTTCCCCTCCTGTCCCCGTCACCCCCACACTGGGAATCATTGCTTGCTCAGGGAAGCTCCCTGAGCTACCCCTCCATTGAGGTTCCTCCCCCAGTGCTCTGTGTCCAGGGCATCCAGTGCCTTCCTGCACCATGCTAATCACAGCATGTCACTCTGTATGCGTTCAACTAACAAGCATCAGCCTCCCCTCCAGGAAGACGGGACCACGTGTGTGTGGCTGCTCCCAGCACTCAGCACCATGCCTGGCACTGAGCCGGCCTGGACCCAGACGGAGCCATGAGGACCTACACACACACCAGCTGGTGTGCACACGCACAGGCCCATGCATGCACACTCTCCTGAGGGTATCACTCCGACCGGCCCCCACCTAGGGCTCTCCCTCCCCCACTCCCATCAGGCTATTCCCGTGGGTTCCATCTTTGGAGTGGGATCACAGGGAGAGGCCAGGTGTTAGGCAGGGCAGGCCCCTGGGAGGGCAGAGGGGGTGCTGACATGTCCAAGCAAGGGGCTCAGCCCAGCACCTGACCTGGAGAGGGGTGCATGTGCCCAAGGGGAGAGTGCAGGACAGTCAGGGAGGCAAGTGCTCTTACCACGGCCCGAGGTACCGGCAGTTGACCAGCAGGTAGACTAAGATGATGAAGCCGAAGGCACCACTGAGGCCCACGATGATATGCCCCAACGAAGGGGCTGCCGGTGGTGGGAGGGGAAGCAGGGAGAGAGGGGTTAGAGGGGTTCCCTGACTCACCCAGATCCCTCCGCACCCACTTGTGCTGGGGGCAGGCTGATCTCAGCATCCCAACGGCCTTCCCAGCATCCCAACTGGCCAGGCCAAGCTGCTGTGTGCTGGGCCAACACGGGGCATCGTGCTACCCACTTCACAGATGAGGAAACTGAGGCCGAGAGGTGGAAGCAGCCCGAGGCTGCCCTGGGCAGAAACCCGGAGTGAGAGGTTTCAGGTGGAGAAAGTGAGCATAACCTCTCGGGCCTCCCCACTAATTCCTAAGGCCGTGGGCCGTCCCACCCCCTCGCTGAGTCCCTGTTCCCATCTATAAAATGAGCACAGACATGCCCCTGGAGCCCCCCATGCCCACCCTGCAGGGTCATGTCAAGTGAGCTAATGATGAAAGTTAGCACTGTAGCCCCGGCCCACCCCACCCGCTGCCCCCAGAGCCACCCCCAGCCGCCACTTCCTGTCCAGCTCCTTTCTGCCCAACTGCGTCTTACCCTCAGGCATCGTCCTGAAGGCCAGGGGCTGGCTCCAGGGGCTCCACGTCGAGTTGCTGCCTCGCTGGGCCTTGACCCGCACCTGAAACTCATACAAGGTGCCCGGGGCGAGGGTCTCCAGGAAGATCCACTGCTGGTTCTGCCCGATGGTCAGCAGGGGGGCCGCCTGCGGTGGAGACGGTGCTGTCAAAGAGGAGGGGCGCCCACAGCCCACCCAGCTCTCACAGCAGGGCTGACCAGGAGGCTGAGCAAAGCAACGCCCTCCGTCCTCCCCTCCAGCCACCTCCTTCCCGCACCTCACCCACCCTCCCAAAGGCCCCCTGACTACCGACTGCTAGGGCCCAAACCCCAGGTTCATCCTAAACCCTCCCTTCTCACTCGTCCACTCCAGCCAAAGCCACCTGCCAATCAACTGGTTCCACCTCCCGGACCTCCTCTGGACCCTTCCCTGTCTCTCCTGCCCGATCCCAGCCTGAACTCCCACCACCTCTCAGACCCGAGCCTGGCCTCCCTGCTCCCACCACATCCACTGCAGCCTGCTCTCCACACGACCACAAAGAGGGATTTTCCACAGACCTCTCCCACCCCCGCATCCTCCCTCCGGTTCTTCCCGCCCCGCCCCACACACACCGGGCAGTGTTTTGCCTTTGCTGTGGCTGCTTCCTCTGTGTGGAACACCCTCCCCAGATCTTTGCAAGGTCAGTTCCTTCTTGACCCTCAGCTCTCAGAGCACCCCTCCCTGGTCACCTGTCCCTGGAAGTAGCCTGTCCCCGTCCCTCTTAGAAGCATCATCCCATTTTGTGTCCCTGACAGACTCTTCTCAGTGTCCCACAGCCTGCTGGTCCTCCATCTGCTGACTGTCTGCCTCCCCCCCCCCGCCCCACCCTGCATGTGCATCCATGTAAGTTTCCTGAGAGCAGGAAGACTGTCAGTCTGCCCCTCCAACCTCCCCCCAGCACTCAGCGTACACTCGGCATTCAGGAAATGCCTACTGTCACTGAGTGAGTGAGCAAAGGAATGAGTCAATGAATAAGGACAGACCCCTGTGGGCCTGGACCACACCGAATCTGAAGAGTGGGGAGGGTGCATCCCAGGGCCTCTGCAATCTCATGGAGAGGGGAGTCTCCTGTGTCTTGGCTACGTCAACCTTGCCTGGTGTCAGCTTGGAATCTGCCACCAGCTGGAACCCTGGGTGTCAGAGGTCGCATGGGGGGAGGAAGAGGCCAAGGCAAGCAGTACATAGGGGCAGCAGGGACTTCCTGGGGGCCACTGTGCCTTTGCTGAGAGGGGCAATGGGCGGGGTGCCCAGCACAGGGAGGGGGGATCAGGGTGCGTTGGCCTGGGCCCCGCACTCACCTCCCAGCTGTGGCCTGGGGGCCTGGTCCGGACCTCAAACTCCAGGTATCTTGTAAGGTAGTGGGAGGACTGGTTGACGGCCCAGGTGATGTTGCACCTCCGGGTCTCCATGTGGGTGACTCGGAGGGAGTTCGGCGCCATCAGGCGAACTGGAGCAGGGAGAGAGGAGGGGGAGGAAGCTCTGGGGGGCCTGGACCTTGACCCCGAGATGATAAAGCCCAGGGGTGCTCCCACCCCCACCTTCACACCTGCTGTTCCTCCTCCCTGGCATGGCCTCCCCAGAAATCTGCAGGTCACCCTTCAAACATCACCTCTGCAGAGAAGCCTTCCCCAGCTCCCCACCACTCTCTGTCCCTCACCTGTTCCAGTTTTCTTCCTGGCACTACCACCACCTGACACGTTAAGTCCCTGTTTGGGGTCCTTTATTTACTTCCTACCTCCCTCCCCAGACCATGAGCTCACTGAGGGCAGGGACCCTGTTCTCTCATGCGTCCTTGGTGCCTGGGACATTACCTGGCAGGTCATAGGCACTAAATTAAATATCTGCTGGATGAATGAATTAGGGCGGCATTTCTCTGCACTCAGAAACGACCTGAGAGTTTTCAATGAATCATTTCATTCATTTCATTCAACTTCATCGGTCTTATGCGATGACGAGATTTTATGATTCTGAAGTTAAATTGATCAAAGTTTTATAATTCTGAGATTTTTGTAGAGCTTCACAAACAGCTATAAGCGAATGGTTACTGAGCATGGGCGGAGCAGTCTCCTTACGGCCACCATGGGCGGCAGGGAACTGGTCTCATTTTGCAGATGAGGACACTGAGCTCAGATGGATTAAATGATTTGTCAGTCAGATGACAGTTAAGGCAGGGCTACATTCAGAACCCTGCCTGGGTCTCACCCTCTGCCCCTCCTCTTCCTTACAGACAGCGTGCAAGGTCTGGGGGGGGGAGGTGGGGAGGGCTGGGCATGGGGCCGGACTCTCAGTCATTCAACAAACCTTCCCAGAGCACCACCCAGATTAGACTTGGTGCTGAGTACTCAGTATAGAGACAGGGATGGCAGAATCTCTGCCCTCAGGGAGCTCAGAGCCCGGTGAGGAAGACAGCCCCGTAATCAGCCACCAATGACCTAGCACATAAATGCCCTGAAAGAGGAGATGCAAAAAGCTGGGAGAGTCTGGGAAGGCCTCCTGGAGGAGGTGGCTTTTCACTGAGACTTGAAGGGTGAGTGGGAATCTTCTCGGGGAGAAGAGCCTTCCAGGCCATGTGATTAGCATGCGCAAGGGCTAGAGGCATGAATGGGCAAGTTGAGTCTGAAGAGCTGGCCTTTGGCATGGAGGGGGAAGCCAGGCAGATTCCCAAATGGCCTTGAATGTCAGGGTAAAGAGCTGGGACTCCATCCCAACAGCAACGGGCCATGAACTTGTGAGCTGCGGGTGTGGCAGATGATGGGGAGAGACTGGAGCAGTGTGATCCCACAGAGCAGGCAGGGAAGGAAGTGCCCGGCCCCGAGCCCACCCTGGGTTCCTCACTCACGGTTCTCGAAGGGCTTGAACTGCTGGGTCATCACCACCTGCCACCTCTCCCCTTTGTGGCACATCACCGTTATGTGGACGACATCTGCTGAGGTCAGCATCTGAGACTAGAAGGGGACAGAGGTGTTGCTGCCAGCAGCTGGGGCAGGGAAGGGAGGCCATAGGGACGAGTCTGTGGGGGGAGGGCCGAGCGGAGAGCAGGGCCACAAGGCAGGTGGGGCCCCGCCTCTCGACCACCCTGTCTAAGGTTGGGGTCAGCAAATGTTTTCTGTAAAGGGTCGGGGAGTAAATATTTTTGACCTAGCAGGTCCTGTGGTCTCTGTTACAACTACTCAGCTCTGCCACAGACAAGTAAAAGAATGGATGTGGCTATGTGCCAATAAAACTTTATTTACAAACCAGACAGCGGGCTAGTTTTGGCCCATGGACCACCATCGTTTGTCAACCACTGACCTAAAGGGCAGAGGGCTGCTTGGGAAGGGGGAGTGTCCAGTCACAAGAGGTATGCAAGCGGGAGGCGTTTCCAAGAAGGGGCAGGGTGGGCCCTGCACCTGTGTAATGGCTTTGAGTGGGAAAGCCTCCCCTCCCCCTTCCTGCCCCGACCCCACCTCCCGACTTTTCTGGAAAGAAATGGTTGGGAGGTACTAAGCATCTGTGGGCAGGCACCACTCAGGCGTTTAAGCCGCCTGCCTCTCCGCGGATTCTCACTGCAGACCCTCCCCGCCCTGCAGGTGAGAAACCTGCGGCTCAGGTAGGTAAGGGACTTGCCCAATGTCACACGACTGGTCTGCCGGGGAACCAGATTCAACCGCAGCTGGCGCTCTGTGCCCACAGCGCCAATGGAGACTGCAGCCCTGGCCCGCCGCGGCTGACCGGGGCAGCGGAGCGAGCAGCTTCCTGCAGAAGGAGGGCCTAGAGCCGGAGCAGTGAGGATCTGTGTTCCGGGGCCGGGTGCTGCCTTCACGGCCAGGACCCAGGGCCTGGTCCCTCTGACCGGCTGCAGGGCCCACTGTGAGCAAACCTTGAACCTTGGCCTCAGAGTGTGCGGAGCTGGGAGCAGTTCCTCCCTTTGTGCTCTGAGGACCCTGCCCTAGGCTTCTCCCAGCTCCTACAGGGGCCAGGTTTTCCTGGGTCATGAACAGCACCATCATTGTTATTGCTGCCGTGGCTGTGGTTGGAAAGGTGCCAATAACACTCTCCGTGGCCCTCAGTCTGCGGCAGGTGCCCTTCTGAGCACTGATGTATTTCTCGACACCCTGTGAGGCGGGCACTCTTACTTTCCTGGTCCTACAGCTGAGGAGACTGAAGCACAGGGAGGCTGGGGACTCGCCGAAGGCCACGCAGTCAGGAACGTCACCCAGCCAGGCAGGACCAGGGCCTGCAGAGCTCACAGGGACAGGCTCAGCAGCCTGGTCCCCAAGGCTGCGCCTTTATCAACTGCGCTGCACAGGCCCGTCTGCCCACTCTCCTGTGCCCTGAGAAGGCAGAGGACCTGAGGGTAGTGGGTAAACATGGTCTGGGTGACCCTGGCGTCCCCCACTGCCAAGGGGGGTTTGCCAGACAATGATGGGATGCACAGCAACAGGGTCATGGCCATGATCATGACCACGTGTCCTTTGAGAGGCGGCCTGGTGCCGTGGTGAAGTGTCTGGGCTTCGACTCTGCCACTCTCTGACTTTGTGACCTTGGGCAGAGACCACACCTCTCTGAGCCTCAGTTTCCTCCTTAGTTAAGAAGGGGAGAGTGCTGGTGCCCACCGGAGTCCTGGGGACCTGCTGACGATCGTGTCAAGGCCTGTTCTACTCCAGGTGGCACATGCCACAGCACCCAGGCCAACCCTCCAGGCAGGTACAGGAGGGAACCGGGCACAGAAGCCACCCAGTGGCACCCAGCCATGCACAGTGGAGCCAGGGTTGGGGCCCAGGCTGCCCAGCTCTGGAATCCACGCTCCTGACCCATGGCCTCAGAAAGAGTCCATTGTGTGGCTGTTACTACTACTGGGGTGCTCTCCCCACTCGATGGGAGGCGCAGGAGTGCCCGAGGTCTCCCCAGCCTGGGGAGGCCACTGGAACAGAGTAGAATGGGAGCCCCGTGCACCATGGATCTGCCATTCCCGGAGGCAGGCTGGTGGTCTGGCCTTTGGTGGCTGCCCGCCCTCCTTCTGCCTCCCAGCCCTGCACACTGGGCTGGCCCCACTCCTATCTGGAAGGGCAGCCCTTGGCACCCACCCTGCCCCTGGGCCTCTCACCTCTGGGTTCCTGTTAAGGATCAGGTTGCAGGCCCAGGATGCCGGTACCTCTGGGAGCAGCTCACAGGATTTGTTCCAGGGACTTTCAAGGCAAGAAAAAAGAAAACCTTAGAAGCAAGGGAGGGACCCCAGCGTTGGCTCTCAGGATGGTCGCCACGCCATGAGGCCAGTCTGTGCAAATGCTCCATGCCAACCTCCCAGCGGTGTCAGGTCCCCGATCTGCTCCACCTGCCCTCACGAGCCCTTCCTTCGGCCCTCCCCACCCTGGCCTGGCCCGCAGCAGCCAGAGGGATCTTCTAGAAGCAAAGCAGCTCAGGACACCCACCTCTGCAGCTAAAGCCCTGCAGTCTTCCCATGGGGCTGCAGTGAGCTTGGGAGTCTCACGGAGTCACCACCCCTGGGAGCCTTTGCTGCCGTCGCCACGATGTCTGGGTCACCACATTCCCTTCATCAACCCCCACCCATCCGAAGCTCCCCAACCACTCCCACATCCCCTGTCCCCGCAGATCCCACAGGGGTCTCTCAAAATCCCAGATTACTCACAAAGCTTTGGGATCCTCCCTTCATCCCCCTCCGCCTCTAAAGCCACGTCCAGCCGCAGCAGAGCAAACTCAAAGCCCGTGTCCCCGGTCCACCCTGCCCAGCCCCTCTCCAGCCTGGACCCCCACACCCTACTCCCATCTGGGTTCCAGCAGTCTAAATATCTGACTCCCGAATTTTCCAGACTCCTGTGATAATGAGAGTCCGTGGTCTCCGTTTACCCAAGGTTCTCAAAATGAAGACGTCTGGAGTCTGAGCGTTAGAATTCCAAGAGCCTGACCGGCAGGGACGGTAAGACCCCACCATCCTGAGGCGCCGCAGCCGGGCTGGTTGGCGCCACCCTCACCGTTGAGCAGGCCTCGCGTGGATGCGGCAGGAAGTGTCCGGCAGGGCCCCATCCGGGCTCCAGATGCAGGAGATGTTGGCTCGAGAGTTGTAGAAGCACGTGAGCTCAGGAGTGCCTGCCAGCAAGACAAGGTGTGAGTGGCTGGTGCAGGGTGCCCCCTGCCCTGCTGCTCTTCCAGACCCACCCACCATCCCTGCTCTTGGCACCCTCAGCCTACGGGATGGGGAGGTGAGCCACCCCCATAGGCGGAGGGGCAGTGAGCGGCCCGTTGCAGAGAGGACTAAACAGAGCCCCAGAGACTGCAAGATCCCCACAGGCAGGCTAAGGCGGGGCAGGGACAAGAGGCCAGTGTCCTCTTGTGTCTTGGAGAGGCTCATGGGGGTGGCTGGGCGTCAGGGGTGGGACGGAGGGGCAGGGGGAGGGGGACCCCTGATCTCTGGTCCCATCTCCCCTGACTTCCTCCTCCCTGCCTCCTGCCCCTGATGATGGACCTGCCAAGTGGCAGGGTCCCGGGCCACTGTGTCCAGATGCTGGGATCCTCACCTTTCACCGCTGTGGATGCCTGAGGGATGGGCAGGGGCAGGAGGAAGAGGAGGAGGGACAGACACCAGGACAGAGCAGGAGCCGCCATTACATCCACAGGTGGGAGCTAGGGAAGGAAGCCCTGAGGGAGGAAGAGGGGGAGAGCACAAGTGAGCACCCACCCCCGCCCTTCTCGGGTGCACAGGTCTGCTCTCCACCACACGGCATAGTCCCACCTCAGGGCCTTTGCACGTGCTGGTCCCCCGCCCCACCCGTGCTCGTTCCCTTCCTTCTGACGTTCTGGGACCCACACACGGACACTGCTGAAAGGGCTCTTTGGGTGAGCCAAACCACTTGTTCAAAATTGGAGAAACTGAGTCCCAGGAGAGGAAAAGACTTGCTCACAGCCACCTAGAGAGGCCAGCACAGAGCGGGGATTAGCGGCTGCTTCCTCTCTACCCGGCTGCCCCCTTCACTGCACTAGAACCACTCGCGAAGATGTGCTTTGTGCCAGGCTCTGTTTTAAACCCTTTATCTGCAGCTACAAGAGCGTCTACTAGAGATAGTCTTACTGTCCCATTTTCAGATGAGGAAACTGAGGCACAGAGAGCGAAGAGCAAGTTGCCGGAGGCCACACCGCCAGTGAGCGCAGACTGGATCTGAGTCAGCACAGACTGCCCGGGGCCAGGGCAGGGCTCCTCCGGTAACTCTGACTCTGGCTTCCCACCTACTGAGAGGGCACGCAGGCCGGTGACCTCAGAACAGTACTCACTGGTACTGAGCTCTCACGCTTGCCAGGTGCTTCGGCCCACTGGCTCCTCTAATCTGCCCAGCAGCCGGGGGGCTTGGGGGTGCTGGTATTCTCCCCTTACGCAGATGAGGAAACACCATTAACCTGACCAAGGTCACGTGGGAAGAAGAGGCAGAGCCGGGATCCAGTCCCCGCACTCCGTCCCAAAGCCTGTCCTCTCAGGCCATTCTACCCTGCCCAGCCCCCGTCCCCAGCACCGGTCCCAGAGGTTAGGCCTCCCGACCCTGGCCTGGTGTGGGGAGGAGCCCCCAGAGGTCCCGGTGGGCGTCTCCATGCCTGGCCCACAATCCCCACCAAAGGGCGAGCTCCCCAGAGTGGGGCTGGTTGCCTCTTTCTTTGGACCCCCACCAAATACCACAGGGCACAGCACTGGGCCCCCAGAGGGTACAGAGCCCAGCAAAAGGGCTCCCAGCAAGCCCCCTGTTGTCCCTAGTCACTCCATCATGACCCTGGGGCACTGTTGCTGTGGATGCCCTGGAGGGTGTCACCTGGGGCCAGGCCCCGGCCACCAGGGAAGCCCATGTCCCGGAAAAGCCAGGATACAAAGCCCCGGGGTGAGAGGAAGTGCGGGCACAGGCACGGAAAACTGCGAGAAGGCCAGAGCGCAACCGCAGCCCCAGCAGGGCGGGCCTGGCGGGCGGGGAGGCAGGGTGCAGGGCAAGGTTCACGGGAGGAGGAGGAGGCCCGGCCTCAGGGAGGACCGGTCCGACCTCCGAGCCCCAGCACCGGCCTCCAGGGTCCCCACACGCATCACCGAACGCCCTTCGCATCTGCAGGGCCATCCCCACTGACTGACTCACTGGGTCCCCGCCGCAGCCCTGAGAGGTGGGCGGCATCGGCTCCTTTTTGACAGATGTGAAGGCACACAGAGCTGCCCGGGGGCCGAACTCTAACCAGGTCATCTGATTTCAAGTCAGAAGAAGAGGCTGATGGCGGGGAGGATGCCGAGGGTGACTAATACTCAGCCCCACTCGGACCGGCACTAGCACCTCACCCGACCCTCACAGCAGCCCTCCGGTCTGTGCTACTGTGACTCCCTTTCTCAGACGAGGAGCCGGAGGCACAAGGAAGCGAGCCTCTTACCCAGGCTGGAGGCTGGGGGAGCCGAGCTTTGAACCCAGTCAGCTGGGGCAGAGACTCCAAGGGGCAGATAGTGAGGAACAAGGGGGCTCTTGGGGGCTGGGAGAGGGTGTGAAGCAGGAGGTCAGTAGCCAGAGACGAATCCCACCCGGCCTCTGGACTTGGCCTCCTGGTTGTGGGGGATGGAAGGAGACCTTAAGCATGGCTCTGTCCCCCCACCACCACCCACCCCCACAGTTCCCCCGACACAGCCAAGGGTGTCCTCCGCCCCCGGGAGAAGAGAGAGCCGCCCTCCAGGCAGCCCCAGATGCCAGAGAGGGCGTCCCACCCACACCCTGTGGAGCCTGGGGACACGGTGGACCAGGCCAGTGACACAGCCAAGTGAGGGCCCTGCCTGGACTCGAACCCCGAAGGCCTCCCTCGCCCCACAAGCCTCCTCGGCAGCACTCACAGGGGAGCCTCCCCAGGGCGGGCCCCACCCCCCGAGACCTCCACTTCCAGCGGCCCCGGGACCGGCAGGGGCAAGAGGGGCTACAAGGTGGCACATCACCTGGCTGAGACATGGGGCTGCGGCCAGTTCTCTCGGATTCTCTCTGCGGCTGAGACCACAGCCATCTCCCCAGGGCCCTGCTGCGGCTCTGGCGCTGGCGACTCATGTAGCAGGCTGATAGGGCCGCAGACGAACCCTAGGGCCAGCCTACTTCCTGTGCAGAGGCTGGAGGGGGCATGGCCTGGGGGTGGGGGGGGCAGAGAGATGGGGCTGCTGAGAAAGCCTGAAACTCCCCAAGCACCTAGGACCCGATAAGATCTCCCTCCTCCCGGGGGCGGGCGAGGCTGGGGGGCGTGGGTGTTGAAGCAGCGTGAGCACACACACCTCAGACAGACGCCCTGCTGCACACAGGAGCCCGGGGGGGGGGGGGAGGACAAAGACCCTTCTTTTCCCTCCTACGCCACCCCCACCCCGTCCCACATCAACCACCTTTGACGCCTTCATCCGGTCACACATGCCCACGAACCCCAGCCTCACACAAACACGTCCCTTTGAGGTGTCCCCCAGGGCTTCTCAGTCTCATCAAACCCATTTCTCTGGGGCCTCCCTTCTCCCCTGGCCCCCCAGGGAGCCCCTTACTCACTCCAGCATCCAGGGGTGACTTTTGGGGGGGGCTTTGCGAAGAATCTGATAGCCACTTACTGAACCTTCCTCTCGAGCCGTGGTTCTTTTTTGAGGGGGGAGGAGGTCAGCTTCTATTTAAGGATGAAAACTTACAGACCCCTGTTTAGAAAAGCGCATGTGTATGTACTCGGGGTGTCCCAGGCCCGGGGACCCTGCGACGTGGTGCCAGCCCTGTGAAGAAGCAGCTCCCCCCTCCCGATTTCACTGGCCCTGCTGGTAAGCAGCCGCCTCCTTCCCAGAAGGGAACGAGGGGCTCCACAGAGCCAGAGCCCCCGAGAAAGCCGGGAGACCCTGAGAACCAGGTGACTCCCTTCTGAGCAGGAAGTGCCTCCGCCTGGGAGGCCTGAGTCAAGGCCCCCTGGAAGCTGGGTGAAGGGCTGACAGCGCCCGCGGGCCTGTCCTGCGCCTGTCTAGGGCCCTAGGTATGTCGGGTATGTGACCGGTGTGTGGAGACCGCAGGCTGCAATGAAGGCCGGCGGGCCCCTCTCCCCCACTCCCTACCCCCCAGGCCCAGCAAGGCTTTCTGGCTGCAGGAGAGGGTGACAACCACCAGCAAGATGTGAATACTAGCCAAGACCGGATTCTGGAAGCTTCTCAAGAAAGCAGGAGTGTTGGTTCTTCTGGGAAAGAAAGCCAGGTGAGGAAGGGGCAGGAAGGCCGTTTTTCACCGTCGACCCTTCTGCGTCACCAGAACGTATTTCCTGCCCCCCAAAACACGTGAATCCAGTTATAACTTCAAAACACAAATAAAGAACAAAACCCATCCCCGGGCGAAGCCAGGCATCAGGAACCCAGCTGGGGATAGGCGGCCGCCGGTGCTTATCACCACCTGGGCCCGTCCCGAGTGCCTGCCTGGGGCGCGTCCTCCTCCTCCTCTGTCCCTTTCCCTCTTTCCCGTCACCTGCTCGGCAAATGCGTGCTGACCACCCAGGGTGTCCTGGCGGCCGGCCGGGTGCAGAGGAGCCTGAGGTGACGCACAGGCCTATCTCTATGAGCAGGCCACACAGTAGGGCCAGGTGAGGGAAGGGAGGTGACTCTAACCTGCTGGGGTCCCCAGAGGCAGGGGTGGGGGGATCGTCTGAGGCCACTGGAACAGCGGAACTAAGACAGGGAAGAGGACAGGCCACACACTCATTGTCCCCGCCGGAGGCCCAGTGTGTCTCACCTTCATGAGGGGCTCAGGCCAGGACATCTCAGGGGACAATTCCAGGCCTGGAGCATCTCAACACTGCTCAGTCTTCCACCTAAACTTTGGCTGTAGGGCTACAAGGGAGGGGACACATCAGCGAGAAGGTGGCAATGTGTCCCCGCTCCCTGTGGGGCATCTGCTAGATCCCATATCCCAGGCTCCCTTGCAGTTCCGTGAGCTGAGCCTGGCCAGGGGGACGTGGGGGAAGTGGTTTAGTTTCCTCCCAGGCCCAAAAGGCCTCCTTGGATCCTCCTCTGTGTCTCTCCTCTGCCCCTCGCTCCCTGCTCCCTCCCCAACCCTCTTCTCCTGCAACAATCCGCTGGCGCTGTGTGAAGCCTGGACAACCCATGCGGGGCTGGGACATGATCAAAAACACAGCCTCCAGGGTGTGGGGCCTCTGAGGTTTGGAGGTGTCCGCAGCCAGTGGACAGTCACTCACTAATACAGAAGGCGCCCCAAAGGCTAGGGTGGTGAGCAAGTGCACAGGGAAGTTCAAGTGCTTTGCATGGCCCCCAGCCCTGTCCCGCTGCCATCGTGTCCCCTCAGCCAGGACTGGTCCCCCTGTTTCCACTCCTGACCCCCTCCCGTCTATTCCCCATTCAGCAGCGGGAACAATCTTTCCCAAACCAAATCAGGTCATTTCACTGCACTGCCCCCCTTTCGCGCCTCCCAGGAGTTCCCAGAGCATTCATAATAGAATCTAGACTCCTCCTCTCGGCCTCAAAGATCTCGGCCTCAAAGATCCGCATGAGCGAGCCCGGCCGTCATCTCTGAACTTCCCACCAGCACAGGCTGTGTTCATGTTCAGCAAACAGGCCAAGTTCAGCAAACAGCCCAAGCTCCCCTTCCCCGGGGGCTTTTCACAGGCTGGCCCCTGCCCCGAAGGCTCTCTCTGGAGCTGCCCCTGCCTTCCCACCTCACAGGCAAGAGAGCGGGGGCTCACTGGTCATCCGGCCAGAACGTGACAACCAGAGGTAGAACTGGGGTCTGTTGGACAGGGCACATCGGACTCTCTCTGCGGAAACCTGCAGAAGAATCCAGAAGCTTCTCTGAGGGCTGGGGCCTCAGGCCTGCCCAGACCTCTGACTCAGGCATTCTGGGGAGCCAACCCAGCCCCCTCCGGCAGGCCCAAACCCCCAAGTGCGTCAACCCTCGTTCTGCCAGCAGCCTCTCCTGCCCCCACTGCCCCCTCACCCCTACAGCCCTGCCCCCCTCCACCAGCCCTGCCCACTGCGTCCTTGCAGATCCCTTTGTGAATCAACTTCCCTGTTCCCTCAGCTTCTGAGGGTGCAGGCCCAGCTGCTCAGCCACCACTGAACGCCCCCTCAGGGACCCCACTTTCTTAGGTGCCGTGGGGCAGGCACTCAGTGGCATTTCCTGGTTCCATGTCCTGCCCTGACCAGGGCTCTTCCACTTGCCCATCATAGGGCTGCCTCTTTGGGGGGTCAGGCCAGGCTGCCAGGCCCCCGTGCCCTCCTCAGCCCTGGCCCCTGCCTCTCCCCTCCCTTCCTCTCCACTGCAACTCCCGGGAGACCTCAGGGTCCATGCCCCGCCTGCAGACTCCTTCTTCCCCCCAGGGCCCCTCAGTCTGACCCCACATCAATGCCCAGGCCCAGCCCACACTGGGCCCTGGTCACCACTTTGACTTATTGCCAGCCCAGACCCCCTAAACTGCACCTCCCCCTGTCCCACCTACATCAGTGCCCCAGTTAGCGTGATGTCTTAGCTGTGGGGTCAGAGTCTTAGGAGAGGACAATGGTGGCCTGAGGTCAGAGAGGAGCTTCTTTCTAGCTCACATAGAAGAAGTCCAGGGGCTAGCAGTCCAGGGCTGGCGGAGGGCCTCATGATGTCAGCAGCACCCTGAGCCCTGGCTGGCTGGTGCCCAGAGCATCTCCAGTCTCTTTCCTTCCTCACAGCCCAAGAGAGCTGCCCAAGCTCCGTCCACCACATTTGCATTCCTGCAGCTAGAATGTGGGAGAAGGAGCAAAGAAAGGCCTGTGTCTGCCTCTCCAGGACCCTTTCCCAGAGTGGCCCTTAACACTTCTTCCATCCCATTGGCTGTCTCAGAGTCACAGGACCAACCCAGCTATAAGGAAGGCTGGGGACTGGGCCTGGCCAGGACTAGAGACCCACAGCCAGGGCAGAGAAGTTTGGAGGGACCGCTCGCTGTCTCTGCCATCACAAAGACCTCCAGCACCTTCCGGGCCACCCGCTGCTGCAGGCCTCCCTCCCTCGATCGCTCAGCCTGGCTGGCCTGGTGGCTCACGCAGCATGGGCCGCCCCGCCCAGCCCTCCCAGGTGCACGGACCTGCCTTCTCCACAGTCAGCAGGGAGCCGAGTCCGCAACTGGAGCAACTCCCAACCCCGTAGACCAGGCTTCACTGGAGACCAGACACAAGTCCCGGTCCCTGGCCAGGAGGGGACACTGAACATGACTTTGTATCCCACCCTCAGCTTGGTCACCCCCCACCCAAGATAGAAGGGGGCTCCACATGAGTGGAGATCACAAGGCAGGAGGAAATCTGAGAGTAGAATAAGGAGAAAGAGTGAGGTGGGGTGCTGGGCACCCTGAGGGCTCTGCTCTGAACCTACCCCTCCACTGACATCCACTCTTCACACACCAGCCACCGGCCCCCAAGCCAGAATGAGGCCATCCGTGGTGGCACTTCCTCTTTCTCACCCTCCCCCCCCCCACTTCCAAGCATCCCTCTCGCCATCTCTGCTCTGCCGCGGTCGCCTCCCAGGCTGCAGACCTGAACACCTTGGCATGTTCCTCTCTGAGCAGCCCACTCCTTGGTCCCACCCCCCGCCCCACACACCAGCACCCCAAGCAGCCCATATCTGGTGCACACTGTTCCGTTCATGTAGAAAGTCACTCCTTGTTCTGGTTCCTTGCTGAGACTACTCCAGGGGACAAGCTGTCCCACTTTGCCAGAGCCTGAACAGGTTTCCAGGACGTAGGACTTTCCAAGCTAAAGCTGGGACAAAGTTGGTCACCCCGTTACCACCCACTCTTTCCAGACTAAGCCAGCTCCCCAATTTAAACCAGTCCTTCCCTGATCTGCACCTCTAGCCAGGCCGGATCCACGCACACACCAGCTATAGCTTCTGCTCGTGGCCTTCCATGCACATGTCTGCCCAGGCGTCCCCGGAGAGCCAGGCCTGCGTGCGATCCGTGCAGACGGCTCCAGAGCCTGGGAAGGTACCTGACAGGCAGAAGGTGTCGAGATGCAGAGATGGAAGAAACAAAGAAAAAGAAAAAGAATCAAAGGTTCCCATGCTCTAATACCCCAAAGTTCCCAGAAAAGTTGAAAACAATGCTGGGAACAATGTATTACAAGTTTGAAAGGTTTGCCACCAAAACCGGTCTTGAGGGGCTTGTCCCTTGCTGCCCTGCACGCACAGGGGCTCCACCGCCTCTCAGGGAGGCCGTTGGACAGCAGCCGCCAGCGTCCCCAGCACCCGCCTCAGCTCCTGCGCCGTGACTCAGAGCCGCCCTGCAGAGAAGCATACACCCAGCATGAGGTGCACGTGCAAGGAATTCACACAGCAGCAGCAAGACCTAGGCAGCCTAACTGCACATGGACAGAGGACTGCTGGGAAGTGAGTTAACTAGGGGTCATCCACCTGGTGGGACGCAATGTAGCCGTGTCAAGAAAAGGGGGGAAGGAGACAAGTTCAGAACAAAGTGTGTAGCGGGCCACCACTGGAGTGGGAGTAAAGGGGGTAAATGTGAGTGAGTGTGTGAGTGTGAGAGGGCATGTGCATGTGTGGGGGTGTTTGTGAGGCTGTGTGAGGTGTGCTTGTGTGAGAGTGAGCCTCACTGCGTGTGGGGGTGAGTACGAGGTCTGAGCACGCACATGTGAGTGTGATGGGTGTGAAGGTGAGCCTTCTGTGCGTGAGGGCATACGCACGTGTGAGTGTGCCGCACATGCATGTGAGAGGGGGAGTGTGTACGTGTGCACGTGGGTGTGAGCGTGACCGGGACCGGGCATGTGTATGCCCCAAGGAGCTCTGGAGGAAACCCTCAAGGTCTGGCTGAAGCGGTTCCCATCAGGGAGCGGAGCTGGGAGACCCGGGAGGTAGAGCGGGGAGCGGAACTCTCCAGAACGACCCTTTGGACTATTTGAGCTTCATTTCATGGGAACATAATGCCTACTTGAGGAAATAAATAAAATTGGAACCAAAATCAAAAGTGTGGGACCCTTGTGGGAGGTGGAGTGCCCCTCAGGGCTCCCCGAACACCAGCCCTCACCTGAAAATGTCCCGGCGTCCCCAGGCCAGTGGGACCAGGGAGCCCAGGGAGGGAGGGAAACCTTTTGTCCCCCGTCACACCGACCCCCATCCCCCAAGTCCAACCCGGCAGCCGGGCCGGGGTCCAGAACCGGGACAGTCAGGGAAGCTTCCCCGACCATCCGCCGGCACCTGCACCGGTCTCTTCCTTTCCCGTGGGAAAGGAGCAGAAAGGAATCTTTCTACTTTTTGTTATTCACAAGCAGGTTTCACCCGACCTGTTATCTTTCTCAGAAACCCGTCTAGGTGTCACAGTGAGGAAAGAGGACGTGTGATGTTTGCCCAGCATCTGGGAGCGGTTCCTTTCTATCTAGCAGTTATGCTCGATCACTTTTTTGCTTACAGTTTTTATTTAAAAACCAGAAAAAAAACTAAGTGTCCTTCTCTGGTGGCTGTGTCTGGCTGCCGCCACGGCCTGCCTGCAGTGTCTGCCTGGAGCAAAGCAGCAGATGGGGTCAGAAACCCACACCAGCTCTGGAATGACACCCCCAGTCAAGCCTAAATCTGTGGCCAGGGACCCTGGACCCTCAGAGAACAGGGGACCCTGAGCTCCCTTCTCAGAGGCGATGCCAGCTTTGGGCTGTACACAGGGGCCAAGTGGGCCAGACCTGGGTCCCACCCGGCCCTGCATCATGTAATGAGACCATAAATCTTCCTCTGGTCCCTACTCCTGGCATCTTGGCATGCCAGTCCCACCGCCGCCACCTCAAGAACCTAAATAAGGTGGCCTGAGAGGAGAGACACACCAATATGTGGCAGATCCTAAAACAGGCCACAAAGACCACGGGTCTCCTCCCCAGGGCACGGTGGCCAAAGGCGCGCCTGCAGAGGGGGTGCACAGGCCAATCAAGGCAAAGCCTCGGGGTGTGCTGGTCCAGCCACGGGGGCTCGTGGAGAAGAACCCCTGTGAACGGCACTCGGGGCTCCCGCCCAGGTGCCTGCACTGGCGGCCCGCAGCCTTGCCCACCTGTGAGCTCTCCCAGGTGCACTGCCAACTTGAAAAGAGATTCCCTGGACGTCGTTTCCATGTTTTCAGGTTGGTGGGCAGGCTCCCGGGCCGTCCCCACCGGCACGGGCCAATGGCACTCCTGGACCAGCAGCCGGTAACTGACGTCCACCGGACTCTGCTGGTCTCCGACGCCAGTGGCTTTCCTGGAGGGGGGCAGCCCGGTCTCCCTCACAGTGAGTTCGGGCAGGAGCCCCCACTACAATGCCTGTGGGGGTGGCCGGTGCAGGGGGTGGAGGGACCAGGGCAAACTGGGGCCCCACCTACAGGAGAAATGGCAGAAAACCGCCAGAAAATCCCAAAGTTTCAAGAGGAGCAGAACATTGAGATATTTTTAAGTATGAAATCCTCTCATTGAAAATACTGGTCATTAATTCTAACTGAAACACACAACGAAACCCCACAAGGGGCCGCTTTCAGAGGGGGGGTGGCGCTGAGGGCCAGGGCGGGCGAAGGAGGCGCCCTCCATCGGGGACGTCTCTTTATCTCATGCTGTGGTCACACAGCAGCCGTGCAAACCTGTCCTGTGTGTTTGGTGTTGACTTCGTTAGGAGTTGACGTGTCTCGAGCAACAGGCACACACTTTGCTTCCCCGGCCTCTCTGGTAGCACGTGACCAGGCTCACCCAATCAGAAGCCTCTGCTGCAGACAGACCTCAGTGTGAGAGAGGGAAGCAAGTAAGCAGGCAGAGAATCCCGGGGAGCGGCTTCGGAACATCCCAACGCAGGCGCTGCCTGCTTTCCCAGGCCTGCCAGAGGTTCCTGCGCTTCAGCACGCCCTGAACAAACTCCTTTTGTAAGGAGAGTAGCCAGGCCGGGTTCTGTGGTTTGCAGCCAAAATCCTTGACAGGCAGAGGTGCCTCTGCCTGGTGGGGAGGAGCAGCAACCTAACTCACAGGTTAAGGCTTGCGTCATCATTAATTTCCAGCACCTCACCCCCTGCCCTACCCTTCTACCATGGCTGATCAGCCTGGTGATGGGGGGTGACACTGAGCAAGAGGGCAGCAAGAGCATGTGCTGTCCCCATGGTCATCCCTCTACTGGGGCCCTTGGGACAGGATCCGTGTTGTCACCAGGCCGGGTGGCCGGGCTATGCAGGAGGCTCCCAGACAAAGCCTCCCACTGCCCGGTGCACTCTCGAAAGGAAGTCACAGGTGAGTGTCCTCCTGGCTAGACATGGGGATGAAGGCCTGACTTCTGCCACCTGCTAAGGCCCATGCAAGTCCCTGCGGGCCGACTGACCTCGAATCTGACTTGATGACGGGCTCCCATTTTGAGTGCTGGTGAAGAGAGAGACAAGCAGGCTTCCCAGAGCTCTCAGAGTGGCAGAGGCCCCGTGTTTGGTGGGTGGCTGGTTTCGCTTTCAGAGTGAGTGAGACACGGCCCTGTTCGAGTTCTCCCACCGCACACCCACCACGGCTGAGCTGAACCAGGTCAGGGTGCACTCTGTTGATCAGATCCTGGTTCCTTTTCGGGGGGCGACCCCCTGCCGGCACTCCCACCTGCCCAGCTTCTCTGTGCTTCCTCACACTCTGCCCAGCAGCCAAACCACCGACACCCCCACCCCACCCCCCAACACCTGGCTGTAGATGGGAACACTCATTTCTCCCCTTCGCTTCTGCGTTTCGGCCCCACCACCCTTCTCAGGCCCCAGGCTCCTCCCAGGGGACACGAGCCCCGGTTGGGAGTCAAGAGGCTTGGGTTTCAGTCCCAGCAGGGCCATCAGCTCAGCAGTCCCATGTCCCTCCCTGCAGTAAGCACTGGGCCGGGGCTACAGGCCACAGGAAAGGCCCATGGCGAACCTGAGCCAAACAGAACTAGCTAGAAGGCTCTGGAGAGGTTCACAGGTTCTGGACACAGATGCAGACCAGACCTCGGGGGGCACAGACTCCAGGCCTAGCTGCAAAGATCCCTGCCAGGCACCCATCTCCATCTCCAGCTGTTTCCCGGCTTTATTCCACTAGAATTGAGTCTCTTTGGCTACAATGGGGTGGAAGGTGTCCCCGCTGTCCTCCACCCCTCCCCCACCACTGGCTAGAGAAGACAGGGCACTTGGACTGCAGCTTGGCCAAGATCTCACCTCTTACAGGAAGGTAGATCTTCAAAGAGAAAAAGGGGCAGCTGCCAAAACAGAAGGCCAGAGGGTGCCAGCAAGCCAGAGCCCGAGGGGCCAGGCCTCCCTGTTTGGGCCCAAGATTCTGAAAGTTCTTCCAGGAAGTATATTCTTTGATGACAAGCATCCAAACTGGGCACCTGCCCCCTCACAGGAGGAGGGGTTCTTCTCAGCCCTTGAGGGGCTCCTAGCATGAGGAGGCGTTGAACTCCCCCTCTATTTAGGAGGGAAGGAGACAAGGGCAGGGCTGCCACCTGAGTGGAAAAGAGGGCAAGTTCACTTCCATCCCCAACGTGGGGCTTGAACCAGTGACCTTGACCTCACAGGCCTCCCAGAGCTCATGAGCCAACCCGAAAGCAGCAGAAGGCGAAGAGTCCCAGGCTGTGTCACCTCTCTCGGGGCAGAGCCGCAGGACCGCTGTGACTAGCTCACTTCTTGGGGCCCAGAGCTGCTCTCCGGGAAATGACCTCAAACTGGAGCTCAGACCATGACCGGCTGCACCTGCCCTCAGGCCCTCGCCCACTCCTAACTGAGGGGGGGATTTGGGCTCCCAGACCACTCCCCACAGGTCACCACATGGGACCCCTGGAAACAAGCCCTGGAGGTGGAAGGTGACCGTGGGACAGGAGTGCGTGAGGGCAGAGCTGAGACGCACCACCCAGCTTCCCCAACAGGGTTCTGTCCACACCCGGCCCTCAGTCCCTCCACTCCCCACCCCCAGTCTTTGACAGAACGCTGAAGAGCCGCAGCCGCACCCCGGCCGCACCCCAGCCCCGGCCCAGGCTCAGGGACCACATGAGGCCTGGCCAGCGCGCTGGCGGCTGGAGGGGATGGAACAGGGCATTTCAATCTGGAGGATGTGGTTCAGGCCTGTGGTTCCAGCCCAGAAGCGCCACTGGAACTCTGGCTGAAGTCACCTGTGCCTTTCCTGCAGGAAACAGGGGGGCGGCGAGAGCGGAGGGGGCGGGGGAGCTGCGAGGTGTGTGGTTGCAGCTGTGAAACTCACACCACAGCCCGGACACTTGCTACGAGGGGCTTCTGAGCCAGCCCATGCCACCAGCCCTCTTCCTGTTTCCTTCTCAGCTCTCCCAAAACCACCCTCTGCCTGCCCCCAACACCTGTCCCTCCTAAGGACCCAGAACACCAAGGAGGTCCAGACAGCCCACCTCAGAGACATCACTGGCTACAGCAACACCAGGGCTCCAGAGAGCGAAGCACCATGAAGGATGGAGAGGGCAGAAAGTTCTGGAAGCCACAGCCTTCCCCGAGAGATGCCAGGTGACATCAGCCAGCAACACTGCCCCCAGCCCTCACTAAGCACCTTACACCCAGGGGCTCCCCGCCTGCCAGGCGGGGGTCCAGCAGCGTCAGCCTCCCCCGCAGCTCGTCAGAAGTGCAGCGTCTCAGCTGCAGAATCTGCATTTTAACCAGGTCAGCAGGCAATCTATGTGCACAAGGAAGTTTGAGAAGCCTCACATATTCACTCATTTAATCCTGGCAGCAATGTTTTCGGGTCGGTACCCTTATGATTCTATTCTATGGAAGAAGAAACGAAGGCGCAGAAAGGTTCCGTATCTTGCCTGAGGTCACTCAGGCGGTAAGTGCCAGGGCTGGGGCTTGAACCCAAGCCATCTGGCTCTGAAAGACAGGCTCCTAACTGCTGGGCTGCTGCTGGGTTTGCAAGGAGAAGCCGTGGGACCAGGGGACACTCCTCGCCATCGGGTGCTTGTCCCGGCCGTGCTGCTCCGGCCTTCCGGAACCTACTCTGGCCTTCCTACCGTTTCTCTGACCTCCCGCCTCCCCGGGAAGAGTCTGAGTCACGCTTCCCCAGGCATAGGAGGTAAGAGCACCTAAAGGTCAGCACGGAGCATTCGTCAGGTACGGTATCAGCTCTGGGCTGAGAGCTCTGGTGGCCAAAGACAATAGTCCAGGCACAGCCCACGCTCGAGGGGTCCAGGGCCCATCGGAGGAAACAGGAAATGGCACATGTGTGAACACTGTGACAATAGCTCGAGTTTGCGCAAGGTGCTCAGACACTCCCTGGGCAGCTGCCTCTGCAGAGCGGGCTTCTTGGAGGAGGAGGCTTTGAGCCAGACCTTGAAGGATGGACGATGGCTAACACAGGGCAAAGGTCAGAGACCAGCCTGAGCCAAGGGGCAGAGCCGTGGACAAAGGCATTAAAGAGGCTCATGTGGTGCAAGCAGATGCCTGGAGCTTTAAACATCCCCCAGTCCAACCCTCACCCAGTGCCCAGCTCCCTTCCACAGCATCTCACTCAGACTCTCTTGGATTCGCCCTGTGACAGCAAGATCACTTCTTCCCCCCACACCCAGAGGAGCCAGCCCACTCTGGCGTTGGTGGACACGCAGGTGTGCCCAGCTGCTGCCTGAGGGGTGAGGGACACCTCACACACCCAAGGTCTCTGCTGCACCAGACGGGTCCCCTCTCCCTCAGGCCCTAGAAGCCCTGGCTCCTGGAAATGCCACTGTTACTCAGGGTGTATCTGCAGGGGACCTGTACAGCCAGGTCTCTCCACCCAGAGCAGCCACGATGGGGAGGCGGGCAGGGGGACCTTCCACTGCACTGCAGGGACAGCACTAAAAAGGGCCCCTCCACACCTGAGCCCCTCCCTGCCTGTGGAACCCCAAGGCGGCTGTGTCCACACACAGCGGCCTGCCCCTCCAGGCGGTGGGCTCCTTTGAAGGCGCTGAGCACACATGTGTTATGAATGGAGGCTGCCCGGCACCCTGGGCCTGTGGCCGGTTAATCCCCACTGCAACCACGTGCGCTACTTTACGGTGATTGCCACGGCAGAGAGGAGGACACCCAGGACGGGGTCCGGCTGAGTTCTGCGCACCACACACAAAGGATCCCTCCGCCTCCCCCGCCCTGCCCCGCCACCTGCTCCTCACCACCCACCTCCTTGACACCTGCCTCAGGACATGACCTACAAAAGAAGGTTGGTAGTTGCTTTAAGGATACCACAGTTGAGCTGAAGTGTGAAAAGGCACGCTGACATGTGGGCCCAGAAGCTGCCACCAGAGGGCGATGCTGGCCTCTCCGCTGCCTCCACTCAGGGCCTGTTCTGCAGGAAGGAGATGAGGCCTGGACGAGGAGAGCCACCCAAACTGGACAGCAGCACCTTCTCCTCCTGGGAGTTCCAGGGGCCCTCGTGGCAACCGGGGTGGGGTGGGGGTGCATGGGAGAAGGCAGTGACTCTGGGTTCCAGGAAAGCGTGAGGGGAGCCCAAGAAAGAAAAAGGCCAACACCAGGGACCTGCAAGGGAGCTCAGGGGCTCCCAAGTCCATCTCTTCTCTGCACAGAGGACGGGCCTGAGCTCAGAGGGGTGCAGCTATTAGCCTAGGTCACACAGCAGGGTGGGGGCTTGAACACTGACCCACAGCCTTCCAGAACCCTTCATCCCACTTAACATACGGATGGAGCAGGGAACTTGACTCAGGCGATTCCTCATCTTCCTTTAGCGGTGCTGGTCAGAAATGAGTTTGCCCCCTTCTCCCAGCCCGACTGTTGAGGCTTCTGAGACAGCCGCCAGCCCCAGCCCTCTGTTCCTCCCGCATCGCTTTCCCTTAGCGATGATCATGGTGCCCACCCCTACCTGCAGTCCCCTCGCCCCAGAGCACTGAGGACTCACAGTCCCAACACCCCCAGCCCTGACCCACAACCTCAGCCCTCTCTCCCCTTGTCTGTCCTTCACTCTGCCCCCAAATACCATTGCCATGCCCTTGCCCCCAGCCTTGGTCTCTTCAAATGAAAATCACATAAGAGCATGTCACCCACAGGCAGGGTTCCTGCTGCACTCATGATACAACATCACCTGCCTGCCCTGAGAGGCCCGGGCCTGCCGCCCCTCCCCCTGGCTGCCTGTCAGCTCCTGGAAGGCCCGGGCTCTCCCAGGCCTCGGCCTCTCCCCTGCTGCCACCACGGCCTGTGCTCGCTCTCTCAGAGAGGCCTGCCCTGGCCAGCCCTACCCGATCTAAAGGTGACATGGGCCTGTTCGGTCCCAGCACCTGCCCTTCTCCCCCCATCACTTGCTGTTATTTGTAATTAGCTGGACATTGATGCCTGTCTTCCTGGCTGGACTGTGGCTTGTCAAAGTCATGGGTCAAGTCCATGGAGCCCCATGGCTTCTCTAGTACCTAAAGCCATGAGTGGCTCAGGGTAGATGATCAACTGTATTTATTGGAAGGATAGATGGATGGATGGATGCATGCGTGGATGGGTGGAAGGAAGGGTGGAGGAAAGGAAGGGAGCACAGCAGGGAGGAAGATCTTGTTACGAGGGCGGAGAGGTATTTATTCCTTCCTTCCTTCATTCCACAGGGATTCACCGAGTTCCTGCTGGCAGCCCTGCGCTGGGCACTGGGGGAGTTTCAAGGACGTGTGGGGACTGAGGTCTGCCTAACTCAAGGAAGCTTCTCTTACTATGGGGGAAGGGCAAATGCAAGCAATTAGGTAGCAGAGGAAGCATGTCAGTACAGTACCGTGGGCCTGCATTTTCAGGACAGTCCTGGACCAAGTGTAAGAATAAATGCAGGCTATTTGACTCTAACCCTTTTAAGGTTTTATCTCAATAACAAGACAGAAAAAATAATCTCTCAGACTGTATAGGCAATTTGTTTTTCAAAAATGTGGTTATAGCCCTGGCAGGTGTGGCTCAGGGGATTGAGCACCGGCCTGCAAACTGAAAGGTCACAGGTTCGATTCCCAGTCAGAGCACATGCCTGGGTTGCAGGCCAGGTCCCTGGTTCGGGGCATGCAAGAGGCAACCAATCTATGTACCTCTCTCACATCAATGTTTCTCTCCCTATCTTTCTCCCTCCCTTCCCCTCTCTCTAAAACTTTTTTAAAATGTGGTTTTAATGAGTATAAGAGACATAGAATGGGCCAAGTTCAACAAAACACACACAAAGGACAAAAACAAAACAAAACAATACAAAATAAAACACCACCACCTGGGCCTCGCTTGGCTGGAGCATACGGGGAAGGCCTCCTGACACCCCCTCACCTCCCCAAATTCCAGGGCTCCTATTCATCCGCCCACAGGCAGTGCCCTTCTGCTTCCCAAATCCCAGGAGCAGGACCCAGGCTGGGCCCCTGGGGCTGGGGCCTCCCATGGAGCCATCAACCACCCTGGCCACCAGGGGGCAGGCTAGAGAGACCGGGCCCTGGGTGGGGAGGTGGATGGTGGTGGGGTGAGGGGGTGTCAGGGAAAGAGGAGGTCACTGAGTTTCGGGACCACACTCGGGGTACACCCTTCACGAGGCCCTGCCCCCACCAAGCCTGCTGGGACTCCCGTTGGGAGAGGGGCCTCAAAGACTATGGTCTCCTATGAATCGCGGTCGTGATGATGGCAGCTGCTCCGGGGAACATCCTTTCATCACCGGGGGCTGCAGTTTTAATGAAAGCCTTGTTCTGTTAAAAATGTAAATGGTCACATCTGCCAATTTCCACGGTGTAAGTACTGCTGCCATGGCCGGTTCCAGGCCAGTGTCCTGCGTGTCCGAAGGCGGAGCTTGGAGCAGATACACACAGCTGACCCTCGCCAGCAGGCGCCAGCAGCTCAGCACACCCGCTGACGGAGGGTGTCAAGGCCCAAGGGCGAGTGCTCCCCATAAACTCCTGTAAGGGCCCTGCCCTGTGTGGAGACCGGCCAGCCTGAGGAGGTATGGCATCCTCCAGCCATCCTCTGAGAAATAACAGCTCAGGGGTGGATACTTCTTGGAAAGGCCTGAGTTTGAATCCTGGGTCCGCCTCTGACCCGATGACCAGAAACTCCTTCCGATGCTGCCCATTGAACGGACCCGAATCCCAGGTCCAGGGAAGCTGGCTCCTTCCTGCCTCCTGGCCTTTCTTCAGTTCCTGGGAAGTGCTGAGCAGGGTCCTCCCTCCAGGCCTGTGCCTATGCTGATCCCTCCACCCTCCGGGGCTCAGCTAACCTGCCTCTTGCTCCCCCCACTTTCCAGTTAGCTTCTCCCATGATGCCTTGAGAGCACTGACCCTGATCTGAAGTCCTGGTGGGACAAGATGCCTGGCATCTGTTTCCCCCACCAGACTCCCAGCCACGTGAGGGCAGGGACCGGACCACGTGGGCATCTCGTTCACTGCTTTGCCCCCCCGGGCCCAGCACAGAGCAGAGCCTGGGTAACAGGCGGTCAGTCAGCACTGGGTGAATGAATGAACACACACTACGTGGAGGAAATTCTCCAGTCTGTCTGCACTTGATTGACAGTTTCTTCTCCTACAAATGAGTGAAGTGTCCGCCTTATGATGGTATTTGGCACGTAAGAGCGCCTACTGTGTGCCAGTCTCTCACATATATTTACTTCTTTAGTGCCCACAACAGTCCTGCAGGGTAGATGCTGTTTTCATCACCCCCTTTTCTGGGAGGGGGGAACCTGAGGCTCAGCGAGGTCAGGTTGCCTGCCCACCTCCACCTGGTTAGAGGCGAACCCAGGCCGGGCCTCTCCAGCAGCCTCCATTGCACTCAGGAAGCTCCCCGGCAGGTGTGGGCACCTGAGATTCAGAGGGGTCGTCCTCTCTCCCCAGGCAGAACCCCAAGGAGGCAGCAGAGGCCCCTAGACAGCAACAGCCACCTGGGGGATCCAGGCAGATAGGGCTGGGCTCAGACAGCCCTCGGTGTGGGGGGGACACAGAATTTGTGAGGCGAGCGCCTGGGCAGAGGGGGCTGTCCCATGAGGGACGGGGGGCCAGTAGGCTCTGCAGGGATGAGCGTGACTCCACAGGTATGTGCCAGCACCAGGAGCCCAGGGCAGATGGGACTTGACACGATGTCACGTGGACATGCTGCGCCAGGTGACTCCTGCCCACTGCCGGGGAGGGGCACTGCGATGCAGCCCCCACCCCCAGAAATGTGGTGGGAAAGGAACCCCAGAACTCCAGCTGGCCAAAGGCACATTTCTCTGACTTCGGCAAAAAGGAAGTCCTAATACAAGTTCAGCTGAGGCGTGGAGAAATAAAACCAGCTCTATTTCATGTACGTCTGAATTTGTGACGTCAGTTCATTACCTCCAGTGGTGAAAGGCAGTCAGCCAGACGAAGACTGGCCACCTGCACCTCCACCCCCTGCTGCCACCCTGCAGAGGGTCCCCTGGCGCCTCGGTGTGCCTGGACCCCAGTTACCACTTCCTCCCGCCCCCACCACCACCCGGACCCTGCCCTACTATCCCGGCCGCCCGTCCTGCTGGGTTGCCAGCCAGAGGCTCCCAGCTCTGCGGCTTGGCCCTGCTCACTCCCGACTCGTGTAGTGGAAATCCCTCCTTCCTCTCTGGCTCCCGGCCGCCTGCTGGCCCGGCTCCCCCCATTCGGCCCCGCCCACAGTGTTCTTGCCATCTGTTTCTGGTCTGGTGGAGTTTCTGCCTATGTTCTTCCCTTCCTCCAGAGGTACACGTGGCAGTCTGTGGCTACTGGGCGGAGCCTGGAGCCTGCGGGAGGAGGGGGAGTGGACGAGGGGGAGGCAGGTCTGGTTTCAACTCCTGGCTCTTGCTTCCTGTGGCTGCTCAGCGCAGCCACTCACCTGACAAATGCCCTTTTGAGCACCCACTGTGTGCTGTGTGCCGCCACCAAGAATGCACGAAACCCCATCACACTCCTCACTCAGAAAAAAACTGAGACTCACAGGGAGGAAGGGACGAGCCCAGGTCACGCATACGGGAAAATCATGTTGCCTGTCCTGAGCCAGGAGCTGTTTTAAAGAAATGCGGACCCGGGATCAGAAGCCCCTGGCCTGGCTCCAGAGCCCATTCACTGAAATTTGAGCGTCTCTGAAAATGCCGGCCTTGTCTCATGCGCTTTACATTTTCCGTAACAATCAGCAGTAATTGCACCTTTTCTGCCCCAGTTAGTCCAGAGGTTCTCATTTGAGGTTTTGAAAATACCGTCATGGATACAGCCTCAAGTGGCTGGGATGGATACAGCCTCAAGTACCCCCAAAGGCCCCAATGGGGCAGAGGCAGTTAGATTTTAAATTTGCTGGACAGGTAAGGATAGTGACGGGGTTCCTGAGAGGATGGAGGAAATCACCCAGCATCCTCCAGTCCTCGAGTCAATCAGGGGCTCATGGGCGGGGCAGGGGGGCAGAGCTGGCCCAGCAGTCTGCCTCCTGCCCCCAGGCCTGCCCCCTTCCCATCGTTGGGGAGAAGCCTTGCAGGAACAGTACTGCTTGGTAGATGCTGTACCCAAGATGGACCGCCACCTGGCTACTCTTCCCACCCCTCTGCTAGTAAATCTCTTGCCTCCGTTGAAGTCCAGTCGGGACGTGGCCCTCTGCCCCAGGATGACATTCACAGTCCACCAGGTTTCCAGGTGCTGTTCCACGGACTCCCCTGGACCACACAGCCCAGCCCGCTAACTACTTCCAGCCTTGCCCTGCAGAACCCGTGCTCCACCTGGCCGCCAGAGTGACTTGCCTCTTAAATCGGCTCTAACCAGTGACTGCACTGCTCACAGTCCTCCAGCAGTACCCCAGCACCGAGGAGTTCAAGTCCAGATTTAGTCTGATGTTTAAGGCCTTTCACGGCTACCTTTCCAGTCTCAAACCCCCTCCACACAGCAGACACCGAACTGGTTCCACCAATTTCAGAGCACACTGGCTGTTGGAGTGACTGAGGGGCTGGTCTCTTGGTGGTTGGGGAGCCCGTAGAGGGGAGCTCTGGGCTGCCTCTGTCTCTCTAGAGCTCTTCATCTGAGTCCAGGGGACCCAGGAGACCCAGTGGACCCAGGACCAGATGCCCTCCCAAGGTGGAGCAGAAAGAACCAGGCTGGACCACCAAGAAGACATGCAACCTTTAATCACGCTGGCTGAGCAGGGCAGGATGCGGAAGGGCTGGGACACTGCGTAGCACCGGCCTTTGCACCTGGTCGGGGCCCGTTGATGTCACCTGCCACGCAGCCATGGCTCCCTCGGCTGTAAGCAAGCACCAGAGACCACCACCGGGCCCCTCTTCCCAGAGTCTGCATAAGCACCAACAGCTGGGGGCCGCCTCACTCAGGGCAGGGGGCCAAGCTTCCCGAGTGGGGGAGAAGGCTGAGGGCTGCCAGGTTGCCCCACCCTGGAAGTGGGAGAGGGACAGAAAGCCTGATGTCCCTTCCTTGGCCTGGGCCTCTCTTGGCATCATGGCGTGGAGGAGGGTCCCCCATGATAGACCTAGAATGTGACCTGCTTCAGCCCCCAGACCTGCTGAGGGGCCCAAAGCCTGGGGCCTTCCGTCCTCACATTTCTGAATGCAGCACCAGGCCAGAGGAGACCCTGCTGGCCCTTCAGCACCTTAAAGCTTAGAGAACCAGTGACACTGGGCCAGTGAGGGGCCCAGGAGGGTCAGAGAGCACCTGGGGACAGATATCAATTCCTGCCATTGGCCGGAAACTTTGCAGGGCTGAGGCCCAGGCGGTTTTGACATGACAAGCTGAGCAAGGTCTCAACTGAGCCCAGGAGGGGGTAGGGAGGGGGTGCTGTGAGGACAGGAGTCCTCGCAGGTGACCATACCAGCTGTATGGAAGCTAAGGGTCTGGGACCCCTCCCCCAGGGGCCTCTTCTCCCCCAAAGCGCCCAAGCCCCTGGGTCCTTCCTTCATAGCACCCTTGCCCTGACCAAGGCTTCATCGGGGGTTTGCCTTAATGACAGGCACTGAGCAGGAATGAGAGTAGGCAGGGAACACCCCCACCTCGGGGACCCTGTCTTGCCAGCCTTGGGGAGCCGTGGGTAGTGAGGGGCCACAGTGTCTGAATGCCCAGAACCCAGACGTGTGTGATAAGAGCACCATGCGTCTCTCTGGGTCAGGCCTCAGAACCCTGTGTCTCCCCGCCCAGCTGGACTGCACCATCACCGAGGGCGGGGTCTGTGTCCCACCCCCCCCTGCCCCCCCAGGGCCTGGCACAGAGTGAGTGTTGGGTGAATGATTGAATGAGCTCTCCAAGAGAGGAGAGCAGTAGAAACAGACTGGGAAGGAAGGAAGGAAGAAGAGGGCTCCCCAGAATGCCGCCCTGCGGGCCCACTTGACAGAGCGGCACACTGAGGCCCTGCCGGGGATGGGACCTGCCCTGGCCACCACCCCCCAGCACCAGAGCTGCCCTGCTGGAGGAACTAATCGTCCTCAGGCTTGATGAGGTGGCCACTGAAGGTGATATAGATGTCCACGTCATCGCTGTAGATGGCATTTTCACGCTCCCGCTTGAAGAGCCGGGCCCAGACGCGGTCGCCCGGCGCCAGTGCCAGCATCACGCTCTGGCTCTGCATGATGCTGCGGTCACTGGGCTGTGCGTACAGGATGACGGCCGCCTCCTCGTTGTGCATGACATGCACGTAGGTCTCCTTGAAGTTCCAGCTGTGCACATTGAGGCTGAAGAAGTAGAGGCCGCTCAGGGGGGCGACGAAGTGGCCAGCGGCCATGTCGAAGTGCGCGTCCGGGTTGACAAAGACCGTGTCGAAGAGCAGCGGCTGGAAGCCCTCGCTGCTGTGCAGGGCCGTTTTCCGGCCCACCGAGAAGGCCGAGAAGCGAGTCTGGCACGGGCTGCCAGGGCTGCCCGCCTGCCCTTTGTCGCCCTTGGTGCCCTGGGGGCCTCGCTCTCCCCGGGGACCCTCCCGGCCCAGCTTCCCAGGTGTGCCCAGCGGGCCTCGGTCCCCTTTGTCACCTGTGGGAACAAGAGAGAAATCAGGACAGGCACCTGAGCAGCCAGACCTAACGAAGGGGGGTACCCCTGCGGAGGGTTCTGCCCCTGCCCAGAGAAGAAGCCAGCATTTATTGAGCACCTACTGCACGCCAGGCAGCACCTCCCTGCATGCCATTCTAAAGAAGGCACCGAGACCTCTTTCACGCACAGAAAGGTTAAGTGACACCACCCAGGGTCATGCAGCTCAGGAGCAGGGACACAGGACTCCAACTTCACGGTTGCACCTCTCCCCCCGGCCCCCCCACCCCTCTCGACTCCCCCCTCTGCTCCCCACCCCCAATGAGGCCCAGCAGCCCCATCCCTCACTATGTGCAGCTGCACTCCAGTGGGGATGCAGGAATAGCCGGCACACTTTGCATTTCTGACCCAGAGAAGGAACCAAGGAATTTTCCTCCACGCACCCGGAGGGAAATGCCCCGGTTAGGAACCAGGCAGCCCTTGGCCAGCATTACGCCCCACTGTGCCACCTGACCTGTGCCCACATCACAGGGGAGTCTATGAGCCCTCCACGAAATGCCGATGGGAGAGTGTGCTGAGAACTGAGTGCACTCTGCAAAATTGGTTCTGCAAATACGAAGCAGGAAGGTTCACCCAGCACTGTCTGGTCCACCTCCACCTGCCCCTGGGTCTGGCAGCACCAGCTCTGCTCCCCCCGGCAGACACATGTCTGCTCAGCCCTTGCTCCAGCCTGACCTTGAACTCAAGAAGCACATGGCTACTTCAGTCCTGAGGGACCTGATCCCAAATATTTCCCTGCTGCCCGTCACAGAGCCAGAAATCGCACCATGAACCACACCTCTTTGAGTGAACAGCACCGCCCTGTGTCTTCCCGGGTCCCCTCTGACCATGGCAATACAGGAAAGAGAGGAGGAAGGGGCCGAAAGGAGGATGCAGGCTCTTGGGGGAGAAGCCTAGAAAGAAGGGCAAAAGGGGAGCACAGCTCCATGGAAGTCTGGTTCACCGGCTCATTGGGGAGGTAACTGCCCCCTCACGTGCACCACACTTTGCAGTCTGCAGAGTATCTGCTTCACCTGAGGGAGCAGGTGAAGGCGGCTGTAAGAGACAGTTACCTTCTCCTTTTTACCGACAAGGCAGGGAGCCCAGGGAGGGAGAGAACAGTCTGACCCACACAACCAGGGAGCTGAAGACCTGGGCGTGGGGCTTGAGACAGCCAAGTGCCTTCTGCAACAGCAAGCTGCCCATTCACCATGGCAGGCAGCTAAGCCTGGCCCAGGAGCAGTGGCCCAGGGTTTGTGGGGAGGGTCGTGTGGGGAGACTGCCATCTGCAGCCAGGCGCCTGTCGACCTTACAGGGAGGCTCTGTGGGCCTCAGGGAAGCTCTGATTTATGAGGTGGGGGGGATAGGGACTCGAGGAAGGGAGATGTCCTCACCTGGGAAATCCAAAGGCAGGAAGGTCTCAGACACCAGCCCACCACTGGCTGTGGGGTGGGGTGGCCCTATGGAGACTCTAGGGACAGATCCCAACTCTGCCTGACAACTGCATGACCCCAGGAGAGCTCCTCCCTTCTCAGAGGCTCAGCCCCTCCCCAACTGCAAAGTGGGAGGGAGGAATGACAAGGTACCAACCCTGGGGCTGTGTGAGCACAAGTGGAGGCTCAGGGTGCGAGGGGCCTGACCCCAGCCTGGGGGAGCACAGGGAGCGCCCTTCGGGTCTGACTCTTGCCTTAGAGGATCGGAGCCAGCGCTCACCGGCTCACCGCGTGGCCCTCGTGGCCCTCGGGGCCCTCGGGGCCCTCGGCAGGTCTCCCTGCTTCTCCCCTTACCCCTGAGGTCAATTCCCCACAGCACGCTGGAGGGATCCATTTGAAACTTAAGTCAAATCAGGTCTCCTCTCTGCTCTCACCCTCCCCTGCTCATCTCACTCAGAAGAGAAACCCAAGTCTGATCTGGGCCCTACTTCATCTTTAATTTCAGCTCCTTCTGTTGCCCTTGCTCCTCAAAAACCCCAGGCCTACCTCTACCCCAGGCCCTTTGCATCTGCTGTTCTCTCTGCCTGAAATGCTCTTTCCCAGACACGCATGGCTTCTCCTCACCTTTTCGGTGAGAACTGACAGCCCTGTTTGATAGGCAACCTGCACTCCTGATGTCCCTTCCCAGCCCCATCTTGTCATTTCCATGGCATTTATCATCATCGAACATTCTGTCTCATGAACTTGGGCAGTACGTTCACTTCTGTCTGCCTCCCCCACTAGGACAGAAGCTCAGTGGCAGTAGGTGTCTCTGTCTGATTTGTTCACGCTCCAGCCCCAGAATGCAAAACGGTCCTGACACATAGTAGGTGCTCAATTAATGTGTGCATAAAAATAAAAGGGTCTGGAATAACTTTCTGTCCTGGTCTCTGCTACTTCCTCCACCTCACCTCCCCCAGGCCCAGGAAGAGACCCCCATGCCCTCCCTGTCCCTGCCCAGGCCAGTCCCACTGGAGCCATGTGTGGGTACTCACCCTTCAGAATGGTAATGTTAATGTAGGGCCTGACCTCAGGCAACACGTACGGGAGGGTGGACGGAGAGACTGAGGACACGTCTGCAGCATCAGCAGGGGCCAGGTGGTCCTCAGAGTCAGAGTCACAGCACCATCGGCAGTGCCCAGGGGCATGGGAGGCCACAGCTTCCCCAGAGGTGGGCTCTTCAGTGGGGACCCCAAACACCAGGAGAGGGAGCAGGAGCACCGCCCAGAGGACATCTAGGGCAGCTGTCCCCATGGCGACCTGGAGCAGGGAAGGAGGGACAGGAACTGTACTTTACCTACCTCTCCCCGGTGCCCACGTCCAGCATGTAACCCACAGCAAGGGCAGCACTGCAGGCCTCGGGGAGGGAGGATCGCACCCCCACTTCACAGACAAGAAGGCTGAGGTCGACACGGGCAAGCGAGGTCTCCAAGGTCACAGAGACCCATGGCAGGGCAGGGAAGGGCCTGCAGGCTGAGTCTCCCAGAGGAGCCCAGTCCCTGGACCCTCTGCCACATAAGGGCCCCAAAGGAGGAAGCCCCTCTAAAGAGAGTCTAGGCCGAGAGCAGAGAAGGCTGGGCAGGGGTGGGGGGTAGGCGGGTGGCACGGTGGGGAGGAAGAAGCCCCAGCTGCCCCTGGGTCATAACTTCCGGGACTGTACAATGCTCTTCCCACCCTCCCACCTCCCCTCCTCCCTCCCTCTGGCTTACTTTTCTAGCCGTTGGCAGATGGGAGGACCCTTGGGACAAACACAAGCACAGGCTTGCTGGTTAGGAGGACACAGGGCTGAGCCATGGTCTGGGGCACGAACACAATGGTCATGACAAAGGAGCTAGGAAAGTCCATTTATTCTAGGCGACAGGTAGCGACTTCCATCAGAGAAAGCGCACGGGGTTATTAATCTATTGTTGAGAGGTCAGGAGTAGATGTGGAGTCACAGGCTAGAAGCCACTGAGGACCTACGCGGTACCTCTGATCAAGGGTAGAGGAAGTTGCTCCTGCGGAGGGACAAATTAGAAACAAAGGAGAATACGCCGCTTACTGCGGGGCTTGGCAAAAGCTAGCATCTTCGTGCAGTCCGCAACCTCCGACTGTAACCTTACGCAGAAACCCTGCAGGGAAGCCTCAGGCGAGGCAAATCATTGGAAAACGGTTGTGTCAATCATACTAGACCTGCCAATCAGCTGCCAAGGTGGTAAATTGGAATTAAGGGGCAGGAGTAGGAAATCCGGAAAATTCAAAAGGATCAGAGAAGTACAAGGATTTACAAGGGTCTGTTTCGGCCTTGGCAGTAAAGAAGGGATCTGGCATTCCTGGAGAGGGGCAGGAAGTGGCCTGGACACCAGCCGCTGGAGACAGGCCGGGGCTGGGCGGGCAGGAAGCCGGGCGAAGGGCCTTTGAGGTGGCGGCAGGCTTTGGGGGCTGGCGCCGAGTTATCGCAGGATCAGAAACTCCGCTTTTGAAACTAGACTGGTTTTTACACTTCTGGCGTTTCTGTTTATTTCCTTTTTGTTCTCTAACATTTAGTACAATTCAAAAATATTTTTCTGTGGTTAATACATGTAGAGAAGGTAAAATTATTATTTTAAATGCCATCCTATCGGCTGAGTGCTGCGGTAAGAGCTAGATTTTAAAGGGGCAGGCAACACCTCTCCCTCCCTGCGGCTGAGGAGGAGCAGAAGGGAGGGAAGCCAGGCCGCCTCCCAGGCCACCACCCCTCCAGAGGGTGACCATTCCCCAGCTCTCCCCCACCCCTGGTCCGCTTTCCCAATTCTCCTTAATAAAAGAGGTCGAATCCTCACAGATCAACCCTCTCCCTGTCCAAGATTATTACCCTCGCCTTTTATTGGTAAATTACACAACCCAGTGGTTTTGAGAAAAGCAAGAATCCTGTTTTTCCTGGCCGGCATGTGACTTGTGGAGAAAGGTGAGGCCTCAGAGTCAGACCTGAAATCCCGGACAGTTTACAAGCTGTGGGACTCAGGGCTGGAGGCTGCACCCTCTGGCCTTCCTGCCCCTCAGCATTTGCTGGGAGAGGACATGCCACCTTGCTCCTAGGTGGTCCGGGATGATTTAAACACAGGACAATTGCCTGACTTGTAAAAAAGACTCAATAAAAAGTTTGTTCCTTGCCCCGCCCGGTATGCCCTCTGCCCAGTGCCTGCCCAGGACAATGCAAGGAGGGCGGGCTCAGTTTGGGGGCCTTCCTGTGGGTTCCAGCCAGGAGACATCAAAAGCTCTGAGGTGTGAACTGTGGATGGGGAGCAGGAAGCAGGAAGCAAAGTGGATTTAACAAAAGTAGTAAGGACAGCCAGCATCACTGACTGGCTGTGGGGGAAGGTGTCAGGCAAGGAGTGTGAGGGACAGGGCCATCAGGAGTGATGAGGGGTCCCTGTTGCCTCCACTCGGCAGCTGGGATCTCTTTGGGATGGGGGGAAGGGCAGGCCCTGCTGAGCGTCCCAGCAGCGTTAGTGGGCACGAGCTGGGGCAGCAAAGGGCAGCCCTTCTCCAAGAGCTCAGGTCTCACTCACGGGGAAGGGAGAGCCTGGAGGGGCTGGCCCGGGGGCCGGTGGAGGGGGGTGGGGGGGTAGTGCAGAGCCAGAGAGGAGTCCGGGAAGAGGAGGGAGGAGTGGAATTCCAGGCTCTGACCCCAGCCTCCTCCTGGGTGGGTGCTCAGCCCTGCCGTGGGATACGCAGGACCTCCATCACTCACCCGGACTCCTGCAGCCTCGCCCAGCACCTCACGGACCCCAGGCCTCGGGTTAGCCTCTAGCTCCTATGCCCATGTCTGCAGTAATAGCTTGTTGCTGGCCCAGACCCCCAGGCCCAGCGGAGGAGGTCGGGAGGCTGGGCAAGAGGGAGGAGAGAGGGACGAAGGGCGGAGGGAGGAGGGCTGAGCGGGAGGGCTGAGCTGGCTTCCCACTTCCCCTCCTCCCTGCTCCCTCCCCTCCAGCCGCAGGGTTCTGCTGAGATAATGGGAGCTCTGGATTTCCTTTGCTTAACTCTTTGGTGGTCTGGTGGGGTCTTGCCGGATTCAGAGGCCCAATAAAGTCAGAGCCAGAAGGGATCTGAGGCCCCTGTTGTGCTGGCAGGGAAATCGAGGTGAGGAGGGGCAGGAGCTCCTTGTAAGTTGCTTGGGAAAGGGAAGAAGCTCCAAAACCCTGTTGCCAGGAGCCTCCAGCTCAGGCTGGGCAGTGGCGAGGACACGGGCTCCAGCGCAGCAGCCTCAGGCTCAAATCCTGACCACTAGTAAGTAACACCCTAGGTGTCCGTAGAACTCCAGTCCCCGGCCCCATCCCTGCCAGTCACAGGCAAGGCTCAGTCAAGGTTTGTCCAGTGAAGGCATTACCTGCAGGGGTTCCAGGGGGGCAGCCAAGTCAAAGCCCCACCCCAGTGGATGCCAAAGTCCTCCTCCTCTGCCCAGAATTGCATCCTCCTGGCCTTCTAGAGCTCGTGCCCCTGTGGAAGTGACCCCCAGGAGTTCACGGGAGGGCAGCTACACAGTGTGCCTCGGGTTCTGGGCAGGGTCCTCCAGCCCAGCTTCCCCCTGGTGAGGCTGCAGGAGATTTAGAAAGGCTGTAGCCCTGGTTCTCTGCAGCCAGAGAACCCTGTGCAACAGCACTCCCATGTCCCCCGCCTCCCAGCACCCTGCCCCTCTTCATTTGTTGAGTACTTGCTGCCTGGGCTGGGCCTCTTCTGTACAGGGGCTTTCAGTACCCAAAGGGTCTTCCCGTCATTTTGAGGAATCCCACCCCAGCCTTGGGAAAGGGAGCTGATGGGACTTACCCGATGTCACACAGCCAGTGAAGAGGAACTAATGCTCTACAGAGTGGAGTGCGTTCCACCCCACTGGAGTTCCCGAGGTGGGCATGGTGGTGGGCAAAGGCTGCCGTTCATGGTCTGGCCCCTGGGAAGGGAGAGGGGTGACATCATCACCCTCAGGAGGTGCAGGAATGCAGAAATCTGAGGGGGATTTACTGAAACCTGGGGTTTAAGGCTGGAAACCCATCCAGTCCCCACTCACAGGTGGGCAAGGTGTGCAGGATGAACAGTTGCTGGGCTATGTGTCCTTGACAAGCTCTCATCTCTGGGCCCGTTTTCCTACTAGTTTGGGGGATAATCCAACAGCAGACTATCCTGGCCTTGAACGACCCTTAGAGATGATCTAATCCAATTCCTCAACCTGTCCCACAGGGAGGACAAGCCTTTGGCTCAAGGTCACACCCCAGACAGGAATCCAAGCCAGGATGAGAGCCAGACTCCCCAACATCTGGCTCTGTGCTGCTTCTCCCTCCCAATCCCACTTGGAGCCCCCCTAGGCCTATTCAGGGTCCGTGGGGCCAGAAGGAAAGCAGATGGAAGGGCTCTGGCCACTGGGAAAGCTATCAGGTCCACACTGGCTGTGGCCTCTGTGTGGCCCTGCCCCCGGCAGCGTTCCCAGGGCACACAGCCAGGGCTGCAGAGGGAAGGAGCCGATGGGAACCACCCCCCACCCTCCCTGCTCTGCTGCCACCAGGAAAAGAGCTGAGTCAGCAGCTCTGGAGCCGGACACAGCTGGCTGACCCTGGCTCTCTGGCTTAGAAAGCCTAGCATCTGAGAAGAGGGGGAAGGAAAGGAAAAGTGGGTGGGGGATGGGGAGAAGCAGGCTGGGCACACAGGGGTAGTTTTGTCGGAGACTCTTGCGTGGCCAGCACTGGGTTCCATGCCCACTCGACTGCCCCTATGCAGGGAAGGCTGCTCGTCCCACTTAACAGGTGGGGAGGCTGACCCCGGGAAAGGCACCTGACTCACCAGGTTCTAAGGCCAGCTCCTTTGGCCCTGAGCCACATAAATGCCCCCAGAAAAGGGTCCCTTGTCCCCGTGGGTGCAACACCATTGGCTGGGGCCATGGCAGACATGAGAGCAGAAATACTTTACTATTTTTCCTCCCACTCTCGTGCGCAGCACGCCTGAAAGCCCTCCATTTGCCCATTGCCCCTGGGTCTCCCAGCCATTGCAAGGGTCTCCCCGGCAGGCCAGGGACCTAGGAAAGGGAGCTCCAGGCCTGGGGCCAACAAACCTGGGCGATGTCTCAGCTCCTCTGCCTTTTCCAAGTGCGACCTTGGGCATGTCCCCCTACCTCCGGGCACCAGGGAAGGCAAGGAAGCCAAGGCCACCTGACAGCCTGGTGGGACGCCCACTGGGTGCTTCTCCCTGTTAAACTCTGGGTGTGGGGAGGGACTGAGCCCCTTCTCCTCATGAACACAGATGAGGAAAGTGAGGCACAGACTCACTGACTCAGACCCAGCTCCCAGCCACATTCACCTTCTAGCCCAGAGTCGGGAGAAGGTATCAAAATAGTGACATTTTAGTGAGTGCTTACAAAGCCATGGGAGCCCTGCGTGTATTTAAAAAATAAAATGTGTGTTCAACAGGGAGAGAGATCCGGACAATTCCTGGAATCACCTTGCAAGTTGTGACTGGCAAGTCCCTGATCCAGTTGTTCAAGGACAGGAACCAATTAAGAAACCAAAGGAAGCTGTGAGCGCCACCAAGTGGGGAGAGGATGGTCGAGTCTGGCGGCCTGAGATGCTCCCATTCAACCTGGCACCCACCCCATAGCACCCATCCCAACCCCTTCTCAGGGAGCTGAGGGCATAGGGGAGGGGAGGAAGAGGATGAAGAGCCCACTGAGAGGCGCTAGGGGCTGGCTGGGACGCCCATCCCCTCACTTGCTCTTCAAAACCCCACCAAGTGGGCAGAGGGCCCAATGAGACCCCCGGTCTCCGACCTGCGCGTGCTCTCACTGGGCTTCCTAGTTCTACCGAGCCCCTCCTTTGATTAGCTGGGTGCACTTCACTCTGTGGACTCAGTTTCTCCATCCTAGGCTTTCTGCAACCCACGACTGATCCATCCTAAAGGTGTTAATCCGAACCGGACGACTTATCCCACTTCGCAGAGCGGGAAACTGAATCCCCAAGAGGCCCACAGAAGGAAAGAGCCAGCCAGCGCCGTCCCAGGTCCACTGGACTCTGTTAATTGTTACAGAAAGGAAACTGAGGCTCAGGGAAACGGGGTCAGCAACTGGCTTCCTCCCTACCGCCTACTAGTGACAGCGCTCATCTTCCCCGACTCTCTCGGCAGAATTAAGGGAAACCCTCCACCCCACCCCGGGCCCGGGGAGCCCCTCCATCACCACCCGCTCCACTCTCAAACACTCGGAAAAGATTGCCACCGTTCGCAGCCATGCTCAGCACCACTAAGGGCTCGGCTAATCCTGACCCCCGAGGCGTGGACACCGCTGGCGTGAAAACCGAGACGCGTCTCAGCTCCGGCCTCCAAGACTCCATCCGGGAAGCCGGACGAGCAGGGGTGAAGAAGGAACCGCTGTGGCGCCGGGGAGGGGCCTTTGCGCATCCAGTGCTGAGCGGAGCCGAACAGAACCGAACAAAGCCGAGCTTGGCCGAGCAGAGCCCAGGGTTGCCGAGAGCTGCCGAGGCTAGCCGAACAGAGACGAGCCCAGAGAGCCTGACCGAATATTGCCGAGTCTGACCGAATATATCCGAGTGGGGCCGAATTGAGCCGAGTCTGCCCGAATGAAGCAGCGGAGTGATGGAGGCCCCCGGCGCCCCCTGCGGGAAAAAGAGCACAGGATCCTTCGACAGTCCTGTGAGATGGAGCTCTGGAGCCCGTTTTATGGATAAGGAAACTGAGGCTCCAGGAGGTTCCCAGGCTAAACTAAAGGCACTCGGATCTAAGAAGTGGTGGCGCTGGGGCTGGAACGCGGTTCTGTGGCCAAGAGCTCACTTGCCACTGTAATGTCTATTGCGTTCTCTTTGGTCTCCTCGTCATTGCGGCCTTTTGATTATGGCCTGAGAGAAGAGACCCGCCCTGCGAGAAGAGCAGACTGAGCCCCCTCTTCTCACAGATGGAGAAACCAAACACCCTCCGGGTTTGTTGACCCAGTGCGACAGGGCCAGCGGTTCCCGTGTGCAAATATTGACCTATTTCCTGGTCATTAAAGCAGAGAGCAGGACAGAGTGGCCATGTCCTGCAGGCCCCCACTCCCCACCTTTACCAGGGTGGCCATGGAGGACATGGGCTTCTGGCTCCTACAGGCCGCGTCCCTAAATGCCTGAGCCAGGACCTGAAGTGTCTGGGACCCTGGAGAATGCCAGGTGTGGCCTAGGTACTTTTTTGACCCTGAGAAAAAGAGAAGGCTGGTCTTGCCCTCCACACTCACACTCGAGCGTGAGTGTATGCCTGTTGTACACCCCTGTGTGCACACTGCCCAGACCTGCCACAAGGCTGTGGGGGGCTTGCTGGGCAATGTCTGGGCCTGCAGGGGACAACTGAGGTGCTCTGGGGCCTGGGCTGCCCCTCATGCCTGCCTGTTAGGTCTTGCTGAGGGCATTGTCTGCCACTGCCCAGCAGCCACCAAGGAGCTGGTGCCAGTGGTCTCAGAGCTCTCTGCACCCCCAGCAGCGCTCCTGGCACCCCAGCCCTCATTCCTGTAGTTTTAAAAAACCAGACACTGGATGGGGGGGGTAGGAAAGCCGGGTTCTTGCCCCTGTCTCTGGTGCTGCAGCCCTGAGCAGGTCACATGACCTACGCAGGCCTTACCGTCTTCAGCTGTAAAACGGACCGCAGAGCTGTTCTCGGCACCTCCGACAGACGTCCCCCACACCTCCTTCCCCGAGCACAAACTCCCTCTTTACACTCAGCTGGACTATGACCCCTGCTGAGGAGATGCCCACCCCCACCCACAGACAGGTTCGTGCTTCTGCTCAAACCACTTCTCAGGTTTACTCAACACGTGGCTCCTGCGATGCACCAGGCACTGGTCTAAGCTGTTTATAAATATGAACTCATTTAAACCTCCTAACAATAGAGACAGCTGCTCTTACCCTCATCTCAGAGAAGAGGAAACTGAGGCACAGAAAGCTTAATGAGCTGGCCGAAGGTCAAACAGGTAGTGAATGGATGGGCTGGGATTCAAACCCAGGCAACTCCAGACTGGAGGTGGGGGAGGCAGTGCTTGAGAACTACCTCCTTCTCTCTCAGCTTGGCTTCTGAAAGACCGGCCTTGTGCTTCCCTGCTTTCAGCTGGTTGCCTTTGTCAGCTGCCCAATAAACACTTGCTGAAGGAAAGAATGAACCAGTTAGTCCACGGGTCCTTCAGAGTTGGGGGGGGTGGGGCACCGCCTCTGCTCTGCAGGCGGGGCATTGTATTGGTTTGCAAGGCTACTGTAACAAAGCATCACCGAATAAGTGGCTTCAGCAACATGAATTTCTTTTCTCAGCTCTGGAGGCTGGAAGTCCAAGACCAAGGTGGCAGGCAGGGTTGCTTCCTTCTGAGAGGGGCTCCAGGCCTCTCTCCCAGCTCCCGGGGATTTGCAGGCACCCTCTGGTGTTCCTCGGCTTGTAGAAGCGTCGCTCCGGCACTTTCTGTGCGCAGGCCTGTGTCCACATCTTTCTTAAGAACATCGGTCCTGTTAGATTGGGGCACACACCCCACTGCCGTATGACCCCATCCTAACTACCTATATCCGCACCCTTGTGATTCTAGCCTTCTTTGAAATTTATTTCCAAATAAGGTCACATCCCAGGTACTGGAGGTTAGGACTTAAGTGTATGACTTGGGGGGTCGGGCACAATTCAACTTACCACAGGAATTAGCCTTCTGACACTGGTCCTTCTGACTAGGTCCTCTCTGACACTGTCTCTGTCCCCGAATTGGGCCTCATCTCTGCTTCCCATTGACTGCAGGCCTGCAGCCTCCGGGCCTTAGCGCAGTCAGGTGCCTCCACCTGGCACACTCACGCGCAGCCCTCTGCTCCTGGTGCAGCCCCCGCCGCTGACCCTCCCCACAGTTCTGCTCCCCAAGAACAAGCTTCGCTTCCCTCCCCACTAGATAGTGATAGAGACATTTACTTTCACGGGTGCCTGTGAGTACCCAGAGTATAAGAATCGGGTCTGTTTCCTTCCACTGCACCCCCAGCCCAGTGCCAGGAAATCTTCGCAAACTTAATGAACCACACCCAGAGAGGTTACCTGAATGGCCCAGAGCCACACAGGAAGTTCATGGCAGAGTGGGCCTAGGGCCCAGCCCTCCTGATTTCAGGCCCTGTGTCTTTTAGGGGATGCAGTGTCCTCACAGCATCCCAGTGGACTGACTCCCCAGGGCCCACCAGTGATGGGGAAGCCCGCTGAGACCTTGGCAGAACCACGGCCCTGCACAGCTCCAGGGAGAGCCCTTCACATTATAGTCCGTGATTCTCACACTTTTTTAGAGTGTTTTCTTCTGTGTCTGTGGAGCCCAGGCTGTCCCCTTCCCACTCCCAGCTCCTCTCCTGCTCATGCTGATGCATGAAGTCCGGCCCAGAACCTGGTGGCCCGTGGGCTGTTGCCTGGCAACCACCTCTGAGAGACAAGTGCAAGGGAAGGTCTTGGGTCTGAGCATGTGGGATTGTGGAGAAGAGGACTCAGTGGGGAGGCTCATCGCCACCCCTTCCTGCACACTCAGCCTCAGCCCCGGAGCAGCCCCTCACCCTACAGTCCCTGCGGTTCCCATAACCACAGATTCCAGCCCCAAACCTCCATACAAGTTCCCTTTGTCCCCCTGCTCCTCCCCACTTCCTGTTTATTCAGGGTCACCACCTTTTACAAATCGGAAGAAGGCTAGAGTCACACTGGGAAAATCGCCCCCTTGGAGTTGTGAAGTGGAATTCTCCTCATTCATTCCTTTAGTCCAAATACTCACATGAAGGGCCCAGTGGTGCCAGGCCCTGGAAACACATATGCATCGGGAACTGTCCCTGCCTGCCTAGCGTGGGACCCTCCACACACACACACACACACACACACACACACGTGCGCATGCACGTAAGCATGCACAGACAGTGACACACGGTGTGGTGGGGAACCGGGGGGCTGGGGGTCCAGTAGCAGGAGGGGGGACCCTGGCCTGGGCACCACTCCCACCCAGTACTCGCCCCCATGGATACAGCTGAGATGCCCTGAGCACCTACTGTGCACCTGAACTGTGCTTACCTCCCCCACCCCTGCCCCAGCCTGCTATTGCCGCAGCCTGGCTGCCCCCCTTGGCTGCTGCAGTCTGTCCCCCACCCAACTCCTACCCCACTGGTCAGGCCAGACTCTTCGTCACCGAGTTCTTCCTTCTCTCTGGCTGGCAGGATGGTCGCATCACCCACACCTGGCCAATCATGGCCCTCTATCACCTTGTCTTTGGTTATTATCCCAAGGGGCCACCATGTGACCTAGTCGGAACCAATCCGCTTCCTTCCGTGAGATTTGAGATTTGGACTCAGGAAGAGAGTGTATCTACTGCTTTTGCACTGAGATCTGTAAGAGTGCAGGCTGAGGAGTGTCGGGGCATCTCCCGTGTTTCCTGGAGGAGAGGGACTCTGGGAGGCCTGGGTGTGAGGCAGAGCTGAGAGATGGGCGCAGGGAGCACCTTGAAGGAGATGGACGCGTGTTCGCACACGCCCGCCCACAGCGACCTAGACGCGCAGCGCCCGGCAGAGAATCGGCCCAGGCCATGGCTGCTGTCACGTGACACCGTCTTTATTGACAAGAGCTGGGGGCAGAAGCAGCAAAGAGTTTCCCCAAGGGGTCTCCCAGCCACCCTTGCAGAACAGGCTCCCCTGGCCCAGGAGTCAAGAAGGCAGGGCTGGCCAGGGAATGCGGAATGCCAGGTCCCCCTTCACTTGCCCCCCCAATCCCCTAAGGGGGCCACACACTCTTCTAAGCCCTGCCTTCATGATCCTTGGCCTCTGACCCCTAAGTCCACCTTTGTCTTGTCCTCACCCCCAAGGGCCAGATACAGAGAGGTTGTAGGATAGAGGAGAAGGGGGTGTAGCCGAGCCTGGCGGGGGTGTAGCCAAGCCTGGCAGGGGTGGGCCACCTCTACTTTATCATCTGATACACCCCACCCCCGCCCATTACAGCGTGCATGGCAGTTTACCTGGCATGACCCATTTTCCTCCCCAAATCCCAGGAGTCAGACAAGCTGGGAAAACCGCACCCATTTTATGATGGGGAAACTGAGCCCCGGAGAGGTTGCAGCTTGCCAGGGTCTGGAGGTGAGTTGAAGATGTGGATCTCCCACGCCGAGGTTTGTGTGCTTTCCCCGAGGGCCCCCCACCCTCTGCAGAGTGGAGACTTAGCCAGAGGTCCCACCGTCCCTGGGACCAGGCTCCCTGTGGCTGTCGGGGGTCATTTCTCGGAGGGTGTCCTGGCTGTCCAGGCCCAGCCTCGGACCCTGGCCTCTGTCTGTGCTCCCAGTCTTTGTCTTGTCCTCCCTGGGCCTTTGCAATCTGCAGCCCCGGGGGGGGGTTTGTGCAGGGCGAGAGGCCCGCTCCCGACCTGCCGGGCCTTGCTTCTCAGAGCAGCCATCAAGGCCCAGCCCTTCTTACCAGCACTGATAGGCCCTGGAGGGGGCTGGCCCTGCACCTTCCAGACCATTTGCTGTTCCACCCAATGGCATCATTTCCTGGAGGCTGGTTGGGCCAGGCAGCCCGGTTTCACGGATGCCGCAACTGAGTTCATTCCAGAGGTGCCAAGGACAGCTTCAAGGTCATGGAACAGATTTATCCTCCACCCTCCCCCTCCAGACACTCATCCTCCTTCCTCTTCCTCCCCTTTCCTCTTCTTCCTCCTCCCCTCAGCACTGTTTAGATCGGAGGTATCCAACCTTTTGGCATCTCTGGGCCACTCTGGAAGGAGAGTTGTCTTGGGCCACACATTAAATACATTGCAACCCATAAGCACAAAAAAATCTCATAATGTTTCAAGTGCATTTACAATCTTGTGTTGGGCCGCATTCTCCGCCATCCTGGCCACCAAGAGGGGAGGAACAGGCACAGCTTCTACAGGGAGGTTCCCGGAGCTCAAAGACCCAGAGACCCCTGGAGGCACAGGACGCACAGTGAGCTGCTTTGGGCATTGGTGGGCTGCCCTCAACAGGGGCTGAGCTAGGCTTCAGGTAGCCCAAGCGTATGCATTTTGGGATCCCTCTTTAGGAAAAGCAATACAAAATTTGCAAATACAAAACTAGACGCAGGGTCTCTGATGGGCCAAAGCAGTAAGGGACCCGGCAGCTGGATGTAATGAGCTTCTCGGAAAATCCCCCTCTTCTCCTCGTGTCCAGGAGCACAGGAGTCCCAGCCTGAACCGTCTGGGCCAAGAGGGCCTGGAGGTTATTGGGCTGCTCAGCAGGCGGGGCCTGCCGCCCAGAGAGAAGAAGAGATGGCTGGAGGCCTTGCAGCCAGCAAACAGGGGAGGGCTGGTCCCATACCCCTCCCCTCTGTGGGGTATGGCGTTCTTCGACTCTGGGCCCTGGTCCAGCTCCCTGTGAATCTGGGCCCCAGTCCTTCTCCTATGAGCCTGACTCTGAGCCCAGAAGACCCAGGCCTTGGTTTATCCATCTGAGGGCCAAGATTCAAGCCAATCAGCCAGGGTGCTCTGTCTCTGAAGGGGACAGCTGGGCCCCACTCAGGAGGGTCAGCCCAGTGGTAATGTCCCTCCAGTCTCCTCATCCGATTACTCCCACCCCTGAGTCACAGGAGAGAATGTGAGATCTGAACGTCCCATCCGGGGGCCCTTGGCAACTTGAGCGCTGCGCCCTAGGCACCCCCACAGCCCCTGTTCTTAGGCCCAGGGGGCTCCCCACGGGCCCCTACACACAGCTGACACGCAGTGCGCCCGGCTTCTCCCCAGCTGAGGGCTCTTGGGGCAGGAACTGCTGTTCCTTGCCAGCCACGTGGCCGGGCAGCAGCTCCTGCCCGCTGGTGCCCGGCTGTGCGATCTGACTCACCCAGTCCTTCATCTCCTTCTCTCCCCCGGGTTTCCCTGCCCGCTTCAACCCAACCTCCTTCCCACCCTCCTCCCCATCCTCTTCCTCCTCATCCTCCTCCTCTGTCTTCTCCGGAGGCCCGGCAGGGGGCTCCTGGCTCCTCACGCGGCGGGAAGGGCGGAGCAGGACGCGGCGGAAGCCCTGCTTGAAGCGGTAGGAGAGGAAGCCGTAAAGGACGGGGTTGGCGCAGCTGTTGGCGTAGGGCAGTGCCACCACCAGAAAGTAGAGGCCGAAGAAGGCGGGCTCCTCGGGCAGCGGGCACACGACGTTGACGATGTTGAGCACGTAGAAGGGCATCCAGCAGAGGACGAAGAGCACCACCACGGCCACCACCATGCGCGTCACCCTGCGCTCGGAGCGCCGCCGCCGCTGGCACGAGGGCGCCCACACCCGCCGTCCGGCCGAGCGCATCTTGACCACTATGAGCAGGTAGCAGAGGCAGATGACCAGAAGTGGCCCGAAGAAACCCAGCGCGGCCGTGTAGATGATGAAGCCAGCCCGCCAGGCCGCCGCCGGCTCAGGCCACTGCATGTGGCAGGTGCTCATGCCCCGGGGAACCCCTGAGAAGACCACCACGGGCAGCACCACCACAGCTGAGGCCACCCAGACTGCTGCGCTGACCATGCGGGCCACCGGTGCTGTGCGCCAGCGCGCGGAGCGGGTGGGGTGCACCACCGCCAGGTAGCGGTCCACGCTCATGACCGTGAGGCAGAAGATGCTGGTGAACTGGTTGATGCCGTCCACGGCCATGACCAGGCGGCACATGAGGGAGCCGAAGGGCCAGTAGGACAGGGCATTCTGGGCAGCCAGGAAGGGCAGCCCCAGCATGAACAGCTCATCGGCCAGCGCCAGGTTGAGGATGTAGACGTTGGTGACAGATGCGCTGGCCGTGTGCCGCAGGACCACGTAGATCACCAGTGAGTTGCCCAGCAGGCCCACCACGCACACCACCAGGTAGACCAGCGGGATCAGGACCCCACGGACGGCCAGCCCAGCTGTGCTCGGGGCCACAGACACATTTCCCAGGGTGGCATCCAGCAGCCAGGCTGAGGAGGTGTTCCCAGGTTCCGAGGTTGTGGGCACCAAGGGAGGGTAGCCAAGGGCGTCCATGCCTGAGTGGAGGGCAGTCCACAGTCAGCTATTGTCCTGGAGGAGGGAGGACACAGCCAGGTCAGGGCGGAGATGCCTTTCTCTCAGCTGCCCCTCCTTCATCACTCTGAACTGGTGCTCATCCAGAGTTTCATCCACACCTGCTCATTCACAGCACGAGCCAGCGAGGCAGGCCAGCAAGTCATCCCCCCCTTCTCTGATGGGGAAACTGAGTCTCAGAGAGGTTAAACTGACCACCCTGTATCACCATGGCTCAGGGATGCAGGCTTGCCTGGCTCCAAAGGGCAGGGACCAGCACTGACCTGTGCCCCGCCATGTCCCTTTGCCAGTGCACAGGGTGAGTGCCACACAAACGTCCACTAAAGGAATCAGTGGGTCATTCAATTGGCCGATGACAACACCAGCGCTTTTCAAACAGCTCAGATGCCAGTGCATTCTATGTAGCAACCCAATGGAGTCACATCACTTCATAAAACAACACGTGCCCTTTGTACATATGACGGTCCCAGCCAGCAGAGCCCCAAGTGGATCACCCACTGCTGTCGACTAAATGGGTCCCTCACCAAATTCATATGTCAGAAACCTAACCCCCTGGTGGGACAGCATTAGAAGGGGGGACCTGTGGGAGGTGACTTGGTCACAAGGGTGGAGCCCTCACTGATGGGATTAGTGCTCTTGGAAAGGACTCCAGAGAGTCGTTTGCACCTTCTGCCACGTGAGGTACACAGCAGAAAGATGACCATCTGTGATGCATGAAGCAGGCCCCCCAGCAGGCCAGCCCCTTGATCTTGGACTTCCAGCCTATAGAGCTGTACGTCTGTTGTGTACACCTCACCCAGTCAACTGTAACCTATTACAGGGGCCTGAGCGAACTAAGACACCGCCAACAGGTCTCAGTCTCATGCCTGAAAACACTGCTGCCTATCACAGGGTCCTTAAACTTGAACTTGGGTCTCTAGACAAACTTCAGAGCACTCATGAACCCCCTGAACTCTGAAAGCTCAGAGCTTTCGTCAGATTAAGAACCATGGGCCGGGGATATCCCCTCCGCTGGGAATTAGAGCCCCGGAGGACCCCTTCTGTCTGGCCCATACCACTTTGCCCCTGCAAGATCCTGCCCGAGATGACTAGCTGTGAACCTGGGGTATGGGGGGTGGGGCTCCTTCTCCCCCGAGAGGGAGAGGTGGTAGAGAGATTCACAGCACGCTGGAAGTAGGCACAGGAATAGCCACCTCCCCCAGCCCCAGCAGGCCTTGGCTTCCCTGAGAGGAGGAAGTGCAGACGAGGCTCGGAGGTCAGTGAGAGTGTGCCCCCCCCACGCACAGTGGGGGCCAGCATTCCTGCTGACCTTGCTGGCACCTTCCTCATCACGCCTCCCTCCTGTGCAGGTGAGGAGCTGGGACTCCTGCCGTCTCTCCCCGCTAGACTCTGCTCAAGGGTAGAGACACTCTTACTCAGCTTTGGACCTTCCCCTGTCTCCCAACTGTCCCTGTCACACAAGCAAGAGCTCTGCATCGATGTTTGAGGCAGCATGCAAATGAATGAGAGGAACCAGAGCGGGCATATCATAATGCAAAGGGAGGGTGAACTGCCGATGGTGGAAATTCAAGCCCTGCTGGGAAAGGCCCCTGCTGGCTCCCTCAGCGGGACTTCCTGGCTCTCAGGAGGTCCAGTTAGCAGCCAGGACTGAAAACTGGACCCTCCCCTGAGCCTGGACCTCCCCGCTTTTTCCTAATGATCCTTCCCCGGTACCCAATATCTTCCTGCCAGCCCAGAACTGGGCCTGAAATGCTACCAGTTTGAAGCGGGGGTCCACCTTCCCCTATCAGATGCAAAGTTGCTGGAAAAGGGAGGCGCCGAAACTCGAGCAAACACATGTGGGTGCCTGCGTGCCCTGCAGGGTGCCCTGGGGCTCCCAAGGGTTCCGAGCACCAGGCAAACAACCCCTTGGCTGTGGCTCCTCCTGATGAGACCCCAGGCTGCCTGGGCTCAGAGCACTCCTCCCTACTCCAAGCCCAGGGAGAGACCCCCAGCCTGTCCCCAAGCCACTCATCATCCCGGCTCTCGTCAGCCCTCCTGAACCTGGGATGGACAGCGTCAGTAAGGGAGGGACTCTCTGGACAGCGGGCTCATGGAGTCCTAACAGTGTTGTCAGCTCCTGGTCACGGAGACCCATCACCAGGTTCTAGGCTAAGCTGGTGACATGTTGCATCCTATAGGTCTTATGAGGAAGGCAGTAGTGTCTGCCATTGCCAACATACGGACAGGGAACAGAAGAACAGTGAGTCCACACTCTCTGATCACGTACTTGTGAAGGGTCAGAGCTGGGAGGACCCTTAAGACCAGCCGCCACCCACCTCCACTTCCCAGGCTGGCAGACTGAGGCCAGGCCTGCAGAAGGCACTTGCCTGCTGTCCCAGCTGGTCACGGCACCCAGCCAGCATCCTGCTCCCCCACCGGCCATTCGGAGCTCCCGCTGCTCCTCACGACCTTGAACTCTTAGGATTACAGACCCAACCCCCTAGACTGACTCTCGGAGGCCTAGAAATAGAATTTCAGTTTCTTCAAACTGAGTTGTAGAGTCCAAAATTTTTTGACTGCATGCCCTTGAATCAGAGAAGGTTAGAGTTCCAGGATACCAGCATCAGCCCTTTTTAGACTTGGAATTGCGGGATCTGGGACCTTAGAGCCCTGGCTTCCTCGGCCGGGGGCCCCGCATCTCCCGCTCACCCACCTGAATCCCCATGGGCACAGCTTCTCCAGAGCGTCGCCTCCGGGTGGCCAGCCCAACTCAGCGTGGAGGCAGGAGGGGAGCGCTGGGCTCCCAAGAGAGAACCAGCGGGGCAGACCTGATTGCCAGGCTGCAAGGACAGATGTCCCCAGGGAACCCTGGGGGCGAGTTCCGGGGACAGCCTCCCTCCTGCCCGGTCACACACGTGTGCACCTGCACACACGAGCACAGGCACTAACACACACATGGTCCTGGCGGGAAGAGGGGGGACCCACCAGGCCCTGCATTTGTACCAGGAATGAATGAGCTCTTCGCAGAGCCCCTGCCCCCTCAGAAATGCCCTGCCTCCACCCTTATCTGGGCCCATCTCCCCTGACCAAGTTCAATGGGCCAGGCTGCCGAAAGCCAGGCAGAAACAGCTCTCCGGGGGCGGCGGCAGCCAGACCTGCAATTTAGGTGCCGCCTTTTCTTTTGGGAGCAGGAATTCTGTGCATGATCTAGTTCATCCTGGGGGAGGAGAGACTCTTCCTCCCTGTCTGGTTTATCTTTGGCACAGAGGGCCTGGAAGCTGGGGGTGGCCTCCTTAGAGGATGGAAGCCCAGAGGGGGTGAATGGCTGCGCTGAGCCCCACAGCAATTCGGGACAGTGCTTTCCGGGCTACCAGGCACCCCAGCGGTTCCCCATGTGCTGTGTTCCTCACCCCCTGCCCCTTCGAGTGCTGGCCTTCAGGCGCAGGGGCCCTGAGCACGTGTTGCTTTAACCTCAGCCACTAGCGCAGCGCCCAGAACGTCGGGGAAATGTGAATAGACCAAGAAGTTCAGCGAGTAGAGCTCCCTGTGAGGCAGGGCAGTGCTCCTGGGCAGAGGCCTCCACCTCGCATTATGAAATCCTCGCAGAGCCCATGAGGGAGGGTTTTTAGAGAGGAGGAAGTTGGGGCTCAGAGAGGTTCAGTAAGTTGCACAAGGTCACTCAGCTGGTGAGCCGGAGGTCAGAATTCAAACCCAGTTCACTCTACTCTGAAACCATCAGCAGTGCCCGGTCCTGCTGGCTTCCCTGAAGGCCTCAGGCTTAAAGGAGCCAGGCAGGGACGGGACGGCCGTGGACAGTGCCGGCTGATGTCCCCTAGCGAGCTGCACTCTGCTTGCCCTCTGTTGGCCCGGGCCTCCCCCCAGGAGGCCCCACATTGTGCTGGTCATTGCCTACCGAATTACTCCCACCCTAGGCCTGGGACCTGACCCCCAAGAACACACCCACAAACCCTAGGATGGGGCTTGGCTCTGCCACAGAGCAATGAGGCCCAACTGCAGTGTGACCTTGGACAAGTCACTGGACCTCAGTTTCCTCCTGTTAAAACGAAGACGAGCGCACCCACCTCCCAGGGTTGCAGTGGAGGTTCCCCAGGAGCGCGCTGAGCAAGGTGCCCGGTGCAGACAGGGGTGCGGGGAAGCCGGCTCGGGAGCTGGGGAGGCCGGGCAGCCCGGTGCGTCTGGCTTCTTCCAGCTCTGACACTCTGCTGTACTGTGATTCCAAGATTCTAGAATCGTGGTACGAAATGCCAGGATTAATGTCCCCCCACCCCCACAGCCCCCCAAGAGGTCACGGAAAGCCTCCTTCCCTTCTGGGCCCCCCTCCCCTTTCCTAGCCACCAGCCCCAACCTCCCAAATTCATCCTGGGCGGAGGTGGAGGGGTTCCAGGATCCCACCCTCCGGGACCCCACCCCAGTCCCAGCCTCCTTACCTGCCCGTGGGGTGAAGGATCCCCTCTTTGCTGCCAAGCTGGTAACCATTCTGCTGCCCCTCTCCCTGCACTGTGCCCAGCTGCCCCCCGAGCACCCCTTAGCTGGGGGCTGCACACGGTGCCCACTTGTAGACCACTTGCGGCCCGGGCCCCTTCCTAGGCCCTCGGTGGCCACGTCTGCCCACCAAGCCTCTTCCATCTGGTCTCCAGCCCTGACTTCCCACTGGTGCCTGGTGTGTCACCCCTCATCTCCAGGACACATCCTGGAGGGTCGGGACACACGGGGGTCTGCAAGCAGGAGCCTGCAGTGGGGATGGAGGGAGAAGCCTCCCAAGGAAAGATGAGAAATAGGGAACAGGAGACTGTCGGAGCCAATAGAGAGAGAGGGAAGAGGGAGGTCGGTCGGAGGTGGAGGGAGGGAGGGAGAGAGAGAGAGAGAGAGAGAGGACAGTGAGTGGGTGGAAAGCCAGAATGAGGGGGAGTGATGAGAAATGCGTGACAGGGAGAAGAAGAAAGGGAGGAGGAAAGAGAGCGAGAGAAGGGACGAGAGGAAGAGATGTGGAGAGAGAGCAGGGATAGAGATAGAGGCAGGAGGGGGTGGCAGAGAATGACAGAGAAGGATTGTGCCACAGATGGTGACATGGTGAGCCAGGGAAGGAGGGATCAGGAGTGAGGGTGTGGGAGGGGCTGGAGGAGGGGCCCAGGGGCCACAGAGCAGGTGCCGGTGAGGGAGGAGGGACCGGCCTGCTTAGGGGAGGAGGCTGGTGGTGGGGGGGGAGAGGCCCTGTTACCAGGGAGATTTCAGCCACCCACGCTGGCCTTGGCTCCCATAGGGGGCTGGAGAGAAGAGAGAGGTGCTCAGGGAAGCCGGAGGCTGAGAGCCAGGGACCAGACGCCCCCCACCCCCGGCCACCATGGCCCATGTCTGCCAGGGTGACACCTGGGTCCTGAGGCCAAGTGGGTGTGGGGTTGGCCTGTGCCACCAGGAGCATGGGGTGAGCACTGGAATGAGAGTCCAAGTTCCCGTTCGCCAGCTATGGGCCAGACACCAGCCACAGAGAAAGGCCAGGTCGGGGTGTCAGTCCCGAGACTGGCTGAGTCTGGAGAGCCCTGGGCAGGGTGAGGTGTGGCAGGACAGGGAGAAGGATAAATACTGCAGTCCTGGGGGGCAGGGGCCAAGAAAGTTGACAAAATTCCCAAATATAATAGCACTAATTGAAGACAACGTCTGTGATGCAGTTCTACCGCTGAGAAGAGTAGAATTCTTTGGGGGGAATAATATTTGGATTAATTGGAATTCAAAGTTCGTGGGAAACACAAATCGGTTGCAAGTGGCCATCTGTGAAATCTGTCCTTAGTGGCAGGCTGCAGGCCAGCAGGTGGTGGGCAGGTTTGGTCCCTGGGTATAAGGGGCTTGGCCTGGCCCTGAGCACAGGCCTGGCTGCCCCCGACTCCACACCCCAGCTTGCGCTGAGTGGCCGTGTGACTGTGAGTGAGTCCTCTTCTCCCGAGGCCTCGGTTTCCTCATCAGAGTTATGGGGAGGTTAGGCTACACCATCCTCAGATCCTCTTTCAGCGTGAGCAGTACAAACTCCTAAAGGTCACTGGGTGATGACGGCTATTTTTATTAACGGCAGGCTGCTTCTTGTCCATTATCTTGCTTCACACCCCCACACCCACTCTGGTGAGCAGCGTCAATGTGTCCGGTTTGCAGATGAGGAAGCTCGGGCTCAGAGAGGGGGCACAGTCCACTCAGATCACACGGAGAAGCTGGACAGCCTCATGCCAAAGGTGCGCTCTCTCGCACCCTGCCGCGGAGCAGCCCGACCCCTTCCCAGGAGGGCAAGGGGGTACCAGTCAGAAAGGCAGGGAGAAAGAAATGAGTCTTTGTTGAACACCTACTATGTGCCAGGCCCCATTCCTCAAGACCGGTACACGACCTACTGGGTCATAGGGCTGCTGTGTAGTAGGCCCTCGGAGAGCCAGGACTCTGGTTCTCCCAGAGGTGCCATCCTGGCTGCTGCAGCACACAGTAGGACCAGGCACATCCTGGCATGTGCCTGGAACACCTGCCTCTTGCCGCTGTCCTTCCACTCACTGCGGGCCCTGCACGAGGCCCTCCCTCCAGGCCTCACTCTCTCGTCTGGCCAAGTTGGAGAGGAGTCGGTGGGCTCTGAGGCAGCTCCTGGGAGTGCGGCACTGGCTTCCCCCCCAACAGGGCCTCCTGCAGCTTCTCATCACCCACCAGGTTTTACACTCCCCCTGCACCTGCTCCCCCCAACACAGCCTGTCTCCTCCTCTGCTAATTCCCCCGCCCACCTGGTGTCCAACCGCACCCAGCCTCATCCAATCACGTACAGAGTCCGTCAGTCTCCCATTCACTCATTAGGCAGGTGAACCCAGAAGGCCTCTCTGATAGGGGCAGTGACTGAGCGGATGTCTGGGGAAGAGCCCCAGGCAGAGGGAAGGGCAGGGTCTCGGAGCTGAGGTGGGGACAAGTGTGTGTGTTTGAGGGAATTGGGGTGACACTGGTGTGTCTGAAAAGGGGGAGGTGCGGCAGTGCAGCCAGGCTGGGGAAGGTCCCCATGCCAGACTCCCCATCTCAGCCTGGCTGGGCTGGGGGCTTCTCAGGTGCGAGCAGGGGCGTTCGGGGCCTGATTTCTGTTTTCTGAATGCTCACGGGTCAGAACCGGTGTTGGTTCTCCTCCGGGCCTTTGCACAGGCTGTGCCCACCCCCACCCCAACCCAGCTCTCCCATCACCTCCGGATGTGAGATGAACTGAGTCCTCCTTCAGGGGTCCTGCTCCTGGACTTCTCGGAACCCCCTGCCTCCTCCATGTGGCCTCTAATCCAAGCTCACCAAGACTCAGCTCAAGGAGCTGTGGGCTCCGGAAGGGAGACTCTGTGTGGGTCCTCACTGTGTCCCCGGGCCTGGCATAGTCCTGGCACCGTAGGCGTTTGCTGCATGTTTCATGAGGAAAAGAGGGTAGGTAGCTGGTTGGTGGGCGAGGTGGAGGAGGAGGAGGGAGGCTACGCTGCACATCTGCTGGGTGGCAGGGAGCGGCAGGCTGCAGAGGTGGTGAGGGGTCCTGAGCACCAGGCTGGGGACAGGTGTGGCCTGAGTCAAACACCAACTCCCACCCAGGGCCTCCCCCAGCAGAAATGCCCCTGGTCAGGCCTCCACTGGGAATGGTGGGGCAGAAGGCAGAAGTGCAAATCTATACCTGTGAGCTTTGGGGGGGCAAGGGAGGCTCGGTGTCTGGGAGCCGTGGGGTGGCCCTGCCCTGCCTGGCATTGCAGTCCTAGAGTATGAGGCCGGGACCTGTCTCATGTCTTCCTGGTAACCCAGAGGGGCTGCCTTCCCAAGATAGGATGATGCTATAGAAGTCTCTTTCGTCACACCCTGGCCCTCCCAAAACTAGGGCCATGTCTCCACCTCAGACTGGAGGGCTCCTTCAAGTCCAACAGATGTGCCTCCACCACCAGACAGGTGGTTTTCCAGGGGCCAGGCCCCAGGCTCCTCCCACCCCTGAGAGCTAAGACGGAATCTGCCCCTCCTCTGTCCCTGCCAACACAACACCATGGCCAGAGCAAACCCAAGGGCAATGTGGGGGCCTCAGCTACAGATGCTGAGGTCTGTCCTCTCAAGTAAGACAAGTGAAGCCAAAATGCCTTCCCAGCCAGCCCCTGGAGCTTTGTCACTGGAGTCCCCCATCAAGGGTGTCTGTCTTCTGGTTCATCAGTTCCCACTGGGTCCTGCTGGGGTTGAATCTCAGCTTCACCATTTATTTACTAGCTGTGTGATCTTGGATATGTGACTTAACTTCTCTGAGCCTCCGTCCCTCATCTTCATAGTCCCTACTGTCTAGGATGCTTTGAGGGTAGAATTACTTCCGCAGCCGTTCCCAGGGGCACTGCTCCATGTTTCTTTTATACCCTAAGCTAGCAGGCTTACCATGGCTCATTCTTTTGTCAGCACAAGTGAACAAGCCCAAGGGCGAAACACACTCAGGTCTCTCCCGTGATACATATGCTAACAAGCCATTGGCCAAAAGCAAGTCACGTGGCCAAGGCTCTGTCAGTGGAGTGGGAAATGATGCCGGTGCCCGGGAGGTGGGGGTGAGGGATGGGAGCTATCACCTGCTCGGCATCATCAAATCTACCACAGGCCTGATAATCAGGCTGGGGTCTCATGGCCTCCTGCTCTGTGGCCAGTAGTCAGAGGCCTTGGGCCCAGAGCTCTCTGGCTGCATTTTCCCTGCTCGGGTTTAGAGAGGAATGGGTGCCGGGCCGGACAGTGTGGAGGCGAAGGCCTGGGGTCTGACTGGTCCTTAAAGGGATTCCCAAGCAACACCCCGCTCTGCCTTGTTTTCAGCCTCCTGCTTAGCCATCTGTGATGTCTGAGCTTCCAGCTCAGGAGCCTCCGGGGGGCTCTGTAGGGCCAGTCGGTTTGCGTCTCTTCAGGCTCCACCCCGCCCCTCCCCCTCCTGCCCCCGCACGGAACAGCAGGCTGTTAGGTTTGCCTCCCCAGGGCTCTGTTAAATCATTTACCACTTCTCCATCTGCTCTTCTGCTCGGGTGCCATGCTTGGGGTCACAGGTGTCTCTTGGTTTCTGTGAAGACGAGAGTTTGAGTTTCTGTTCATGTTCTCCTTGTCGGGGCTGCTTTTCTGTGAGGCTGTGGTGGGATGGTGAGCAGAAGCTTCTCTACCCTGGCACCCCGAGCCCAGAGCCTCTTCCTTTCTAGTGCACTCCCGTGGTGTGTGGATAAAACCACATGCTGGGTGTTGGTTTACACGTCTGTCTCTCCTACTGGCCCCTGGGGAGCAGAAAGCTGGTCCCCTGCCTTCACTTCCAGCTCCGGGCACAGTCGGCACAGAGCTAGGGGTTGGTGCGTGGGAAGTGAACTTAGTTAAAGTTCAGATTATACAGATGACTGCTCATCACTTCACCTTCCTTGAGGCCTTCAGAAGTCTTCTAGAACCATCCTAGACCTTTGTCTCCCTCCTGAGAACCTATCTGGCCCTACTTCCCATATCCCACAAGGTCCGAACGGAGTCAGATGTCCCAAGAGGTAAACATTTCTCGGGTGACAGGAGGGTAGAGGGAGTGGGAAGGAGGGTCAATGATGAAAGACAAAGACAGCAGGATCGATGTCTCTCGGTCTGTTAAGATCGTGCTTCCAAGTATATCCTCACTTTGGCTCACAAACATTTTTACCTAAACAAATTTTTTTTAAAGATTGCAGGGACTTGGGCTCTGAAAAGTCAGTAAAAATTGTGGGAAAAATTGAAAACTGTTTCAATAGGCCATTTTATCACCTCGTGATTCTGCGGTTGGCTGGGCTCAGTGGGGTGGCTCTTCTGTCCCGCATGGTGTCAGCTGGGGCTGCAGTGGCTGGCCCAGCTGGGATGGCTCGTGCCCCTGCTTTGATGGCTGGAAAGCTGGGCTCACTGTGTATCCAGCATCTACCAGGTGCCAGGTCCTGGTTAGGGTCATGGTGACCTATTTTAGTAGAAGGGATATTTCCCTGGGCTCTCTGGAGATTCAGCAGCCCCCCACTGTGCCGAACTCCTGAGTAAGCCCACCCTTGACCTTCCCTCAAACCCTGTGTTCAGCACACAGCCCCGATCAGTATTTGCTGAATGTTCACGTTTTTTAAGGCATCTGAGAAACACAGTCGTGTTTGTAAATGAGGATGATCCCCCAGGTTGCCTAGTGGAGCTGGAGTATAAGCAGAGACCGTGGAGGCTTGGATGCCAGCGAATAGGTGGTAACTTGTGGCCAGGGAAGAGATGCAAGGCCTGGAACAGGGAATGGCAGTAGGCCAGTGTAAGGAGATGGGTTTAGCAGATATTGGGAGCCAGACTTGTCCAGGCTTGGTGGCCGGTCAACACTGGGGTGAGAGAACGAGAGGAACCAGGGGCAGCTCCAGGCCTCTGCTTTGGAAGAAGGAACAAGGAGCTCCCAGGCTCTGTGATAGAGAGGCCCAGATGAACTATGGGAAGTCTTGCTGGCCGGTACTTTCCTGCCCACCAGGCCAGGACCACGCAGTAAGGAGCCAAGGGTGAGGTGTTGGCCAGGGTGTATGGGTGCCTGGGAGTGGTTGCTGTCGAGCGAGCGAGCAGTGCCGTGTTGTCAGCTCCTGCCCACAACCAACAGCTCTTCCTGTTTCAAAACAGGTTTCTCTTTCCTATCTAAAGGGCCTCCAGTTCTCAGCCTTCTAGAACAAAAACAAGTGATTCACTCTGTGTTTCAGGGCCTGCTAAGCACAATCATACAGTGGAAAGAACAGCATGGAGCTAGAAGTCATGAGACCTCAGTTACAAATGCCATCAGCTCACAGTAACAAAAGGCCTGGCCAACAGTGAGGAAACAAATAGGCAGTCTCGTTTTCCTTTCATTCCCATAATAAGGGAGCCATTGGCATTGGTTCAGCTGCCTACCAAAGTGGTCAAAAATCCAGGTATTTTTATCTTTCTGATCCTCTATTCTTAGCATGTTAGCATGTGTCTTCATGTCACCGGCTTCAAGTTTGCAAAGAGGCTGCTGCAGCTCCAGACATCTCATCAATATTCAAAGCAGGGAAGGGGACAAGACCAAGGGCAATGTCAGCAGGGTCTACCACTTTTTAAGGAAGAAGACAAAACCTTTCACAGATGCCACCTCTCCAGATGATTTTTATTTATATTGTGTTGGCCAGAACTGTGCAATCTTGGAACCCCAGCTGCAAAGCAGGCTGGGAAAACAAGTAGTTTTGTCAGGGTTTAGGTACATTGCCGCTCTGCACAAAACTAGGATTCTGATAGCAAGGAGGATGGGTACAGTGCTAGAGAGTAGAAAAGTAGAGTGTTTGTCTTAGTGGGGTAGGTGAGCTCTAATTTCTGTGTCCACCTGCACCTCCCTTTCCTTCTCTGCACACACACACACACACACACACACACACACAAAAGCTGCTAGTACCTACCTTGCAAGGCCAATAGGAGGATGAAATGAGGTGATATGTGCTGGGTGAGACCCCACAATGGTGAGAGAATTAATTTACTGATGTTATTGGAATAAGGCAACAGTTGTGCCCACTGGGGCAGGCTCAGGTAAATCAGGCCCACCTTGGCATGCAGGGAAGTTCAAGGAGCAGAGGAAATTATTCCAGGAAAGAGGACGGGATCAGCTGTGCAATGGCCTGGGGTTAAAGAATGTGGCTTTGAGGAAATGCTAGTTCAGTCTGACAGCAGAGGTGCGAATGCCGAAGCGGAGACAGGGAGGGTGTGGCCAAGGAGGCTTTGAGGAAGTGAGAGTCACTCCGATCAGAGGTGTGAGTGTGGGAGGGGGGAGGGAGGCAGGGGGCCTGGGCCACCAGACGGGGCTGACCAGAGGCCCCAGGAAGAGCAGGAGGCAGACGGAGATGCCCCTCAGACTCTGGCCTAGAGGGGGCGCTGCCCTCTTTTAGACAGTGAAGGTTCAGGAGTGGGTTCTGACCTGCCGCCTCTGTGTTCCTGGGGTGCGATGGTCTCAATGTGGGCTTTTGTTTGTTCCATAGAGAAGTCGCTTTAAAAGCGGCCAACTCCTTTGAGTTGAAACTAATAGAGCTGGGGGGTTTCCCTCTGCAACTAGTTCCTTTCTAGACGGTGAGGCTCCTGGGAGGCCAGTGAGCTAAAAAGCCGGGCATCAGAACTTCAGGACTTCAGGGCATCGGGGGTGACTGGGAGCTCCGGGGGGAGAGAAGAAAACAGAAACTCAAAGCACTTCACTGGCTGGGAATTGGGGACTTCTGAGCCTCCAGGTGGGGTTTTCTATCCCTTTATTCCTTTATTGTAGCCTCTCTAGAGTGTTGTCTAATTACGTCAAAAACGCATGTGCACACCTGGATCCAGGTACCTGGATGATTCCCCCGCCCCCCACCCAGAACAGTACCTGGCACAGAGTGAGTGCTCCGTAACTGAATGAAGGGACAGAGTTTAGATGAAGAGGCGTAATTGTCTACAGGAGTGTCAAGTCTGGCATTTGTAACTTAGCAAACACCAAGGTGACCAACTCCATACCGGGCACCATACCAACTCCATACCTGTGCCTCATGGATGAACTTCAAGTCTTAAACCGGCCCATCTGTCTTTTAAACAAATTCACCTTTGCTTAGTGACTGCTGGGACTGGCATTGCTTCCTTACATTGTTGGGACACCTTCCTGTGACCTCCAGTAGTAGTGGTTGCAGGTTTCTAGCTGTCTGACACCCACATCCCCAAATTCCAGCCAGGCCCTCAGTCTCCATGTGGAGAGCAACCCCTCCACCCTGGTGCATGTGGTTTGGACAAGGTACCTCCACTCCTCACTCTGGCTGGCAAGTGGTCCAGGCCCAGCCAATCAGAGCACAGCAGCTCCCTACCAAATATGATTGGTAGAAAGCGATGCAAGACCTAGGCTGGTCCAATCAGAGTAAATCTTAATTAGAACCTTGGCTGGGACAACCACTTGCTCTCTTTTGCTGAACTTGAACCTGGAAGGGTGAAGCCCTGAGCCTCATCTTCCTGAGAATGAACCAGACAGCAGAGGGCAAAGCAAAGAGGGGCAGGGAAGGGAGCCCTGGAGACGCCACCTGAGGCCCCAGGATCAGGCTGAACGTGAAGTCATGATATTTCCAAACTTGAATCAACACCTTTATTTTCTATTTAAGCAGTTGAATTGGGTTTTCTATTTGCTATAGCAAAGTCCTGACTGGCAGGGTCTGAAAGTTCCAAGGCTCTCACAGGTAAATGCAGCTCAGGAACCTGTGAGCGGAGCAGAAAGCCTTGAGATGGCAGGAGTCAGCTGGACCCAGGCTTCGAATTAGCTGCACAGATGCCCACAGAGATTTTAGGAAACCTGATTTTTTGTATGTTGTTCCAAAAGTAGCATGAAGACCAGAGGGACATAACTTCCGAGACCCTCATCAGAGCTCAGAAGAACTTTCGGACAGGCAGGACCACTGACGTTGGAGTGGACCGCCTGGGGAGAAGGAGAGAGGCCTGTCCCTGAAGACCCATGAGTGGTGGATGGCAACTGCTGACCCCAAGTTTCCGGAGCAAAGTCAGGCGCGGGCGGGGCTGGGGTTATGGACAGATGCTGCCAGATGCAGTGCTCGTGCTGCCCGCAGTAATGCAGGGGTGGCTTATCGGGTCCTGGGGCTCCCCTGGGGCCCTGGGCAGGAGCATGAGGGGTCGGGATGCAGCACCTAAAGATTCACACCTTCAGACCCGGGGGGCCTCCAGCACAGAGAAGACGATCAGCCAAGCTCTGCAGCCATCTGCTAAGACACGCCACAGGAAGGGGACAGCATGGCCAGCCAGGGTGCCCCTGGGCTTTAGGTGAGGGCCCTGGTAGGTCCAAACCGTCTGGCTGGGAGGACTGGGACAACCTGGAAGGGAGACAGGTAGGGGGTGAGAATTTGGGGACAAGCAGGATCTACAGCCAGCTCACAGCTTTCCTGGCTCACAGCTCATCCCCAACTCCCAGCTGTCTCCCATCCAAGTACTAACCAGGCCCGACCCTGCTTAGCTTCTGAAATCAGATATCAGGTGCGTTCAGAGTGGTATGGCCATAGACCCCACTCCCAACTGTTATTCAAAGTCGTCCCTCCCATCAGAACTGCCCACCCTGCTCTCCCTCCACTCCAAGTCCTCTCCAGCCTTTTCTACCCCAGTAATCTCACAGTTCTGTCTTCCCTGCCTCCGCCCGTGTGTGGGAGTGCCGGGTCTCCCTGGCTGGACTGGGCTCCTCGGGCCGGAGAGAGGCAGGGGCCGAGGTATGGTTACCCCTTATCTTCCCACGCTCCTACAGGGAGGGCAGAGTGGGAGTCGGACAGAGTGGGAGTCAGGAACACCCACACCTTGGCTCAGGTCACCTGGCATTTTCTCATACTTTGGATCTTCCTTCTGGGACCTGGGCTCGCTCTGCTGGACTGGCTCAGGCAAATAGGGAAACTGAGGCCACTCGTGTCTCCCCTTCTGTCCTGGTCTAAATGCCACTCCCAGTGAAACTGAGGGCCGCTGCCAGCCAGAGCCTGCTGTGTGGCGGTGGGGAGGGAAGTGGGGGGGTCCTGAAGCAGTGAGGGCGGGGCTCTTACCCCTAGAGGATGCTGCAGGGGCGCTTCTGCGGCCGCGTGGGCTGGGGACAGAGGACGGCCCGGATTGCCTCGTCGAAGACGGTCTTCAGGCCTCGCTGGGTGAGGGCCGAGCACTCCAAGTATTTCACCGAATCTGGGGTGTGGCAGCAAGAGGGCAGAGGCCTAGGTCAGGGGAGGGTCCGGGGCCAAACCCAGACACACAACTGCGCCGGGCTGTGGGGGCCACCCGGGCTGTGTCACTCAGAGCGGGGAACTGAGCCCTGTGCCTGTTTTCTCCTGACATCGTGGGAGGGGTTCAGACCCACAGGAACAGGCCTGTTCTTTTTTTTGGACACATAAACCCCTAATCTGTGAAAGGGAGGCAGGACTTTTGATACTTTTCTGGGAAGAAAAGGGCTCAAGCCAGTGACCAAACCTGCCTGTGCCTCAGTCTCTTCTAGAACTCAGCCACATTCCTCCCCCCACACTTCCCCCATGGGGCCCCAGGCACTTCGGGTCCCCTACTTTCCGAGTGCTGCCCGACCATTCCTTAGCATCATCCCATTTTAAAGATAAGGACATCGAGACTCCTAGAGGTGAGGTCCTTTGTCCAATGTCACACGCCGCCATGGGGTACCTGAGGACCCTCGGCAGGAAGATAGGGACTTGGAGAGCACCTCCTTTCTCCCAGCAGGGGACAGGCCTCCTCCCATTAACCTCTCAGGGCTGGAGCCGGGGCCCAGACGGCGACAAGGGCAAGCTGAGTCCCTACTCCCAGGGCCGGTGTTCCATGGCCTTCTGGAAGGAACCTGTGTCAATTGACGTTCCACATCCGCTACAACCCAAGCAGTTTCACTGAAGTGAGGTGGCCGCAAATCCCTTCCTCAAGAAGCCCCCTTTCAAAGCTGCTCTGAGAAGGAAGAGGAAGGAGGCACGTACCTGCCCCCCACCCCCAAGGCTCCAGACCCATCGGTGGAGATTGCCAGCTGGGCCTGAGCTGCCCCTGCAGCTGTCACTCTAGGGCCTGATAGGCCCAGGCAGCCACCCTGCTCCCCACGCCACTCTGGGCCTCCTCCCCCGGGGCCTGGGCAGGTCCAAGACAAGTTCAAAGTCTCTGCTCCTGCCCCCGACCCTCCCATCTGGGATCAACTCCAGGAGGGATTAGCTAGAGGCCAAGACAGGGCCACCAGGTCATCTGCGTATAGAGGAGAAAGAACTTCGGGGGACCTTGTGTAGGTGGGGAGACAGAGGCCCAGGGAGGGGCCACTGGCTCCAGGTCACACATACAGTCAGTGCCAGAGCCAGGGCCAGCACAGACCTTCCTGCCGCTGCTAATCCCAAAGCACGTGCCTTAGAAGGGAGATGGTCGCCTGTAGGCTGGAGAGTCAGTCTGCGGGGAGGACGGGCTGGTCCAGAAGCGAAGGCAGGGTTGCAATCCCTGACATTTGGGAGGGAAAACCAGCAGCCCCAAGGCCAGAGCCCCCAGCATGGGTCCCAGGGCCCAGGGCTTAAGCAGCAACTTGAGGTCCTTGAGGGAAGGTGGCCATGTCACTAGGCTAGTCACGGGGGCGGGGGGGGGGGGCAGTGGCATCTGCGGTTTCTCTTCCTGTGAAGAGATCTGAGTCCCCAGGGCCCTCCCAGTTCCGGCGGAAGGAAGAGCGGCGGGGCAGGGGCAGGGGGTGGAGGCCCCACTGATGCAGCAGCCGCCGGGGCCAGGCGGAGCGTCCTGGGTAGTGGGGTCACTCCTCACAGTGGCCAGACCCGCTGGTGGCCCAGGCCCTGGAGGCAGGTCAGGGCCTGACCAGGGACAGCAGGTCTCAGCACCCTGAAGGAAACCAGTCCCATCAGTCACCGCCTCTCTGGTGCAGGCTGCCACCTGAGTGTGCCCCGAGCCAGCCATTTGCCATCCTGAGTTCTAATCCCAGTTCTGCCACCTACTAGCTGTGTGACCTTTAAAAGTCACTTCACTTCTCTGGTGTGATGATCAGGAGGCAGAGAGGAGTTGGGCTGAGAGGTCTGGAGAGGGGGGAGGGCGGAGAAGGGACAGAGAGAGGCCAAGGCACAAGAACCTCCTCCAAGAAGCCTTCCTGGGAAACCCAGACCTGACTTGGCTGCTTGTCCCCGAAGCAGCCACAGCACAGCCCACTCCATCCCTGCTTCTGTCTGTGCAGAACACACTTTGTTTCAAGATCTGATCATGGGTTACACTGCTGCTAATAATAACAAACACAGCCTGCCTCCCACGTGTGGGCGCTGCTCTCGGGGCTTCACGGGCATTAACTCATCTAATTCTCCCAGCTGCCCAGGACTATTACTACGGCCGGGTTTTCCTGGTGAGGAAACAGGCACAGAGATGGGAAGCGATCGGCCCGGGGTCACACAGCCAGTCCACGACACAGCCAGGGTCTGAACCACGGAGCCTGGCCCCGGAGCCCGTATCTGTGATGAGCGGAGGCTGACTTGGGTCCCGCCCCCCGCCACCCCGCGTCCTGCTGTCCTCTCCAAGCCCGAGCCCCGTACCAATCTCCTTGGCCAGTGCCAAGCCCTGTGGGTAGGTAATAGGCGCCAGTTTCTTCTCCTTCAGCCGCTCGATGGTGTCCTTGTCGTCCCGCAGGTCCAGTTTGGTGCCCACCAGGATGATGGGCGTGCTGGGGCAGTGGTGCCGAACCTCGGGAAACCACTGGGCAGGTGGGGGGACCAGAGAGAGGGCACTCGTTTGTGTAGGAAGCAGAGGGAGAGTGGGGGGAGAGAGGCCCCAGGGGGTGAGAAGATAAGAGGTGGGCACGAGGTTGCGAGAAGAGACGTGAGGTCGTGCAGGGAGGAGGCGCGTGATCGCAGGAAAAGAGGCAGCGCGACTTTGTGTAGTGATCGGAGGCAGGCATGAGGGTGTGCGGGGAGGAGCAGGGGCAAGTTACAGAGGGCAGAGAAGGAAGCTGACACTCCCAGCCCCCTCGGAGACCCCCTCTGAGTCTCATCCCCGGGGCCCCCCAGCCCTGGGTGGCACTGGGACCCTCTCTACTCATACCCTCTGCTGCCCCAGGGACAGGGGTCAAGTTGCCAGTCCCTCCTTCCTTTTCTCAGGGTTACCTGCCCCCCAGCCCCCCAGGCCCCTCAGGCGCTGCTCAGCCCCGCTCACCTTGGCACGGACATTCTCATAGGAAGCTGGACTGACGAGGGAGAAGCAGATGAGGAAGACATCCTGGGGACAGAGCAGGCAGGGTCACCTGTGAGGGAAGGCCCAGGTACATCCCACCTGTGCCCCCCCGCGCCTGGCAGCACTGAGCAGTGGAGCCCCGGGGACACCGGGGTCGGGCAGGGATGCCTGTCTGCCCCCCACCAGGCGGCTGCAGGTTTACCCAGCACTTCCCGAAGGCCAGGGTCTGCACATTGCACCTACTGCAGGGGTGCCGCCCCCATTCCACAGATGGGAAGAGTGAGGCCACCAGGGTTTATGGGTTTGCTGTCTGGAGCTCCAGAATCCATACTCCTGACCAGGCACCCACTACCTCGCTATCTGCTCACCGGCCCCAACCCTGGAGGAAAGGTCAAGGGTGGGGGAGGGGGAGGGGGTGAAGCGGCGGCTGCCCAGCAACCGCAGAATCACCTGCTGTCTTTCCCCCTCTCTTCTCTCCTCACCCAGCACACCTGGGGTTCAATGTCCTGGGCTCCCAATTAAAGCCCCATCCTGGGTCTGCCCACTTCACCCACAGGGAGCCAGGTGGTACCAGAGCCCACGGCAGGGGTGGGGGGGACTGGGAAGAGGGCAGAGTGGTGACTTGGGACTGAGGGAGGGCTGAGGGCAGAGGGAGGAGGCCCTGGCTATGCCCACGGAGGACCAGGCAGCGTCCTCAGGCTGGGCCCTGGGGGGGTCAGGGTTCACCAGGCCAAGCTGTCCCAAGGCCACCACACACACAGAGGGAACAAGGTGAGCAGAGGGCAGCTGGCAAGGAAAGCGGGTGGGAGCTCACTGTCTGGGGATAGGAGAGTGGCCGGAGGCGGTCATAGTCCTCCTGCCCGGCAGTGTCCCACAGCCCCAGGTTCACGGGCTTGCTGTCCACCATCACGTTGGCTGAGTAGTTGTCGAACCTGTGGGGAGAAGGCAGGACAGAAGGGTCAGCCTGCAGCCCAGTGTGCAGGGCCCTCCAGTCCGGCCCCACGTGGTTTCCTGGTGGAGGCTGAGACGCAGAGAGGGCCTGCGGCAGGCCCAAAGGCACACAGCACTCTGCAGTGAAGTGCGTTTCCTCTTTTATTTCATGACTGACTCACAACCTAAAGAATTTTAAACTCAGGTAAGCACAAAGGGGAAAACATTGTGTCAGCCCTGTTCCTGCCTTCGCCTATCCTTTAGAGAGGTGCTTTTTCAAGGCTGCATAATATTCCTTGTAAGTTTCATCAGGATCAATTCACCCACCTCCTACGACAGACACTGAGGCCAGTCACCCGGGATTTGCTACACTAGGGTTTGTCCCCACCTCAGGCTGGGTAACCGTGGAAGAAACCTCAAGATGAGGAGGTGGGACAAGTGGTTTATTCGGGACGTGAGCCCGGGCAGCGACAGGGGGCCCTAGGGGAGGAGACGGGGAAGGGACAGCAGCAGACACAGGGCAAGTGAGGGACCTGTTACTACTGTGGGCAACTGGGGCTAGGGCTGGGGCCAGCCAGGGCCACCTGGGAGACAGCAGGGACCATGCTGAGGGCACCCCCAGAGGTGTCAGGGTATTACCCACCAGCCCCATCTTCTGCTGGTAGAGGGATGTCTGGAGGGGTCATGGGAGGTTTGGGGAAAGGCCACTGGCACGTGCTGGAGAGACACTCCTGACTCTCAAAAGATATAGTGCGGGCGTCAGCAACAGCTGCTGGCCTCTCCCCGCCAGCTGACAGCAGGGAGGCCTCCAGTGCAGTGAAATGAGCGGCCAGCCTTTTAAAAACATGATTCAATTCAACAGTATTTATCGAGACCACATCCCTGAGTAGAAGGTGCTGGTTCCTCATGCTGTGGCAGAGAAAACTGGGATCAGAGAGGTCTAGAGACTTGCTCGAGGCCACACAGCCAGTGAGTGACCGAACTAGGTGAGACACTAGTGCTCACTGACTTGTGCCACACCTGGGCTTCCACAGATGCTCCCTGCCCTGTCCCTGAGGGCTAGAGACACTCCCCATCTCTCTCCACTGAGGTCACCCACACAGGCCACTGTCCCCTGATCTGGCCCACTGAGGCCTCAGGCTCTTCCAGTTTCTCTTCCTACCCCTCCTAACCAACCAAGCTGTTTCCCAGGCTGGGCTCACACTGCCCGCCTCCCCACACTTGTTCACATTGTGTCCCCTGTCTGGAGTGGCCTGTCCACCTCTCCTTGTCCAAATATTCCCACCCACCACACTCTCCAGGCCTCTGCTCCTGTCTGCAGCTCTCTCTCCGGATGGAACACGCTTCCACCGCCTTTCGCCCTTATCTCCTATTTATGCTTCAGCCCCTGCCCAGGCAGCTCCTCCTTTGTGGGGAAACCTCTGCACCCCCTCCTTCCCTATCCCCCACCTGGACAGAGTTCATCATTCCCTCCTCCAGGCACCCGCTTTGCCTTGACCACGAGCAGGTACTCTGTGTGCCTGTCCCATGCATGGTGTGGGCGGGGCCTGCACCTGCCCCAGCTCTGCAGTCTCAGCCCAGGCAGCAAGGACAGATGCAGGTGGAACAGAATTAAAGTGAAGTGAACAGAAGCCCTTGGGATGTCACCTCCTCCATGAAGCCCTCACAGAATGCTATTCAGTGACAAACCGCAGAAGCCCTGACTCTGATTCAGAGTCATTCTGAGGATACCTGTCCTGGAAGGACCACGCGTACAAAAATAAATAAATAAAAACTGCCAGCCTCACATTCAACACACCATGCTTGGTGGGCCCTGGAGACTGCGCCTGGTCACCTCTGAGTCGCTCAGGTAGCCCTGCTTCCTCTTGCCTGGGAAGCTCCTGCGCACACACCCCTGACTTCCCAGCCCTCCTCCCACTGCCTGGCTGACTCTTACGCAATCCCTCCTCAAGGCTCAGCCCAATGTCACCTCCTCCAGGAAGTCCTTCCTGACTCTCAGCCAAGTTGGGGTCCCACCCCAGCAAGCTGTGGGGAACTCAGCACCCCCAAAAGCAGACACCATGCCTGGCTTAGTCCTCACTGCATCCTGAGCCCAGTACCGCCTTTGCACATAGTAGGTGCTCTGTGTACCTACTCTGGGCACCACCCATGCCACCATGGGATTTCAGGTCCAGGGACACTTCACTGGGCATGATTGGGAAAAAGGTGCCTGCCTCGTCTTTGGCTCCACAAGAAACATTCCTTTAGGATAAGCTTGGGGTTTGGGGACACTTTCTCCTCTAACACCCCATCTGAAACTCTGGTTCCCCAAAGCCTCCCAAAATTCTGGAGCCAAAGGTATCTGTCATCTCTGGACCACGCCCCTGGGGACTCAGGGACTGTGGCCAGGACCAGGGACCTGCAGTGGCACTGAGCGCCTGCTTTGGGGCCTGGCAGAGGGCAAGGGGCCTTCGTCTGTTGCGTCTGGAAGGCCCACGTGACCCAAGACGCCAGGAGCTCAAGTGACTCCCATTAGACAGAAGAGGACACTGAGGCCCGAGAAGTTATGTTTTCCAAGACCAGCCAGCTCGTAAGCACAGGAGCTGGGACTTGAACCCTGCTCCCTCCACAACACCCGTTAGTGAACCCAGGGCCATCACCTGGGATCAGTCACCCAGAGCTGGGAGGGAACAGAGTTCCTTGTGAAGCCCTGTCCTGGCTGTGTGACCCTGAGTGAGTAAATGAGCGTCTCTGAGCCTCGCTTTCTTGGCTGTGAAAAAAGCCCTCTCTCTTGGGGCCATGGTGGGGCCCAAACAGACAGAGCCACCCCCCCGGGGAGGTGCTGAGAAGCTGAGTAATCTCCTGTCCCATGTCCCTACACCCCCCTCCCCACACCCTCCCCAGAAGATTGTCAGCCAGAGCCCGAGGGACTGCCACAGGGACGTGTCAGTGATCTGCAGCTCCCAGGGGTCCCCTTATCTCAGAGGCCCTCAGGCTGCCAGGACCTCACTCCCATTTCCAGTCAGGAGACTGAGACTCACAGGCAGGAGGCCGCCCAGTTCACCCAGTTCAGAGCTTAGTCACCCAGTTCAGAGCCCAGTGGAAAGCGTCACTGCAAGTTCATGGCCCTCCAGGAACTCAGTAGAGTTGGAGCCAGGGGTGGGAGCTGCCCCCGAACTCTGGGAGTGCAGGGAGCTCTGTCTCAGGCCCTTTATACTTCGATCTTTTCAGGGGCCCAGGAGGCGGAAATCTGCCACTGTTCCCATGTTACACTTGAGGAAACTGAAAATCAGAGAGTGGGAGTGACCTGCCCAAGGTCACACGGCTGGGATGTTTTCACCCAGAGTCTGTGCGGCCTCTTCCTGCCCTTCCCGGGTCGCCAGCCCGGCCCTGACCCTGGACTGCAGTGGAGGGGAGAACGGGGCAGGTGAAAGGGGTACCCTAGTTCCAGCACCTTCTCAGGGCAGGCCGGAGCGTGACCTGCCTGCAACATGTTCAGCTCTGTTCTAGAAGCTGGTGGGACAGCAGAGGACAGGGCCCAGACCCCCCAGAGCTCTCACCCCATTGGGGAAGGGAGGTCAGGACAGGCCACGAAGACCATCAAGCAGGATGGTGGGAGGGAGGGGGCCTGCCAGGAGGGAGGGACCACATTGTCAAGGAGGTGATACCTGAGCCAGGGACTGAATGGTGGGAAGAGGGAGATGCAGAGGCTTCTGAGAAGCTGGGGTGCCAGGGACGGTCGGGGAGGAGGGTTAGCATTCAGGGCCTTGAACTCCAGCATGGGGGAGGGGCCGTAATAGTGCAGGGGGCTGTGGGAGGGATTTAAGGCAGAGTGTGGCTCCCCCTAGTTTTCACATTTGAAAGCTCGCCTGGGCTTCCCTTTGAGAAAGGCTAGAAGGAGGAGTGGTGGACAGGGGAGACCCCCTCGGCCACAGACACCCAAGGGCAGTGTGTTTCCGCCATGCCTCTGTCCCCCCAGCACCCAGCAGGCTTCGGTCTCCTCATCTGTGAAACAGGGGTCTAACCCCGAGCTGCTCGCCCGCCCTGCTGGGAGCCAGCTGAGCCCAGCTTCCTGCTTATCTGATTCTGTGCGGCAGCATGTGCCTCCCAGGCCCCAGCAAACCGTCCTGTCCCAGCCCCAGGGGCTCTGCTGACCTTCATCTCTGGGCCTGTTTTCCCCAACCCCACTCTCTGCAACTGCCCCCACACTTCAATGTCAAGGGCTCAGTACAATGTATCCCCCCCATCTCTGGTTCCCCGTCACAGGCACGTGGGTTGCAGCAGGGACTGCTGAGGGGCGTGTGCAGAGCTGAGCCACTCGGCACTTGGGGACAAAGGAGGGTGGCAGGCAGGACTGGTCACACCCTGCGCAGGACAAAATGCAAGCACAGGAGCCCTTGTTCAGAATAGAACAACTGTAATGGCATAATCAGTAAAATAAAAATTAAAAAAAAAAAGAAATTAAGAGCTCCTAGCCCTTATAAAAGCAAGTGCGGCCCTTCCCAAGCGCAGGGCTGGTGTGGCTGCCTGGCAGACGCAGCACCGTGAGGCCGGCACGAGTCTCCAAGTCCTGGGAAGGCAGACCTGGTCCGGTCCATTCTGTCTGTCCTTCTGCAAGGTTGCCCAGGACAACCCGCTCCACCAGGGGCCAGTCTGTCCACGTTGCTGGGAGCAGCCGGCCCCCGGTCACGCCACCCTGCACTGGAGAGGACATCTCCCCTCTCCCTGTGCAGGGGACACACCCAGGTGGTGAGCTCGGGACCTCCCATCCCAGCCCCCACCTCTAGAGAAAAGGGCACTGAGGCTCAGAGGGAGGAAGTGACAGGCGTAAGTTCCCTCGGCAAGGTCCCTGCAGCCCAGCTGGGACGGGCAGAGGCAGGAACACACTGCTGGTAACAATGGCCTTCTGCAGGGGCTGCCTGAACCTGATCACAGGCCCGTTCACTGCTTAGTGTAGGGCCAGCCCCCCTCAGCACCGGGAGGTGCGGCTGGACGCGGAAAGGTGAACGGGCAGGTAAGGCAAGTGCGGGGGGAGGTGTGCGCTGGCACCAAGCCACCTGGGGGTCAGGGACCCAGCTGGGGCAGTGACCGGTTTCCCAGGCTCCCTCCCCAGGTCTCCCTGCCCTGTCCTGGCTGCCCGCCTTCCTCCTGCGGGGGGAGGGGGGCCAGCCCAAGCCCCAGGGAGAAATATCAGTAGAGGGGAGTCAGGGCCCCTCAGTGTCTGTGAGTCTTAGCTTCCCCGTGAGTGAACTGGTATCATAATACCCAGCTCCCCAAGGATCAAATGAGGTCACACATGTGTGACATGTTGTGGGGGCCAGCACACGGCAAGCCCCAAAGAGACGGCAGCTGTTATGATGGGTTCTCCGACAGGCTCCTCATGACGTTCAGTTCAGGTCCCCTGAGAACAGACACTGTGCTGGGACAAGGGAGACAGGAAGTCATCTGGGGAGGGAGAGGCCCCTTCCGACTAGAGCAGAAAGGCTTCCTGGAGGAGGGGGCACTAGAGATGGGCCTGGCAGTCTTAGCCACGTGGATGAGGGAAGGACAGGTAGTCCGGGCAGGGGAAAGAGCTCGGGCAAAGGCCCTGAGGTGGAAATGCCCAGGAATGTTTGGTGAAGCCAGCAGGGAAGAGTGAGAGACGACCACACAGAGCCCTGAACGCCGTGCTACAGAGCGGGGAGGTTGTCCCGGGGGCGGCGATGGGGGCCACAGGGGGCCGGGAGGGAAGGGCTGGTGCTTCCCCGCTTATCCTCCCCTCCCAGAGTGTGACACCCACACTTCACTACAACCCCGACCCCAAGTCTGACAAGAGGACAGGCTTCTGATGGCCTCCAGATGGCATTGCCCTCCCCCCAGCTCGCGCGCATGTGCGCACACACACAGGTGTCCCGCTGCCCCTGCTCCTTGTCATCCAAGCTCTCCAGAACCTCCTCCTTTCCCCACCGGGCCCTCTGCTCGGGCCAGCCCTCCCCATCTCCCTCCTGCTCCCCTCTGGCACCCCCAACTCGGACACAGTCCCTCTGCATGTGAGGAACCCTCAGCCCTCACCCTGGCAGTGCCCCTCGGCCGTGGTGGGGGCCCGTCGAGCCACATCATTAGGCAGCTCTGCCAGGCAGACTGGCTGGGGCGCCTCCAGGTTGCTCCACCCCCAGGCGCCCCCCACATGGCCAGCACACAAGAAGTGCCTGAAGAGGGGGTGCGCCCGGCGATGCGTGTCTCCCCACCTGCGAGCACCCCGCCCACACGGCAGACTCACACGGTGGGGATGTACTCTCCTGGGAAGGCGTTGGTTGTGTAGCTGATGAGAAGGCAGGTCTTGCCCACGGCTCTGAAAGACAGGAAGTTCCAGAGGGCATTGGTCACGGTCACAGGCCCTGCCTGGTTGCCGAGCCCACTCCTCAGGAAAGACCAGGCCCACCCCCTTGGTCCTCAGTTTCCCAGCTGAGGGTCCCTGCGTCAGTGTTTTTAAACCTGAAAGCCTTAGAGTCACCCGCACTGTTCTCTAAAGCACAAACTTCAGGTCCTCCCAGGAGAGGAGGCTCCGCGGTCGTGGGGCGGAACCAGGAACCTGTGTTTTGGAAAAGCTTTCCCCCCTGAACTGGAAGATGCTGCCGGGCCCCCAGGGCTTGACCAGGGCTCTGCCACCACACACCTGGGCCGCCCCCTGCCAGCGGCATGAACGTGGGCAAGTCAGTTGACCTCCCTATGCCTCAGTTTCCCCATTTAGAGACTAGGGATAAGATAAGCCCATCCTCAGAGAAGTGTGCTCAAAAGTAAATTAGACGAAGCCCAAAGGCCCAAGCACAGTGCGGGCACAGCCCCGCCTCCAGCTGGTGGGGAAGCCCGCCCCCCACCGGTCCTCCCAGCAAGCACAGCGGTTAAGGACTCAGAGTTTTGGAGTCAGGGAGACCTGGGTCCAGGTCCCATGAGGCCTTGGGCAAATTGTTCCACGTCTTTGAGCTTTGATTCTCCCCTGTGAAATGGGTTGGTGAGAGGATAAAATACAGGGTGTGGTTAAGCCCAGGGCCCGGCACATAGTAAGTGCTAAATAAACATCAATCGCCCTTTGTTGCCACTGTCTGCCCCAGCCTACGGGGCTGCGAGGACGCACAGGTAGAAGCCCAAGGCACGGCCCTGCCCCTCCTGCCCTGCTCCACTGTTTCGTCACTTCCTGTTTGGCGGAGCTGGCTGGCCTGTCCCCCGCACCCCGCCCTCCCCAGGGGCCTGCCAGCAAGGTAACTTTGAATGGCTGGAACGTTGCCCTTGGCTTCCGCCCTCCCCTGCTCAGATCTGATACAAAGCAGAAGTGGGTGGGCGGGAAGATAACGGCCAGCAGTGCCTCAGAGTCAGCTGAGGACAGCCTGCGCCACTGGCCCGCCCCGGCGACCCGTCAGAGTCCGAGGGAGCTGGGCCCCCGGGGCCCCAGGCCAGGACAGGTCTGCGTCTCTCCAGCTGCCCCTCTGTAGGGTGGGCGAGAGGCCCACGCAGCAGGAACGTGCTGGCAGGGGCTGGGACGCACCTACAGAAAACCCCAGGTGCTCCAGTGGGCGGGATGGACCCTCACACGTTGTCCCCAGGAGGCACCAGAGGCTGGCGTTTGGACTGTCTTCTCACAGCTGAGGAAACTGAGGCCCACGGAGGACACGACAACCCGAGGCCACTGAAATCTGACAGCTGAGAAGGAGCCCCAGCCCAGCCTGTCCCCAACTGACCCCCCACAATTACATCTGCTCTTCCCCTCCTTCCTTGGCTCTGCCTCTCCTGCCCCACCTTCTGCTCTGCACCCCAGCCCCCGCACATCCTCCCAGCCCGGCAGCCCCGGTGGGGGGCAGGGGCTGACATTTATTGAGCACACCCTCTCTTCAGGGCAGCCACCCCAGGTGACTAGAGTGATCCCCATCGGCTCTGGTGGGAGTCCTCAGGTGGCCAAGCTGAGGTCCGGGGAGGCGCTGTGACTTGCCCAAGGCCGCACAGCAGCATAAGTCAGGGAGTACAGCCCAGCTCGACTTGGGGACAGGTACCAGATTTTTGGTTCCCCATCCACCACCTACATGCACAGAGCTGAAGACCTAGGTCCCGTGGGAGAGCTGCCCCAGCACCCTACAGGCGGGGGGCTCTAGGCACCCCCCATCCGAAGTCCTACACTCTCCACCCAGTAAGCTTCCAGGGTGAGGTGGCCAGAGAGAGTGAAGCTGTCCTCTGCCCACCCAGGGCTCCCCCTGGTTCCTGGGAGAAGGGACTGTTCCTCCTGGCTGCCTCCCAAGGACTCCTACAGGTAAGGGGGCTTCCCCAGGACACCTGTGCAGGAGGGTCTCAGGGCTCCCTGGAAGGGGCTGCGAGGAAGTTCAGCCAGGTACCTACCCATCTCCCACCACCACGCATTTGATGGCCTGCATCGTGCCCGGGACCTGGGAGGTGGCGGCGGTGGCGGCGCCCGAGGACCACTCCTGCGGCACCAGGGGTGTGGGGAGCCTGGTGAGGGCCCGGCAGGGGAGCAGCAGCAGCCAGGAGGCAGGAGGAAGCGGAAGGGGAACTTGCCCAAGCTGCTGCCCCCACAGCCGTTTGTGGGAGGCGGGGCATGCGGTCTGGTGGAACAGCTGAGGGGACCTCAGGTGCCGTGCTGGGCCCTGGCCAATGCCCCCCCTCACATCCCTGCTCTGGGGCACCAGCCAGAGCCCGAGGGACCCTCTCAGCTGGGGACTCACTTTCACGGGCAGGGCCAGAGTTGTTCACCAAGAACTTGAAGTTTCCAAGAATTCAGTCCATCTCAATTCTAAGCAATAAGCATTTAATGAACACCTGCTGTGTGCCAGGCACAATAACAGGTACTGGCGAGTCCAGGATGCAAAGGGCATAGCCGGTTCCTGGGGAAGATAGGACCTCGTGGAGGTTGTCCCTAAAGCAAGGCAGGAAGTGGTGGGGCCACTGGGGATCTGCAGGGAGGGGGCCTCACAGTCACGCAGAGGGGGAGCTGGGCCTGTGAGGCGGCACCGTTCCAGTCAGCACTTGAAAGGTGGTGTCAGAGACAGGGCGCTCTAGGTGAGGGGACTGCATGACCAAGACATGGAGGCTCCCCCCAGGAGAGGCAGTGCAGGGTCTGCTGAGTGTGGCAGGATGGGGCTAGGGGGAGGGTGATGAGGCAGGAAGGGAGGGGGGGTGGGCTCGGGGAGAAGGTGACCTAGAAGGGAAGTGACAGGCAGTGTCCCTCGCCAGCCAGGCTCCGTGCTGCCGTGGAACTGAGAACCGTGGCCCATTTTAAAGATGCAGGAACAGGGGGCCTGAGAAGGCAGGTGACGTCGAACCCTCCTGACGCCCCAGCTGCCACCTGGGGGGTAAAGCCTGGGTTCTGCAGCTCGGGGGATGAGGGGGTGCTCCTACCCCTGAGCCATGGCCAACTTGGAGCTGAGCGGCACCGAGTCTCCCTGGGGGGCTCCAAGTTCACCCTAGTCCTTGCTGTTCATGGCCATCTTCCCAGCTCCAGGGGTGAGGGGGAGATGGGCAGAGCCACTGGTCACCCCCACCTCCAGACTCACTCAGAGCAAAGCAGGAAACCACAGGAAAGCATGGAGCTGGGCCGGGGTGTGGGGGGGGGGCATCTGCTGGGTGACCAACCTCTGCTGTCTCTTCCTCGGTTCCCCAACCTGGACAGATCCCAGGATTCCCCCAGGCGCCTGGAGGCTGAACCCTTCCAGAACAACAGGGTTGACACAAACGGCTTCTGCAGAAAGGGAAACACAGCCTCCTCAAGGCCCTGCTGCTACTGGCCAGTCAGTCAGTAAAACCAGCCAGTGCACCTCTGAGTCTTGGCTCCTCCGTTGCACGGGCTGAGCTGAGCCAGTGGGGGGCGCTTCAGGGCACCTAGCGCAGATCAGGAAGGCCCAGGGTCCCCCCATGACCCAGCCTGGGCTCCCTCCTGCCCAGGCCACCTGCGGGCTCCCCCGTACCCACATTCTTTTCCCAACCACTGCTGTCCCGTAGGGCAACCTCTGTTAATCTAAATCAAAATGGCTGTGTGCTAAATGCAATGGTATCCCGCCCTGGCTGGATTCCAGGATAGGAAAAAAAAATTATATATATATATATATCAGCTGAAACAGTAGTAAAATCCAAAACAAATCAAAATTTAATTAACAGCATGGCACTAAAGTGAATTTCTTAGTTTTGACGGATGCCAAGGTTATGTCAGCGATGTTAATGTCAGGGAAACTGGGTGGGAAACATACATGAATACTCTTACAATCTTAGCAACTTCTCTATAAATCTAAAATGACTCCGAAATAAAACATTTATTTTTAAAAAAGAAAAAGGAATGTTGTACCTGTCTGGGAAGTCCCCGCCAAGCAGGAGGGCCACAGGACTGGGAAAGGGGAGTGTGCGCTGGGTTTTACCCCCTTGTCCCCCCGGGTGGGGCCGCTGGCCCAGTAAATGACCTGCCCACTCACACTTGGCCATGGCCCTCTCTCCTGGGAAAGCCACTTGTCCTGGACAGCCCAAGCAAAGCACTGCCCCCGACTCAGGTCTGTCCAGCTCCCTCCTTCATGCTGTGTGCACTGATTATGCACCACTTGGATACCTAGCTCTGGAACTGGCGCTGCCGTGGATACAGCACACGGAGGAACAGAAGGGTACAAGCCCTCTGATTTTGACAGATACACGCACCCATGAAACCCCCATCACAGGCAAGGCACAGCGCATCAGAGGACATTTCCGTCACCGTGCAGTTTCCCTGCGCTCCTGTGCAGCCCATTCCCCACCCCACCACACATATCTCTGATCTGCTGTCCGTCCTTACAGAATGCTCCGAGTTTTCTAGAATTTCACATGAACGGAATCACAGTGCATGTGGCCTCTGGCCCATGGCTCCTCTCCATGTGCTCCTTGTGTCCTTGTGTGGGCTGGTTGCCCCTCTTCTCCAGCGAGCAGCGCTCCACCCATCGTGGGGATGTGTCATAGCTTGTTATTCATCCAGTCCTGCCCTCTTCCGACCAGGCTCTGCAGACCCACTGAATCACAGAGCCACGCGGCCTCTGGGCATGCGTAGAGGGACCCTGCAGGCCATCTGCAGCCAACCCCGCCCTGGCACCACTGGTATTCACTGCCCATGAAGCAGCTGCCCCAGCCCTGCTCACATACCTCCAGTGACGGAGAACTCATTACCTTAGGAGGCAGTCTGTTTCATCCTTGGGCAGCTGGGCCTGTTAGAAAAGCCTTCCTCATTTCAGCCCAAATCCACCTTCCTAGCTTGTCGCCACAGAGGTCTTAGTCCTTGCCCTGGGGTCACTCAGGTTAGTCGGTTTTTTCCTCCCTACCCTGGGCCCTAGGATTTGGGAGGCGCGACCTCCACCCAGCAACATGCTCACCAATGTTTACCTTATGCCTCTGGTCCAGTGACTTTTGCTGGGGGGTTAATATTCCATGGTATGGATGTATCAAATGTTTTTATCTAATCTCCTGCTAATGGATGTGTAGGAGGCTTGCCATCTCTGCTTTGCAAACACGTCCAGAATATTTGTGGCCTCCTGGCGCTGGTGCGTGAGGTTTCTCCAGCAGGGGGAGGGCAGAGCTGCGGGCATGTGTGTCTTTGACCTCCACAGCGGAGTCACTCTGCAGGTCTTCCTGGTCCACACCCTGCCTCACACTTGGCCTTGTAAGGCTTTCTCACTTTTGCCAACCTCGTGGGTGTCAACTGGCATCTCACTGAGGGTGTAATTTCCAGGAACTTCTTTCTGCTGACGTTGAGAATCTCTGCAAATATTTATTGGGAATTTGGGTTTCCTGGTCCATACATTGTCCTTCCCTACCTCTCGTCCATTTCTCTGTCCCCGTAATTATTTGGAGAAGGTCTTTGTGCCTGGTCACTCCCGACCTTGGCTTGCTGCGTGCGTTGCTGACGTTCCCGCCAGTCTCCGGGAGGCCTTCCGGTCAGCTGCAGCTTTCAATCAGCAGAACTTCTATCTGAATGTCGCCCGGTTTCTCCTCTCGTGAGCTGCGCTGTGGGAGGGAGTGTGGTCACAAAGCGGTCCTCCTGGCTCCCCAGTTCACGCAGACAGATGTTCGCCTCCATCTTCTCCTAAAGCTTTAAAAGTTTTGCTTTTGATGTTTGGCTCTTTGCACATTGAGGGTGGGTTTTGGGGCGTGTGGTGACTTCAATTTTGTGAGGCATGGATTCAGCGGAGTCCTCTTAATGACCCAGTCAGTGTTCCCGCACGGTTCACTGGGGAGCTCTGCCTGCCCTGCCCCCCGCCGCCTCGCCCCTGCGCTGTCCCCATCTGTCCCATGGCCAGGGTCTCCACCTGTGAGTCCGTTCCTAGCTTCTCTGGCTGTCGGTCCATCCGTCCACCCTTGAGCCAGCACAGTACCGCCCTAATTTCTGAAATCGATGTCCAGTTTTTATACCCGGAAGGGCACGTGCTCCTCTCTTGAACTTTTTCACGAGTGTTCGTTTCTGCTGACCATTTGCTTTTCCATATAAATTTTAGAATAAACTTGTCAAGTTCCAAGAAAAACGATGCCAGGATTCCAATTAGAATTCTGTTCAATTTATAGGGGAGTTTGGGGAGCACTGACATCTTTGTCAAGTTCGTCTTCCCATCCATTAGTGTCCTCCATTTCTCCTTTATGTCTTTCAGTCAAGTTTTATTATCCCCCCTATGTAGGCCACACGCATCTTTTCATAAGGTTTATTCCTTGATGCTGAATCAGTTCAGTACCATCACAACTAACACTTTTCAAAATTGCATTTTCTGTTTGTGGCTTACATGCAGAAAAAATGTCATTTTGTGTATTGCACTTATTTATACACATGGCAACCTGGGTGGAAATTTCTGTTATACTTTATCTAGAGATTTTGCCACTGGCGAGTCCAAGGCTGTCTTTGTAGACAGTCTTATCATTTGTAGAAAAGGACAGTTTTATTTCTCCCTTCCCGATTTTTAAACTATTAATTCCTTGGGTTGTCTGGGGCCTTTACTGCCGCAGTGACGCTCAGTGGTGGTGGGCATCTTGGTCTTACTTCTGATTTTAAGAAGAGTGCTTCCACGTTTCACCATCAGTCACGATTCAGTCTCTGGCAGAGACTGTCAGAGAACATCCCTGCTATTCTTAGTAACAACTATTTCGTTTTGTTTCTGTCTTAGGTATTTAATTTGATTGAATGCTTTTCTTCCCTGTATCTATGGAGATGTCGTGAATAACACTAACACATTTTCTGACGTTCAATGGCCCGAGCATTCCTGCAGAAACCCGACTTGTTCACTGCAGGGAATGCTACTCGCTGTCCCTTCATGGCCATTCTCTGCTTCCTCTTTGAATAACCGAATCCAAGCCCTGCAGCCAGCCCCACCCCCCCACCAGCTGAAGACCATGTTTCTCAGTCTCCCTTGCAGGGAGGTGTGGTCCCGTGACTAAGTCTTGGGGGGAAAGGGGGGAGGGGTGGAAATGATGCACACAACTTCTGAGTCATCACCTCCTTGAAGGTGAAACCTTGTCCTGTGCATCTTTTGTCCCGCTTCTCCGCCGGCAAGGAAACAGCAGTACACAGAAGTGCGGGCAGGATCCTGGGTGTGTGGGGGACGCAAGGTCAGGGCCACGTCCCTCTGGGCAGGGGAGCAGAATGCACTTTGTCTTCCCGAAGCCCCTGTGTTATGGGGTCTTTCTGTTGTAACAGCTTCGAAGTTGTGTGATTGTCCTTGACGGATTGCTGGCTTCAGCTCTCCAGAATGGGGCAGAGTGTCCCCTCTGCACCAGCGGAAATGGCCAGTGATTTTCCTGTCTCATACTATCTTTGTCTTTTCTGTGCAGGTCAGGGATGAGTGCCAAGGACGCACCAGTTTCATAAAACAGGTCAGCAACATTTGAATAGCCCTCGAACCCTGGTTTTGAAATCATGATGGAAGGGGAAAAGGTAGATTTTAAACCACTAATTCAATTTCTTTAAAGGCTATAGCCCATTTGGAATTTCTGTTACTTCTTAATCATCCTTTATGTATTTTCCTAGAAGTACTTTATACAGTTTTATATATTGCTTGGGTGTTTTAATTCGTACATCTTTTTAGTCTCTCCTTTTCGATTTCTGTTATATTCCTCCTTTTTATTTTATATTAATCATTTTGGTCCTCGCTTTTGTTTTTAATTGCTCCCCAAATTTGTTAATTATACTCACCTTTTCAAGGAACCAACTTTTAGCCTTTTTAATCCTTTCTACTACACAATTTTGTTCCATTTATTTAAAATCTGTTCTTATATTCATCATTTCCTTTTTCTTTGGTTTTCTTCTGTTGTTCTTACTTTACTTCTTGGTTCTGAGTATTTAGTTCATGAATTTTCAATCTCATTTTGTTCCTAATATAAGCTCTTACGGTTATAAATTGTCCTCAAATTCTACCTTAGCTGCAGCCAAGTTTTTTTAAATTGTGGTAAAATATATATAACGAAATTAACCAAAATTAACCAAAACCTACAACCTCGACATGTAATATTTTCTAGTTCTAAGAATTTTAAATTTTCTTTTTGATCAATGAGTTATTTGAAAGTGTGTTATTCCCTTTGAAATGTGGGGAAATGGGATTGTTATCTTTTTGCTGTTTATTTTTAACAGTATTGCAGTCTAAGAACGTGGCCTGATTCTTTTAGATTTGTTGAGATTCGCTTTATGTTTGACCTCGTAGGGGGCTTACTGTTCATAAACACAGAGCTGCTCAGTGTTCCAGGAGTGTCCAGTAAACCGAAGATGGTAACTGTGCTGCCGGGGTCTTTTATATCATCGCGAATCGCCTCCGTTTGTCTTGCTTGATCCATCCGCTACTGAGAAAAATTTATGAACTCTCCCACCAAGGTGGAGAATGTGGGCACTCTCCTTAGCATTGGGTCACTTTTTATTTTTGCTTCATAAATCTTTATGCTCCATCATCAAACGCATACAACTTTAGAATTATTATATCTTCCCCAAATTTTTAACCTTCTATTAAAATAGCAGCCACACTTTTAAAGTCTTTGCTACAGTCTAAGTTCTGGCACGGTGAGGACACTTAGTAAATTGTTATAGAAATAAGAGCTCTGGGGGCTGCCTTCAGGGTCTCGGGCTGGCCCCCAGAGGCAGTGGGTGAAGGTCTGCCCCCGTGGGTGGAGGTCCACCCTGCCTCCGGTCAGTCCCACGCTCGGCGTCACAACCAAGAAAGGTCGGAGGGGTGGCCAGCCTCGGGCAGTCCCCAGCGGCTGGACCCCGGCCTGTCAGGGTACTCCCAGGGTAACTGAGCTCTGGGCTCAGATTCCTAGGGGGCTGATTAAGACAGGCACTGGTGATTGTTTCTGACCTGGCCCCCACCTCTCAGGTCAGTCACCTCTCTCCTTCCAGCTGGAGGAGGCACACTCAAGTTCAAGGGCTCCCTGGGGCAGAGTTGGGGCTCCAGGAGGGGGTTTTGTCTTAGGAAATCCCCATGGAGCCCTGGGTGCAGAGTGCCGGGATTTCCTTGTCTCCCTGGGGGCTTTCCTCCTGCCCCTGGGGCAGGTTCGGTGCCCCAGACACACCCTGAGACCGAACACAGGAAGGTTCCTATTGCCCCCACTTTCAGCCCCAGGACTCTCCCCACCACAGCCCCCACAGGCCGCCCTCCATGAGGGTCCCTGGGCAGACACACCCCTTCCTCCTCTCGGAGGTCCACTTGCTCCTCAGGTCGCTGTCTTGCCTTTCTCTTTACCCCTTCAGCGGCCACCTCAGCCCCGAGAGGCTCCTATCCCTGTCCCCAGGCCGGCTGGAGACGCCTCCCACCCCACCCCAGGTGCTCACTGGCCCCTTGAGCTCGGCACCCTTCCCCACCCCCTCCCAGTGAGACACAGCTGTCCCTCTCCCCCAACCTGGGACCTGGACAGCAAACATTTTTCTACGTTTCTTTGGTATACTTTAATATTTTCAGATTGCCTTTGAATGAGCAATATATTCACATGACCCAGAATTCAAGACATACAGAAAAGCCTGTCACAGTGAGTCAACCTTCCAGCCCAGCTGCCAGCTCCCCCGTCCCCTTTTGGGGGCCACCTCCTTTGCCAGTGGCTCGTGCGTCCTTCCAGAGACACTCCAACAGGCAGAAAGCCCTCTTTGTTCACTTGCTCTCTCCCTGAGAGGGAGCTCAGCCGCCTGGTGCGCTGACCCGCACACTGCCGACCCAACCCATGCGCTGTTTACCTGGGGGGGCGTTGCTCTGTGCTGGTTCACAAAGAACTTCATTCATTGTTGCCACGGAGTAGAATTCCATTGTTTGGGCATCTGAGGGTTCACCTGATTCATTCCTGGTAAAGAAAAGGTTAGGGTCCCCCAACCTTTGGCTCCTCCACCGGAGCATCCGTGTGAGACGGGGTACACCCTGTTCTGCAGAAGGGTGGGCACCAGAAGGCTGCCTCCCTCCAGTAGGGTCCTGGGTGACAGAATGTGTCACTGGTGCCAAATGCCCTCCTCAGGGACCACGCCCACTCACCCTCCCACCAGCGATGCATGAAACCTCAGTTCCCCCACCTTCTCACCTGTTATCTTTGAGGTAACTTTCTTATTTTTGATCCTCCAGTAGGCAAAAAAAAAAAGAAGAAGAAGAAGGAAAAAAAGGTACGGCCATGGAGATTTAATTTGCATTTCTTTTGGTGCGAGTGAGCATTTTTTCAGAGGCTCAAAGGCCATCTGTATTTCCCTTTCCCAGGAACTGTGATTTCATACCCATTGCCCATTTTCTTTGGTGCTGGTGTTCTTCACCGATTTCCATATCAGGCAAATTAGCTCGTTGTGCCCCCCACATGTTATGCGTGTGCTCCCCAGCACAGCGCTGCCTTCACTTACAGCAGCTGGAGCCCTGCAGAGCTCTTGCCCTGCACGTCACTTCCTTCCTCAGCCTCTTCGTCCACGGCCTCTAGGTTTCTGTGCGCCTTAGGCCTCCGCCACACTGCAAGGACGTTCTCAACGCGTCCTTCTAGGTGTCTCCTTGCAGCGTTACGGTTTAACTGTTTTTTCCTGTTGGGTTACTTGAGACCGCTCATCTTGCTCCCTGGCATAAGATGAGGCACAAATCCTATTTCAGTTTTTTCCAGGTGGCTGCCCAGAGTCCAACCATATTCATCCTAACAATGCATTTTCTTCCCCTGACTGAGAAGCTACCTTTATCTCTTCCTAAATGTGCACACGTCTTGGAAGTTACTCCCAGGCTGGGCAGCATTCCCAGGCCCTTCTCTTCTCCGCCCGCCGTCCAGGCACCTTCGGGGCCCTGTCCCTCCTATTCTGTCCCAGGTTTGTCACTTTCTGCCTCACAGCTTTGGCTCAGAGCCCGGGGTCTCTCCCTGGGGACGGACGGATACGGAGGTGTCGGTGCTGGGGGAGGAGGGAAGGCTGTGACATTCCCAAATGTCAGTGGGTCCTGGTTTCCCTCCGAGGAGGCCCTCAATAGGCAGAAGGCTCTCCGCACTTGTCCCCGCCCACCCTCCCCACTCCCTCTCTTGCTCCCCCCCCCCCCCCGCCCGGTCACTGCCAGGCCAGAGCCCTGGAAGGTCTTCAGACCCCGCCTTCGATGTGCCCTTGCACCTGTCATTTCCCCCACGCAGAAGTCTCCGTGCTCCCCGTCCTTGCCCGACCACATCTTGTTTCTTCTCCAAGACCCCTTAGCCCGGCCCCTGTCCTTATCGTGGAGGGAGCAGAGACCCCAACCCCAGCCTGCACCTCCGCTTCAGGCATGAACAGCACAGAACAAGCCGAACCGCACAGAGCTGGTCAGACAGAGGTGAGGAGCCTCCGGGCATCACCTGCAGGGCACCCCCACCTCCTCCCGTGGACGAGCCTTGGGCTTTGACCCTCAACATCCATTCCCTCCTCCATGGACCACCCCGCCCTCAGCCATCTATCTCCTTCACTCCTGCCTTTCTCCTTGAGCCCTGGGCATGGGTGGCAGTCCTCTGGCTCTGTCCACTCTGACATTGGATGGGCCAGTGGCTTCTGATGCTGTTGGCCCAGAGTGTGGGGAGGATGGCCTCCTGCCTTCCCTGTTAGGCTGGTTCATCATTTAACTCCTATTTAAGAAGCTCATCCTGGGCGCCAGGTCCCAGGGAAATGACAGCCGGCCAAGTGAAGTTCTTGGCCCCAGAGAGCTCACATTCCAACAGGAACACAGACCATAAACAAAATAATGAATAGAAGGGTTGTGAAAAGTGCCGCAAAGAAATGACAAAGGAGGCTGCAGAGAAGAGAAGGGAGAAGGGAAGAGGCAAACCAGACTGAGCTCTGCAAAGATCAGGGGAGAACACCACAGGGGAAGGATCTGCCAAGGGCTACGGTGGCAGGGAGCCTGGCGTGTTTTCAGGAGCAGCAAGAAGGCCCGTGGGGCTTGAATAAAGTGCAGCAAGGCAGAGTGGCTAGGGGCACGGCGAGACTCTAGTAAGGACTTAGCGTTCCTTCTGTGAACAGGAAACCAGGAGATCCGAATCTAGAAGGCGCCCTCTGGTGGCCATATGGGGGATAGACCGTACTGGGAAAAGGGCAGAGAAGAGATTGCTGTCCCTGAGGTAGGTATCCAGGCTTGACCAAGGAGGTGACGATGGAGGGTGTGAGAAGTCACCAGACCCAAGATGTGTATTGTAGAGTCTGTGGGATCTGATAGAGACAAAGATGGTGCCAGTTTCATTCTTAGCAACTCAGCAGATGGAAGTTCCATTTCACCAGGAAGGGAGTGACTGTGGGAGGAGAGGGTTTGCAGGGTCGGGGATCAGAGCTTTCACTCTGGACATTTCAGCTGATGGACACGGGGAGGTCAGGTGTGAGGTTGGATGATAAGTGCAAGGGGAAGGAGCCAGGGTGGAGACACATGTGGAGTTGGCTGGATGTAGATAGTATGTAAAGTAACAGGGAGTCACCGGGAAGGATGAAGTTTTTTTCTTTTTAGATTTTACTTATCTATTTTTAGTGAAGGGAAGGGAGGGAGAAAAAAAGTGAGAGAAACATGAATGTGTGATTGTCTCTTTCACCCCCTACTGGGGACCCATCCCTCAGCCCAGGCTTTTGCTCAGTGACCCTTTGGTTCACAAGTCCCATTCAGTCCACTGAGCCACACCCTCCAGGGCTGGGCCGTGTTCTTAGAGAGCACCTATAGAGATGGAACTCCAGAACTGATGGCCACTCACGACAGGCAGGACCGGGCCTGGGGCCCTGTAGCCTCCAGCGGGCTGGGCTGCCTCCCTCTCTGCCTTGAGCAAAGGAGCAGCACTCCCGCCAGGGCCCGCTGTGCCAGCTGGGAGGACCTGGGAGGGCGCAGAGGGTGGGAAAACCCCTTCCTCCTGCGTATCTGGGGGCGTATCTCTTCCCCCTCCAGGATTTCCCCCGCCTTGACTTCAGCACCACTCTAACTTCCTTGCACTTGCTTTGGCCTCGTGCTCAGGCCCCCCGCCCCTCCCTCCCTCCCTCCCTCTGCAGCTCAATGTCATATCACTCTTCCTGCACAAGTGACCCAAAGCCCCCTTAATCCCTTCCTTCGTGGGGACCTACACCTCCAGACCTGCCCCATCTACCCTTCTAGCTCCACCTTCCGTTCAGCAAGGCAGTTGCTCTCAGCCATCCTCTTGCCGACGCCTAGAGGGCGCTGTTTCACACACCCTTTCCCCCCAGCCATTTCGTCCCGGAACTGCCAGCCCTATGGTTCCGGAGATGGCCTCAGCTTCCACTCCACCCAAACCTGTCCAGAGATGGCCCAGGTCCTCCTCCAGCTTCCTTCCTTCCCTCTCATGGGCGCGGGCAGCAGGAGTGACATGAGTGACGCACCCGGGCCGTGACTGCCAAAGCTGCAAGCGCTTTGGTAGTGTCAACGCTGCGGTGGCTGCGGGCCGGCTTCGCCCTTTCTGCCTTCCATCCGCTCCCTTTCTCCAGCACTTTCTCTGCTTTCTCGGTATCGGCTTTCTCACACCAACTCCTTCCCACGGCAAGTCTCTACCATCTCAGAAAGAAACAGGGCCGGCTTGGTCTCGGCTCTATGCCCAGGGCCCCCCACCTATCCTGCCCTCCCCCACACCCCTCACCTGCTGCAGTCTGGTTTCCTTCGTGGCAAAACCAGTGCCAGCCTTGAACGTACAAAGATGCAGGTCCAGAGACTTGGGCCAAAAAGGGCAGGGGACCAGCCGGAGAGCCAGGGACACTCGGGAGCTAAATCCACGTATTCCAGGCCTCAGCCCTGTTCCCAGAGGGCACCCACTGGGCTCCATAACTCAGGCCCCGCACCACCGCTCCACTGAAACCCCTTCCTCCAAGGTCGCCTGTGACTTCTGGACTCCTGAGTCCCAAGGCCACATCTCCATCCTGCGTCAGGCATGTTCCAGCCCAGGAACTGACAACTGCTCTGGGAATCTCAAGCAGGAAAGGATTTAACGTGGGGATTGGGTGCTCACCAAACCCTAGGACATGCACTCTGAGTGGCAGGGTCCCCAGGACACCGAAGAACTGACCAAGGGGAGCTGCTGCCAAGGCCACATGCAGGACAGTGAAGAGCCAGCGGCTGCCCCTGGAGGCCCCACTGAGGCCGCTGCCTGTGCTCAAGAAGCTACTGCCCCTCCCCGCCCTGCTCCTGTCTGTCACCCCTTAGGACACAGGTGACTGGACACTGTGGCACAGAGTCCACTGCCTCCTCCACCCCCATACCCACCAGGAGAGGCAGGAAGACGGCCACCTCCCAGACTCTGAAGTTCGAGGAAGCACAGCAGAGGGAGGGAGGGTGGAAGGTGAGTGAGCCGCCCCCGCCCTCCACCACAGGCCCATTCTCCCAGCCCCGGGGCCAGGTCCCCCGCTTCTCGGTACATTTTAAATACTCCCCGGGACCTGGCTCTGTGCATCAATGGACTCCACTCCACTGCAGGTGAGAGAAACCCAGCCACAGGGGCCTGAACACGCAGGGGCCATTGCCTCGCCCGGCCAGGTGTCCAGAAGAGGCAGCCAGGCTGGACCTCACTGCACCCTGAGGGGAGGCGGCCACCCGGGAGGGTGAACGTGGCTGGCCTTGGGCTCCGTCTCCTGGGGTGTCACACCCCTGTCATTCTGAGACCCTGGGACCCCAGTCAGGACACTCGACTCTCTGGGCCTCCATTTCCCCTGTGTGTATCACGAAATGTGTGGCCATTAGAGAGCAATAGATACGTATTAGAAATCAATACATATTTTTAAACAATATATTTAAGTATTATGTATAAATGTAGCCGTCACACTGTATCAAATGAAAAGTGTGGGTATTGAATGTATGTCACAGGGGGCCTAGGAGGGGCAGCGGAACGCAAATTCGGGCCACCTACAAGCAGAACGCAAGTTCTGAACACTATGGGTAGATGGACAGATAGACAGGTGACAGATGGAGTGACAGAAGCATGGATGGAGGGAGGCTGGGTGGGTGGACCCACTGGGCGGAGGCAGGAGGACGCCAGGAGAGGCGTCCCCCGACTCCCCACCGAATCCCCAAAACAGGCTGCGCCTCGAGCCCAGAATCTAAGGGGAAGCTAAAACTTCACCAATCAAGACAAGTTATACTTTATGTGATATCTTTATAAATAAAAATTGATGCAAAAAATTATGCTGAAAAAATATTAAAATAAATACATATGCAAATAAATAAAGTTATTTCTTTACATTTAAGTACAGATTAAATCTTACCCTGCACTTGCCTAACCTCATCCACCTCGCCCTGGGCCAGGCCCCACCTACCACCCCAGCACCTCCTACCTGTGCCCACCCGGTGCCCCCAACCCTCTTCCTTACCCCTCCACCCCCAACCTGAGGCCAGCAGTGGAGAGTCAGGGATGCTCCAGGGAGGACAAAGAGAAGACAGGGCCACCACGCTCTTCCCAGCACCCGGCCCTG